CTCTCTTCTTTTATTGCAGAGTAAAGCACACACAGGAAAGGCTGACAACACAAATATTATTCACGTCTTAACATCTGACTCCACTGTTAGCTGTGTATTTAAGTGTTTGTACAAAACATTACAGTTTATTATCACACTGTAAAAGTGAATTAGATGCTTGTGAACAAAACAAGCCAAACATCTTCAATACTGAAAATAGCTGCTCTAAGTATACAGTACATGTGCATACACCTGGATAATTACATCAACAAATGCTTTGTCAACAAGCCAACAATAAAGATGCCCTTTAACCACACAAGCGATGAATGAGTATAGTTGTTGCTTTGGTGCCATCTTCTGGCTGTAAACCATCATTGACACAAAAAAACTATTGCTGTGGCTTCTTTTTCCTCCACGCAGGAAGACATAAATCATCTCTCCACTGAGGTCATCACGTTCATGATCACGAGAAGTCATGATGACTGAGGGCTGTGGCAGAAACAGGCAGCCAAACGCCTGTTGCCTTTGCAAAACAACATAAGCTTTTATCTGTAGGTTCATTTCTCGGTCAGCAAAAGGGGGATTTTATAACACTGACAAGTCATTGTCTTTCAATTACTTCATTTTTCAACAAATCAAATCAAACAAAATGTGTGATAAATCTGGAATATTCATCATTTTTTCTAAATTGAGACCTCACACAATGGTGACCTTTGAGGACGAGAAGCTCCTGTGATGCATGATAAGTATGATTACCCCATTTGTCATGGTTTTACCATGAAAAACATCCATTAATTCAAATTCTTTAGCACACAACAACCACTTTTTTTGCCTCTTCCTATTGGTGTATTAGCACTGTCTCCCACAAAAGACAGAAAATGAAGTAGTTTGACTGTTTGCAGCTACAGTGCAAACACGTAGACATAAAAAATCATTCTGGGTCAACAAAACAACTTCAGGTGATTATACAACCATTTAAACTTACTAATTCATGTTCTATTTCTACCAAGTCGGTAAGCTCGACTCAGCCAAATACTACTGCACAAATGTAGTCATTTCTTACATTTTGAGCTCTGCTGTGCTAAGAGCAGGTCCAGAGAAAATGATCTGTCTCTTCCAGGGTTACTTGTTTAGGATGTTTAGCCTTTTTTAGATCCGACAGCTGAAGAGAGACAGGAAATGTTGAGAGCAGAGGGTGGAGAAAGACAAGAAGAACAGAGTAATGGCCAGGAGTGAAACCGGCTACTGCTGCGACAAAAACATTGAAGTCCCACTCTGATCATTTTTGTTTTCACTACTTTAAGTGTTATCAGCAGCTCATTAGCGATTCACCTCTGAGTTGTGGGCGGAGATAGCACTGCACTGCACACTCCTCTTCATGTTAGCTTGTAGCCTAACATTGCCGGTGTAGTAGAAGAAGCAGGTAACATAGTTACTATTCAGCTCTCAGACACTAATGTCTTTGGGAGATGATGAAAGTTAATATCATAATTAACTTTCTTACGAGCATTGCAATCCTCTAATGCAGGGGTGTCAAAGTCAAATGGACGGAGGGCCAAATAAAAAATTTAGCTACAAGCCGAGTTCCGGACTGATCGAATATTCACTGAAAATTTTTTAAATGACGCATATAGTCTAGTGAACCTAATTGAACCTACTGAAAACCTAACAAATATATTCCAATATGATCAGATAAATAAAGCAATATTTTCTTATGGCTCTGTCAGTAATCTTTAATTTTCAACAGACACAAAAGACAAATTTCCTTTATATAAAAATCCCCATAACATGAACATTAAATGAAAGAAACCGGTATTATTCATATTCGGTATTTATTTGTTTTTGTCCGCGTGTTTCGTTTCATAATGTCGTCTCAGATTACACTCTTTCAGTACCGCCACACTTTCTCCACACAGAAGACACACAGGTTTTCCAGCTACCTCCGTGAACATATACTCCGACTCCCACCTTGTTTGAAACCCCCGGTTCTCAGTGTCCACCTTCCGTTTTGCCATTTTTGATGGGTATCTGAAAGTTAATTTTACTGTTATGCTGACGACTGCTGTGCTAATAAACATTGAAATGAAGCAGCCTACTGCTCGATGCGTCACCGTTGCATTGTGGGAAATGTAGTATTGGTGCGTGTAAAAGATCTGCGGGCTGCCGGCTTGCTGCGGTCTGCGGGCCGGTTCTAATAATAAATCAAGATAATCCCATGGGCCGTAAAAAACCTTCTCGCGGGCCGGATGTGGCCCGCGGGCCTTGACTCTGACATATGTGCTCTAATGCATACACTTGTTCCACGATCATTCTCTCTATTTCTCCAAGTCTGGCCTCCGGGGGCAGAGCTTAGATTTGTGACGTAGGAAATCTCATTGTGTCTGAGCCTGCTGTTTGGGACTTGAATGCAGAAATACTCAGAAATGCAATTTCGCACTTATTTTTCTCATGATATGTCCTGTAGCAAGCTCTGTATTTGGGGTACAAGCTTGGACCATGATGCCAATAGTGCCCTAATTAATCTCTCTAAAGAGTAAATTTTTGCAGTTATTTTCTGTAGCTTGTTTTGTGGCTCAAGGGAAAACCAACTTGTGGAAAACAGGAACTGAAAGGAATTGAATTGAGTCAACCACAGCTACCCCAGGTGATGGTTGTAGGCAATCTAACTGGTAAGGCCTCAGTACCAAAGTAACATACCTTCTGCTCTTCAAAACACACATTTAATTAACTTAGTGGTGTCAAGTTAAAGATCCTTTAGGTTGGTACAATCCACAGCAGACCAGTGCTGTGTAAATTTGAAGCAGACACTCGTGGTTGTAGAAAGTTCGATGGCTCATATGTTTGTATTTTCTGAATATTCTCCCACTGTTCCTCCCCCACTCTGTTAATCTGGTAAACAATGCTTTTAATTAATCACTTTTTTAAAAATCAACATATATTTGAAAATAAAATACAGCGAAAACTTAAACATAGATCAGGATTAGGAAAACTAACTTAACTGACAGGAGGCCTGTTAGACCCATGTTCTATCTGTAACATGACGAAGCTGGGGTTTATGACTTTTATTGCAACCAGTCAGTAGGAGGAGCTCTAAATGGTTTATTTTGACTGAACAAATCACTTGTGGTGTTCATTTTAGTATATAGTCCTTGCACACAAGCTCAACGATTAAAGACAGATCTTAAACAATCATGTTATGAGCGACAGACACTAAAAAGTTTGTAGTCTTGTGTATTACTGACTTTTTTTCCACAAATGTGTTAGTTGATAAACAAAAGAGACATTTCAAGGGCACAGAGCAATTCATTAAAGCAGCTTAAGTGAAATTAGTTGCAGCCATCAACTATAAGCATCTAAGCCAGCATGGAAAACTATGTGATTTTATGGAAGTTAATTTATCTACGAAATTTTTCACCCCCATCATGTGCATTAACTAAAGCTTTAGTAGGTGACTTAAAAGGCCTGTGAGGAACTTTCACTTGTGTTGGTTTTGGTGTCAAAATGTAAAGAGAACATCAAACAGTGTATTCAAAATAAACTGCCTACTCTACCAATGATGAAAACATGACAAAAAGACAGTCATATTGAACTTTTTTTACTCCAATTTGTTGGTTTTAGATTGCAATGCGTGCATTAAAAAGAATGATCCTTTTTACCCCTTTGTAATTGCAGGAAGCTCAGCAAGTCGTTCTATCATGAAAACGTGTGCACAAAAATCTGATACAATCAATAATTACAAATCTCTGCCTGTTTAAAAAGGCCCATTCAAAGTCTTCTTTATAGGTGGATACTGTATATTTCCTTCATCCATGGTTCAATAAAATGATTACACCAACTTTAAATGCCTGCAGACTGCAATCATCAACATTTGAGTAGACATAAATATGCAGTGTCAGCACTTTCCTGTAATCTAAGTTCATCCTGTTGTGGTAAAATCACAGAAGTAACTTCCCACAGTATGATCTGTTTCAGCGCTCTGAGGAGGGATGTAGTGACAGCTGAATGACTGTGATTGGGGCTGCAGTGATAAAGGGGTTATGATAAGCATGTGAGGTGCAGATAAAAATGCTGCTGTGGAGTTTTGGCACGAGATACAGTAACAGAGCGGGTATGTCCGGCATCTCTGCACTGACATCTGACTGCAGCAGCAGCTGTCACACTACACACAGGTTTGCTGTCTGCTCTCACAGGGCCTCTTTTCAATACATCACACTGTCATTAGTATGTCAAAATTCAAACAAAAATCAGTCACTGGTTAAAATACAGTTTTCATGTTCTTATTGACACGAGAAAGAGTTGGGTTTTATCTATCGGATATTGATAAGGTAAAGTTACAGCAGCAGATCTTACATCCGGAAGCCTTAAATCACAAGGTGTAAAGGACTTTGGCCACAGGAAATTGCTGTGTCTTGTGAGAGATGCTCCTAAACCACAACTCAGGCACAAAGACAGACATGCACAGGTGACTGCTGCTTCTTCCCCTCAGGTACGAGTTTAAATATTTTTAACTTTGCAGATTGAACAGGACAACATATTTACAACGTCAATACTGTAACTGTTTGTGGCTTACACGTCTTCTCATCTGAATAGTTATGTTTGATGTTCATTTAAAAATGAACTCCCCTGTTTGGTGTTGAAATCATGTTGCATTTTTCCTTTAATATTTTTCTTAAAACTGTACATGTTTCTCAGCAGCAGTATGATCATTTGTCGATGATTGCATGAGTATAAAGTCTTCTTGGGGCAGAGATTTGTAAATCTGAGCGGCAGAGTCCATAAACATTAACAGAGTCATATGACAGTCAGCGTAACTATCTGTTACACAGTAACTTTCAGATGTCTTAAAGTCTTGTTAGGATGTTAAATACATAGGAAATAAATACTTTCTATTGGCCGTTTACATTCTGTTGAAAATCATCTGGAAGAGGAAACAATCAAGACAATCAAGATGCTGTTTGTTCGGGTCATCTGAGGTTGTTATCTTGTTATCACTGTAGCAATTCCACGCTTTAGCTGTTGCCATGGAGACATTTGGTCTGAGGAGGACTCAGTCCTTGAAGAGTCTCTCTGAGGTTCAGGAGAGGTCATGGGTCATGCCGGCCTCCACCCGCTGGGACAGGAAGTCAGTGTCTCAGCTGGTCCAACAGTAAGTCCTGTATAAGAGACTCAGAGTAAACATTCACAATTCAAATATTAGAAATCTTGCTGCTTGATCACAATATAAACTGATCAGTATACTGGAGGGAGTAAAATATCAATGGGTGAAAATGATGTTTTATAGATTGGTTGATCTTGGTTTGACTCAAACAAAAAAAGAAAAAGTGGCAAAAAATTAAACAAAAAGCAAAAATGTCTAGAGAACAAAACATGCATTTTGTATTAAAAAAGGAAGCAACAGCTCATTTGGTCCCACCACTTTTCAACAGTGTTGAAAAAAAGAAACTGAAATTTAAAATTTATTATTTCAGTGAAAGCCATTTTAATTGGTAATATTCCATTGATCATGTGTGTAACTTATTTGTAAAATGTAGAAATTTGAGGGAATTAAAAAACTGCAGACTTGTGTTTTTATTAATTCAGTTGTGTTTTGCAAGTAAACCCTAAATTACAGCAATGCAATAACAGTTGAAACATTTTATTCACAAACCATTTGAAGTTATTAGTTTCCCCACATTCAAGCATCTAGTTTACATTGAGGGGAAAATTTGAGGGTTTATTTCAGATTATCCAAACCTTTGTTTGAGATGTAAAGTTTTATGTCAATAAATGTGTCCCTACAGTTACCAAAGCTGTGCTGACCCAACCACTGTTGAAAAAGTGGAGCACAAACTTCAGGTAGTTCTTATTTTTCAGTACTCTTTTTTATCAACATGATGAACATTAAAAAAAAACACAGTCTAATAGCACATCTGTGTCCCTCTGTGCTGTCAGGTGTCAGAGAGTCGTGCAGTGGATGATGGCTGGAGGTTTGAGAGCAGGGAGAGCATGTCCATGTGGGGGTCTGGAAGAAGATCCAACCTGTCCAGGAGTCGCTCCATGGACTTCCTCCCCCAGAAAGAGTCTCGAGGTACGAGAGCTCTATGTGCTCTGTTTGAGTCCAAAGCCTCCCTGCAGCAGAGCTTCGTTAGTCCTCGACTCAACTCAGTGCCTGTTATTGGCAGTAAAATGGGGAGAGAGTTCCCCCTGCAGGACTGGAGAAGTCACAACACTCCTTCAAAGGACTCAACCATCCAGGTGTGTGAATTTAGTACAAATCATGATTAAAGATGTGAATTTAGCAGGATTTCTGTTTGTTGTTAAACCGATTGTTTACTATAGCTACTAGGATTTAATTTGTATTGATTGGTGCCAATGCTAAAAGATGTGCTTTTGTCAAGGCCTGTATGAGGATCTGTGTAATATCTTGTCTTGGCTATAAACCAGTGATAACATTGTGCTGTGTTTATGGCATAGGTAAGCTGTTATGTAAATATTTCTTGTAACATGTAACTTGTTAGTCATTCCAAAACACCACCACAGAGTGATATGTAGTGATTTAAAAGACTCTAGTATGAAGACATTTTGCCAAAACTTACAAAATACAAATCCAGACCCCAGGATATAAAACAAACACATTGTATTCATGTTACTACTTCAACAAATTAAGATTCAAAATGCTGAAAAACAGCTGGAGAGACTCTAATTCAGATGGTCATATACAGTTATTGTACTTTGGGAAATACTTTATCTTGGGGAATTAAGATAATCTTTTTCTTTGACATGTTGTCTTCCCAAAAACACTCTCGTATTTCAACAGTCTTCAGTCTCATTTAGGTCTGTACTGTAGTTACTTTGTTTGTTAGCTGAAAAAAGCTGTCTACTTTTGCTTGTATTTGATTCTCTAATTTGAACCATGTCACATCAGTTAGTGTGGAGGTGGCAGACTTTAATACTGTGCTTTAATACTATAGCCAGTCACCATGAGGAGCTCTTAACTGCTCGGCTTTACTCTGGATAGCTGTTGTTTTGTCTGGTATTTTATAGGTAGAGGACAAAAGCCAGCCTGTCTATGTTAAAAGTTAGCATCCACACTCACCTTGGAGAATCTCTCTCTCACGTTTTCAGACATTTTATCTTTTAAATCTAACCTGTTTAAACTTGTATATATAAGATTTTCATAAATAATAAACTTTGCCAACCATTTAGAATAGATAAAGTGGTTGAAAAGTTGTATGACTTATTTTCTGTTGGCTACAGTAGATTACTTTGGTCAAACCATTTTAGTGTTAAAAGTCGTTTGTTTGGACTTTGTTCTAAAAGTAGCTGGTACACTAGAAATCCTCAGAAAGATTTAAATGCACTTAACCTTTATCCAAAGATGAGAGCCTTGGTTTCTGCTGCTTTGTTTCCCAAAATGTTGAATAATTTCTTTTCAGTTCTTTTGTTTTTAATCTCAGATGGTCACTCTCACAAATATTGTGTTTTGACATTAACTAAGAAATACTTTGTTGTTTTTGTTTATCTGTAGAAAAACACCCAGGTGGATGGAGGACATGTCATGAATGGACTGACCGAGTCTTACGACAGATCATCCAGATACTCACATGGTGAGCAGCAGGGCTAGATTTCATGCTTAGTCACTGGGAATGAGGTGAACGGGGGTTGATGCCAGGGTTTCCCCAAAGACATGAGATCACTGTTGTATTTTGGTGCCATGGCTCATCATCAGTTGTCCTCACTTTATGGGACTGTCGAACACTCAGATTTAAGACCACAGTCTTAATCCCACTTTAAATGTTGGTGCTTTTTCTGTCTTTCTTTAAAATACTGGCTGAGCTCTTGATTTATCGGTGCTTCTTGATACATCTAGCATATTAGATAACGCCAGATTAAGTTACAGCTGAGCAAAATCATGAGTATCAAAGCCTTTGGTCCTTGACAGACCAGGATTTGGGAGTATACAGCTAAATAAAGACAAGGATGAGGTGGTGTAAAAGCATAACTATGTGTTGGGATTCTGTGCTTAAGATAGGAGTGAGGTTGTCTTACTCTATCCGTGACGCAGACCTTGGCCCTCTGAGCCCTGCCTCTCAGTGTCCTGTAAGTGATATGGCTGCAGCATATCGTAGCTGACGTTTTGAGCCTGTGATGTGTCTGCTGTGAGTAAAACACAGGCGGGAACGAGAGCTGATAAATAAAGCAAGTGTCACTGCTAGGAAATCATAAAACATAGAAAATAAGCTGAAACTATGGCTACAGATCACATTTTGTCTTGTTGGGACCCTTAGAACAATCTGGCCACATTTATGTAAAACAATTAGTCAACTTTTGTTTAAAATAAAGAACAACTTCTTACACTTTACAACACACTAGGATAAGGTTCTGGTCTTTGTTTCAGTTTGATCGTAATATTACAGAAAAGTCTCCTCATTATCGCACATATGACCAAAATAGGCCTTATTTTTATCATATTGTCCACCAGACATCCACTGACACACATACAGGTCCCACCCAGTGCCCGTTATAGTGGGTGACAATGTATCTGTGGGAATGGGAGGTGGAGGGGTCCCCCACCGACTAACAGAGCAGATTGACTCAGCCGCCAGCCCACCCTCCCAAAATAGCCAAAGTCTTCCTGCGGGGCAGTGGGCTCTGATAAAAATCAGCTGTCACCAAGGCCGCAGGACGAGAAAGAGATCAGCCAGAGAGAAAGAGAGAGGAGACAAACTGTATCACACATCACAGAGGTCTGAAGAGACAGACAACAGGGAAGAGGAGATATACGAGGAGAGGACAGAGAACCACGCTGGATGGTGATTTAGTGAGTACCATGAGGAATATGGAATTGATTTTTATTATATTTTCATAGGGGTAATGCTGTTTCACATAGTTACAGAGCAGGGGCTGATATATCACAAAGAAAGTTATAAAGTTATCCAATTTGCAGCTCATGTCCCTACTGGGCCTTTTCATATTCACTGTACTCAAGTGAAATAAACTGGTGTGACTATATATCGAATTTACATTGGAAATTACTGCAAAAACCACTCTCAGTATCATTTCATATCAAAGCTCTTTTATTAGAAGACATTCAAGGATCAGCTCAAAAAAAAAACTTGATTGGCTGCTACTTACTTTTTTTATCAGCTTAAGTCTTCAGTACTGTTTCTAATATCAAGTGGAAGTAAGTTTGTCTGTTTGTATTTCATTAAAAATCTCAGACACCAAAGTCCGATTGAACAGAAGCAATGTCTCATTCTGTTTTTTGTTTTTTTGCAGTGTAGTAGTAATTCTCGGCTTTATGTAGTTTTCATAGACTTTTTGAAAGAATTAAATCATAGAATAAATTAGTAAATGGATATCTTTGAGAAAAAAAAAACACTTAAAAAAGATATACCATCAAGATATTTCCTCCTGACTGGGATTAAAAAAAATCGGTTGTGTCTATGTGTCCTGGATTGTCATCAAGTCTTAAGTGGATATCATATTACAGCTGGGAAATGTCTGGTATGTGGGGGTCAAACATTGCTCCTTTTTATCATCAAATCAAATAGGATATGTTCTAAAACTGAAGAGTTTGACTCAAAGCTGTAACTCAGATGTAACTTCTTATTCCAGTGCGATGTGCTGTTCGTGGGTCTTAGGCCTTGCAGTCTTTCGACACACAGGTTTTCATTACTGTCTGTGAATGTGACGACAATCTTTGACAGCTGATGGTGGTGAAGGTGCTGGTAGTGAAGAACAAATAGCAACTGCATTTCACTATCATTTGTGCAGCTGCCCACGGCCCAGAACGCCCCCACATTGCTGTGCTGCTAATAGCTCCTCTTCATTCCTGCAGAATGAAGGTGGATCAAAGAGCTGTCAGCGGAAAACCCTTTGAAAGTGTGGGAATCACCGAGAAAGGAGTCCATGAAGATGAATTTCTTTGCATTGCTTTTGATTTAGAAACAACCGGATTTCTCTGATTGATATTTTACTGGCATTAGATTTTTATGTGTGAGTGTTCGGTGATGACAAGTGATGAAGTTGACCTCTCAGTTTGGGCAGTGAGGACTCGGTTGCCGCATTCTGTCTGTTCATCCAGCTATGAAAATGCTTTAAGTCCGGACTCGTGAGAGGCGCCAGCCTGCTGGTCCATGCTATTGTCCTGTGAGGGCTTAGCGCGTGAAAAGGCGAGGTGTGTGTTCAAATCTGGACATTAGTTACAGCTGGCTGGCCTCTGCACCACATTGGATTGTTGACCTCTGCCTAAATTCACCATGAATTTGTTTTGAACTATTTTCTTAACTTTATATCTGTATCTCGTAATCAAAAAGATTAACTTTTCTGCTGGTTTAGTCTGAATTTCTTTGCTTTTTATGTCAAGCAGAACTGTTTGGCAGCAAAAAAACCCTCAGGGTGAAATATGTACTCCAAGGCCGAGATCATTTCCATGTTTCTCTCAGGGTCAGGCTCTCACATTCCTGCGGTCAGGTGTTGATGGTTTGACAGCAGAGAGCTCACACAAACAATGTGCAAACAATCTGTGTGACTCCAGCTGAGCTAGCAGTTGCTGCTTTTTTTTTCCTTGGGCGTCATGGTGGGTCCATGGTATGCAGTTTGGTGAAGGTCCCAGGCTGCAGGCAGGCTGTGTGGGCCTGTTTTTGGATCAAAGCCTTGGTAAACAGACTGCTGCTTGTTACAATATTTGTCTTTACCACACATGTAGGTTTAGTTAGAATAGAAGCTACTAGAATAAATGCTCCAAATCACCGTTGAGAAATCAACACGGCAGAGTTGCTGGAAATTAAATAGTTTCCAAGAGTAACCAGTCAGCTGAAACAGTGATAAGAAAGTTTCCAACTTCACTATAAATAAACACCAACAGCTCCGCTATAAATAGGCATGCAGGGTGTTATCATTAAAGTACTGGAAACACTCTGCTTGAGCCCTACTTTTACAAGTAACACTGATATCAATCAAAACTGGCAGCAGGGATAACAAAGTGGTTATATGACCTCAGTCATTGTTATTGATGATGGGAGTTAAATTTTATACCAGTGAAGCAGATCAGATTTGACTCTGACCAGCAGTGAGTGCTGACTGTTTTGGCTCCTAAATGGCTCTTCAACGTACAATTACAATCAGTACCACATTAAATAGAAAAAAAAATACATGATTTGAGACAAGTCCGAAATGTATGATTAAGTCCTCGAGAGTGGGGTGGGATGGGGTGGGTAATAATGTCATAAATGTACAAAAACAAAGTTGTTATTTTAGCTGAAAGTTTGCCATAAGGGAATATTTTAGAAGAGCACCCATCCACCTGCACTACATTACAGACATGGTGTATCTGTGAAGTCATACTATAATATCTAGGTTTCATACATGACCTAGTGCTTAATCTCTGAGCACATTAGAGATATCAGGACCACAGAAAGATTGTTGGAAAAATTAAATTATAATGCACTGTAGATAAATAAATCCACTTCGATATGGTCAGGCGAAAAGGCAGTCCAAGCGTGCTTATGTAACCACTGTGTGTCTTAAGCTTGTCAATTTAACTTCACAAGATAATCAATGCTCCTCACTCAAGTGCAAACTGCTCTCATGAGATCACCCTTTACATTATTTGACAAACAGATCAAGCATGGCATCTACTTATGACTTCTTTCTCATAAAATTACAACTTTTATCAGATATAGGCTGTTCTTAATCATTTGTATGTATTAACCAGTGAGGGTAAAAGAAAGAAGGAATCATCCTTCAGGCATTCTGTCCTTACTACAGTCGTTTGTCTTTGCAAATGACCCATCACTATTTCTCCTAAACACATTTTGTAACTGTCTCAGGTTGACTCAGTGTTGGATTTCTTAACTGTTGCAGAGATATCATTTCACATTTCTGTTGTCTTCTCTGTTGCAGATGACAAATATAATCCATTACTGACTCCGGGGGGCACCCCATCAAGACAAAACAGAGACAGGATATCTCTATCATCGTCAGTGAGAGACAGATCAGCTATCTATCTGTCAAAAGCAGCAGCCACAGACTCCACAGGAGGCTCCACACAGACTGTGAGTTCCTGACATGCCTCTCATTCCTGCACACACACTCAGAGGTCCAGGGCCTCAACACAGAATGAGCACAATGCTCTAAAACAATAGAGGCAACTCAACATTAAACAATAAATCCATCAAAAGCTTTTGATATACACAGCTTCTACACAGAAGATAATGTGACTGTCTCATAACTCAAACTGAACTCATTCTCTCTCTCTCTCTCTCTCTCTCTCTCTCTCTCTTTTAAACAGGAATTCATTGGTACTCCAGTCACAAAGACTAAAACAACAACAACAAAGGTACTTAACAACCCTCACAGCATCTTCTGCTTAAGAGTGTGTGTTTGCTGTGAAACTGACTCTTGCTCTGCTTGTATGATCCAGTTAACATCTGCCTTCTATTTACATCACATTAACATAAATAGATTGATAAATGAACACAAAATTAAGCAAACTGATTTGTGTGCTGTATCATGTTGTTTGTTAAAAGCCCTGAGTTACAACCAACCAACAATAAGCACAGATTGATTTTACCAATGTTAAATTTTGTACCAAACATGTGGTATCGGCAGCAAAGAAAACGTATTCTTCACCTAGTTATAAGAACCGCTATTTTAAAAATAAAAACTTTGCCGCTATAAGTATAGATGTTAAAACTGGCCCACGTATACTTAATTCTAACAGTAATGTCTGCTCTTGTGCCATATTTTGGACATTTTGACTTCAATCACTCTAACTAAAAAAAAAAATCTGCTTAGACAAAGCATGTCTTCCTGCTGTGAAACTGCTCAGACAGAATAAACGGCGTGTGCAGCTAAGCCTCAATGCCCTTTTATGTATCAACCAGAAATCTCTTTGTTATCATGACAATCTCAGTCATGTCTGATGTGTTTGTTAAAGTCCTCCCCTAACAGATTCCAAGACTTTAAAAGAGGGATAATGTTTATCCGACTCTGATAGATCTGTTATTCCTACCATCAGTATATGACAAGTGCATAGGTGCGTGAAGTCTGCCTACTAACAGCTTTGAAGTGTTTTGATAACCTTGGCGTGACACGAGATGGTTTGCTGTGAAAAACATCATGGGAGCATCAAGAAAAGGTAAAGTATGGCTTCACTTGCTAAAAAGCATGCAGTTCTAATACTTGCACATACATCATATAACTCTACTCTTCAGTACCAAAACCTGAGTGTATTACTCCCATCTGTCTTTCATTTAAAGATGGCTGAGGCAGCCAGGAAAGTCACGGTGTCACCATCATCTCATAATGAAGACGACCTGCCTCCTCCTCCACCTCCTCCTGTACCACCAAGACCTCTTGACTATGAAGGGCCATCAGAGTTGGATAGCCTTCCCGTGCCTCCACCCAAAGAAATGTTCTCTGGGTTCTACCAACAGCGGCAGAAAAGCGAGCTGAAGAGGCTCTTCAAGCACATCCACCCAGACCTACGAGCAAATCTGGACGTTGCAGTTGATGATGAGATACTGAGGGCAGTGCACTCGGAAAACCCAGAGGCAGCGGACACAGGATATCAGGGTGAAGTTCAATCAATGAGGTGGATCTTTGAGAACTGGAATCTGGAAAATATTGGGGATCCTCATGAAACCAAGAAGCTGATGTATGAGGAGGAGCTGAAAGGTGGAGATGTTAGAAGCACCTCCTCTATGTTTGAGCACTTTGACAGCACCCAGCAAATATCTGCCCAAAGACAGACCTCAGTCAGAGGAGATGTGAGAACATCAATGTGGCTGTTCGAGACTCAGCCTTTGGATTCTCTAAATAAATCAAACAGAGAAGATGGTGAACTGGTAGAAGCAGTGCTAAAGGAGCCCATCCAGACAGGGGATGTACAAGGGGCTAGGCTCCTTTTTGAGTCTAAACCACTAAGTGAATTAGGACGCTGCAACTCCATCGAAGACCACAGTTTCCTCAAATTAAAATCTGAGCTTCAGGAGCAGAAAGGAGACATCCAGAAGACCCTGAAACTCTTCCAGGCAGATCCCTGCTGTGCCATCAGAGACAAAAGTGGAAATATCCATGAGATTAAATCCATCTGCAGGGAGGAAATCAACAGCAACAACATCAGCACTGCCCGCTGGCTTTTTGAAACACAGCCTTTAGACCTGATAAATAAAGGAACTGATGGGTTGAAAATAATCAGAGGTATATCTCTTGAAGAGGGCCAAAAAGGGGGAGTTGACCAGAAGAGGTGGATGTTTGAAACTCAGTCATTTGACACAATACAAGAGGTTGTTGGAGAGGGAAAATTTGAAGGGACATTGACTGAATGTGCAGAAGAGGCTGATGTCCTCAACAAGAGGAAGCTCTTTGAAATGCAACCATTGGCATCACTGAAAGGAGACTCTGAGGAAAAGTCTTTGGAAAAAGAAGAAGTCATCGGAGGAGATGTGAAGACTTCTCTTTGGCTTTTTGAAACTCAACCCATGGAAGCCCTGAGTGACAGCTATGAAGTTGGGCGTTTAAAGAAAATCACCCTTTCATCTGAAGAACAAGGAGAAGTTAAGGGCAAAACACAGATGTTTGAGGGCACAAGTATGCAAACACACACCTCAATGAAGGAGCAAGAGATTGTAAAGGGTGATGTTAAGGGATTCAAACAACTCTTTGAAACAATTCCTCTGAGCAAAATTACTCGCTCTGATGAGGAACCAATGGAGAAGGAAACAGCCGTTGAAGTAGGAAACGTAAAAGGCAACAAGGCAACATTTGAGACAACTCCTTTATATGCAATTAAAGACAGCTCTGGCAATCTACACAAGGTCACAACAGTCAGCCGAGAAGAAGTGATCAAAGGGAAGGTCCAAAACTTTAAATGGATGTTTGAGACCAAGCCCTTAGACAAGCTTGCAGATGAAAATGAAAATGTTGAGGTCATCAAAGGCATCACGAGACATGTGGATACAAAGGGTGACGTCAAGACGGCAAAGTGGATTTTTGAGACGCAGACAATAGATGGGATCCATTCCAAGTTCAACCAGAATACCTCTGTTAAGGAGGAAATCCACAAAGGTGCTGTCAAGACCTGTAAATGGTTATTTGAGACACAGCCAATGGACATTTTATGTGACGTACCAGAAAAACGTGAGAAAGAAGCCATCGACAGTGCTGATGTGAAGTCCATTACTTGGCTTTTTGAGTCTCAGCCTCTTGACTCCATCAAAGATGGTGAAGAATACAATCTGAAGCTTTGCAACACCATTACGGATTCTGTCAAATCAGGGGTTGGTGTCCAAACAGTAAAACATCTTTTTGAAACAGAAACCTTGGATAGAGCAAGAAAAGGTGCAAATCTTGAACGTGGTGTGAGACGTGTCAGCCAGATCAACTTTCAGTCTGGAGATGTCTCACGAGTCAAAGAACTCTTTGAATCTCAGTCCCTCGATGAAATCGGATCAGAAATGGTGACAACATCCGATGAAAAGAACCAAGATGAAAAACAGATTGAAAAAGGCTCAGTACATACATTTACTTGGATGTTTGAGAACTGCCCCATGAACCAGATAAACAAGGACAAAGAAGATGAAAATGTTCAGAAAGTTAGTGGTGCAGAGAGTGGTGATGTCCAAAACAAAAAGTTTATATTTGAAACCTCCTCACTGGACAAAATCCACGAACAACCCCTTGAAGAGAATTCAGACTCCGTGGAACAGCCCATAAGTAATGTGGATGTAAAGTCAAGCACCATGATGTTTGAGTCTCAGCCATTGTACGCCATCAGAGACAAAGAGGGCCAGTTTCATGAAGTTACAACGGTGAAAAAAGAGGAGGTGATGAGTGGTGATGTAAGAGGAGCAAGATGGATGTTTGAGACAAAACCCCTTGATGCTATCAAAGCAGAAAATGAGGTTTATGTGATCCGCGCTGTCACCCAAGAAGACATCAAGAAAGGTGATGTCAAATCAGCAAGATGGAAGTTTGAGACCCAACCTTTGGACTCCCTAACCAGTGCAGACACGCCCTCTGTCAGAGTCGTTGAAGACTTAGGAAACACTAATGTTCAGCAGAATAAACAAATATTTGAATCTGAGCAGTCAAACAAGAAGTTTGTACGAATGGTAAGCGTCACTGATGTTCAGCAAGGTGATGTCCGAACTTCCACCTGGCTCTTCGAAAATCAAAGCATTGACAGCCTGAAAGGGGAACCTCAGGAGGAAAGCCCAGTTAAAACAGTCCACAGAGAAGACAGTCAAAAAGGGGATGTTAAGCGCTGCACGTGGCTGTTTGAATCGCAGCCCCTGGACAAGATCAAAGAGTCAGAGGGTACCTCAGCACAAGGTACTGAAGAGGAGATACCAAAAGCTGATGTGAAGTGTACCACCTGGCTCTTTGAGACCACTCCATTAGACAAAATCATTGCCTGCACTGTTACTGACACTCTGTCCTATCTGCACCAAATGAGTTTTGTCCACTCAAGTGGCATCATAATAGAAGCAAACGAGAGCAAGAAAGTTAACATGGCAAAGTATGTGCTTGAGAGTAATCAAGGCGTGCAAATCCAGAAAGAAGATGTTGTTGGAGGTAACATCAGGAACATCATGTTACAACTTATAATCAAACCAACCCTGAAGCCCCAAATCAGTCTGCTCAGAGAGGTGGAGAAGGGTAAAGTCAATGCCACAGTCGTCGAACTTCCAGTCTACCAGTCATCCACAACTGTTACAGTGGAGAGGGATCAAAGGATACAAAGCATTGTCCAGTTGGTTGAGGAAATGCTTGTTCAAGATAAAGGTTTGAAAAAGGGAATTGTAATGCAAGAGACTACAGAGGGGCGCGCTGAGATGTTGGTCTATTCACTGCTCTGCGATAATGAAACCAAGACTGACAGTCCTGTTATTGAGAAAGGTGACGTTAAATCTACAATTGGGAGTCTTTTAGCTACAGCCAACAGTCAGAGGACTGCAGCATCATGTCGAGTAGACACAAATGAAAAGGGAAATGTGAATTTGTACAAAAGTTGCATTGAAAAGGGAGATCTGCACTATCTGAAAAGCCTTCATGCTGAGGCATCAGGAGATGAAGTCGACCACAGTTTGGATGAAGAGCACATTGAAATAATTCAGGGGGATGTGAAGGAAGCAAAGAGAAGTCTTTGTCAGCAAAGAGACCAAGTAGAGAGAACTGTTTCTGATGTTCTGCCAGGGGATGTTAAGAATACCAAGAAGGTTTTCGCATCAGAGTGCTCATTCAATATTGAAAGCTGTGTCCCAAGGGAAGAAATCATACCTGGAGACGTGTCCTCAGCAAAGCAACAACTTGCAGAGAAGCAACCTGTCATCGTAGAGAAAGAAGACATTGTGGCAGGTGATATTAAGGCAACAATGCAGTCACTGGAACGTGCCAAGCAGCAGAGCATGTGTGTTGAGCGAGAGGTGATTACACCTGGCACAATCTATGACATGGATTTGTCACCTGAATGTCCTGAAGTAGAAAGCAGTCTCGCTCAAAAAGAGGTCATTATATCTGGGGATGTGAAGGCAGCCAAAAAATCCCTGGAAATGGCCAAGCAGCAAAGCATGCATATGGAACGCGAAGTTGTTGTCCCAGGAAAAATATACAACCTGAATGTCACAGCACAGGAGCAAAGCACCTCCTCAACGAGTCAATCTACATGTTCATCTTCCTCAAGAACCCAGCAAATCAAGACAAGCAAATCAAAGGTCAGTGATGCAGGGAAAGCTAGGGAAAGCTATGTCTCATGTGAGGCTGCTCAACAAAGTGCAGTCATAGTTAGTAATTGTGCACTAGAGTCACTGCCATCTTTTGAAAGTTATGAATGTAATGGTCAGACAACAGAAGATGAGACAGAGGAAGTTATCAGAGGAGATGTGAAGGCAGCTATCAGGTCTCTGCAGAGTGCTGCAACAGAGCAAAAGCTCTTAGATAAAGAGGATATTGTAAGAGGTAATGTCCAGTTGGCTCTGCAGTCTCTTGAGAAGTCCAGTGTAAATGTAACCAAAGGTGACTATAAAGCTGCAATGATATATAGGAATTCAGGGAGGTCTTGTTCAGGAAGGAGCGAGACTGTTCACAATCAGTGTGTTCTGGTGTCTATGCCTCCATCTGACACAAAACTGTCTCCTTCAATTTCAGTAACCTATGAAGGACAACCAACCATTACAACACAGAATTCATCACCCAGCCCTGTAGCAAATGGATACTCTAATTCATCCAGCCCTGTGACTGTGTCTCCACCTCCAATCCCCCAAAAGACAAGTGAAAAGATGCAGGCTCAAAGGCCAGCTTTACCACGAAAACCACAATGGACAAAATCAGTAGTTGTGGAAGAACAGAATACTTCACCTGAAGTCTCTGTGCCCATTAAACACCACATGAAAAACACAGTTACGCCACCAGAACAAGGCAAACCCTTTCAAATGCCCACCTCTGATAAACTACAAGAAACCATGAAACACCCAGAGACCTTGCAGAAAACCTACCAACAAGACTATGTTGATGAAGTGGTGCAAAAGTCGAATAAAAAAATAGATCATCTACCAGTGGACTCCAAGAAAACAGTACCATTTACAGCAAGCAGTTCAGACTGTCAAGGAATGATGTCTGGCTCTAATGAAGTGCAAATTGAGAGAAACGTCATCCAGAAAATCAATGCAGCAGAGGAGATACAAATGTGTATGAAGAGTTATGCTGTAGAAGGTAAACAAGATATGAACATGAGCTTACGGGCTGCTTTGCAGAATTTTGAGAGAAAGGAAAGTCACACTACAGACAAAAGTACTCCCACATTGCCCAAAAAGGTGAGAATAACTAATGGGGATATAAGTAATCAGAAACAAATCAACAAAGCTAACCCTGGACAAAAATCACAATCCACAGCACCAGAGATACAGCACAGTACTTGTGATGTGCAGCAAACCTGGCAAACCAAAAGTCCAGATGATAGATTACAACAACATGATGTCAGTGAAAGGCAAACAAATCTTGAGGATAAAGTTGTGCTGAGAGAAAAGAAGGTAAAGGAAACAGATGATGAAAGAAGACAAAGACTCTCTGTACACAAGGACGAGATCATGAAAGGAAACGTTAAAGCAGCTATGGAAATCTTTGAAAATCTGAGAAAACGAGAGGAACTTAAAGGTATCTTGAGTCAAGTGCAAGAGATAGAGGGTGAGACCAGCAATGCAGACGCTTGCTCTTTGAATATGTTGTACAACAATGTCCCTGCTTGGATGGAAACATCGAAACAGCGAAAAAAAACAGTGGAAAAGAAAGTTGATGCCGAGCCACAGGACGATGATCTAGAGAGCATCTCCTCAGTCGAAACTGCATTCGAGGACCTGGAAAAGGCAAGCAAAGAAATAATATACTTGAAGGAACAAACATTGGCAAAACTCCTCGACATTGAAGAGTCGATTAAAAAAGCCTTGTACTCCGTGTCCAATCTGAAGTCTGAGGCGGACATTGCAGGGTTGTCAGGACTGTTTGATGAGTCTTTGAAAACTGAGCAAAACTTTCACACGGCCTCCAACATCAGGAAAATAAGTATTGTGTCAAGCAAGGCCAAATCTGGGAAAAACAAAGAGATTTCTGAGGTGCAAGTGGATTCTGATCCTAGTAAACCAGAACCACCCAGACAAGTGCAGAATAAAGCACTCATCAGACAGTCCTCTTCACAGTCTTCTCCTTCATTCATCTCCATTCACTCAGCTGCCAGAAAGCCTGCAGAACAACCAAAGCCAACCATGTCAACATTTAAACCAGCAACAGACGGTAGTTCTCATACTTTACCTAAAGATCTGGAACAAGAGTCTGCTGCTGCTGCTGCCGTGTCCTCAAAAAACAGTCACAGCCCTCCACAACGCAAGGTCAGTGTGCTGGAGGTACAAACTGTCCCTGAGCAACCGGCAGGAATTATTGGCAGGAAGACTGTCAGTGAAACATATGAAGAGACTGATGGCTTTGGCAATGTATTCCTTTCCTCTGTGACTTCAACGGTCGTCACCAAACAGTCTGACGCAAATTCATCAGCACTTTTTGAAGTAGTTGGAAGTCCAGCCAAATATGAAGTCATGACATCCCCGTCAGTCAAAAGATCTGGTTGCCTGTTTCAAGATAAAATGTCAAGGAACCCCAAGGAGGAAGGGAAAGTGTTTGTTACATTTAGCCAACCTAAGGAAAAGCAATAGATGACACCGAGGAAAGCCAAGTATTGGATTTTCGGGGAAACACTTATTCCATTTATGTATACTTATTTCATTATGTTTTCATGAAAAGGTTTTGTGAGTCATAAATTTATAAAATGAATCATGAAATTGTTGACTTTTGATTTTAAAAAAACTGTCTTAGATTTTGTACTGTAACCACATGTTTAAGTTTTAAGTTCTTTTTGCAAAATTAAACATATATCTGATACTGTGTTATGTTGTGTAAACTGTGAAATAAATAGAAATGTAAAGGATGTTACACTTTAAATGGTCCCTTTTCCTTTATTCTGGGTCTTCTTTTGTACACATTTGTTTTATCTCATCAAGTAAATAAAACAATAAATTGGTGATAAAGCAACAAAATTAGCATTAACAAACTGAGAATGACAATAAATGTGTTACATGATGGTGAACAGACACAGAGTGATTATAAAATGTTTATTCTAAAATTTGCCATTTTAGTTGAATTGAGAGGAAAAAATCTAATTATGTCGATATAGCAAATAATTAATGAAAAGCTCATAAAAAATTAGGCCAGTCAAAATTAATGCGTTAACCCAAATTAATCCATCAGCATTATTAATTTGATTAAAATTTTTAATGCAATTAACCCATCTGCTGCACAGAATGACTCAAAATCCCTGAAACACTTGACGACGCATTTTGGGCAGTTTGTCCAAGAAGCGTTACAGTGCACAGTGTTACAGTGCATGCACAAATGGGCAGTTGATCTGTTAGAGACAAGCTTTAAACAATTCAAGATGGAAGACACTAAACAGCATGTTGGCTCTCACGATGGGAAACTGGGTACAAAAAAACCATGATAAATAATATGAAAAATAATCCTTAAAATTATTTAAAAAGTCCTATATGAAGAAATGATCCATATGCTGTGGGTATCAGAGGTTGGACTGAATATTTCAGTTCTGTAACCTCTCGGCTAAAATAAAAACTTTATAAGGTCTACAGTAATTGTCACACACTAGAACCAGGTCTGTGTGGCAACAACCTTAAGGTCACTGTAGGTTAAAAAGAGACAGAAAAGTGTGAAGCTCCAAAATGGTCTTCAAAATACTGCAGAGGCAGAGCTTCATTTGTCACAACTTTTGCTATGCTTGTGCCCCATGTCGTTCAGCAGATGCCCTTTTATTTTTCCACCCTTGTCCCTTAAAAAGCCTAAGTTAGAAATTCCCTCTGGCTATTTATTCACAGGTTTGTCAGTAAGAATGTGCAAATACAATACAATCTGACAGCAATGTGCAAAAAAAGTCAAGAAAATATGATCTACATAGTTACCTGTCTAGGCTCATTAATCAAGTCTGAAGTTGCTTCTCCATGGACCACTTGATGATTTGTAAATCCAGATGTGCTTCACTACACAATCTACAAGGCTTAAAAAAAAAAAAACATGGAGTACTCAAAGGAGCTCAAAGCTTTCTAGCCTCGTCTCACTGTTGATACCTTAATATTGGCACAGTAATGTATAACTGCATGCATTTTTAAAAGGCACTCAAAAACGTGGTGGTGCAAGATGGTGGCCTCAGTAAATATACAAGATGTAAATTATATGTTATTTTATATTTTCAGGAGATTAAACAATGATGTTATGAATATTTTATTCCAATTCTACAGAGTTTCTACCAAGCTTAATGGTTGGTTGATTGTCTCTGTGTAAAATAAAACAAAATAAAATTAAATTAGGATTTAAAATATATATATAAAATAAAATAATACGATATAATATAATAATATAACTACCTATGGATTGAGGATAGAACAAGAGCACAGAGCCAATTTCTGTTTTTGAACCGTATATGGTTTAAATGTATTGTTTGTTTAATCAAATCAAATGATGGATTTTTTTAATTACTTGAGAAATTCAGCCTCTCCAAAAAATCTTATCATACAAGAACTTTGCTGAGTTGAGGATTATGGGAATAGATAGAAAACTGTATGCAAAAATGGTGGTAGTCCTACTGTGACCCTTGTGGCATGGAAAACAAAAGAAGTTCAAGATCGCATTTACAGTCAAAAAGCTGCAACAAGTGATAGACGGCACAACTAAATGAAAATGTCTGTTGATCTATCCTGCTCATGCTAAAATGAATTTGCTCTACCATCGTAGTTCCTGCCACCTGCCAAGGAAATGTGTTCTGCCTGTTTGACACCTGTGTATCCCATGGAGAAAATGGTGGCCAACAAACTTATCCTGCACAAAAGCTGTTTCTGCTGTAAACACTGTAAGAAGAGGCTCAGGTGAGACAATTTCATGAGGAAATAACCCAGATCAACATTCTGAAAAAGTTACTCAATCAATCAATCAATCATGGAGCACCAGATTTACAAATTTACTTTTTTTTCATATCACAAAAAAACAAACAAAAACAAAACTTGTTTTGATTTTTCAGCATCCACAACCATTCATCTCTTTATGGGGAGTTCTACTGCATTTCTCACTATCAACAGCTTTTTAAAAGAAAAGGGAATTATGATGAAGGATTTGGACACAAGCAACACAAAGACCACTGGCTTCACAAAAATAAAGGCACAGATGAGCCGGACGTTGTTTCCACTCCTAAAGTGAAAAAAAGTAGCAAAAGCAGTTTAAGTGACAGCATCAGGGATTCCTCTGCTGATGCTTTTATAACCAAGTCGTCTGCAAGAGAGCTGGGATCCAACAGTGGTGCCGATGTTAAGGGCAAACTAAAAATGAGCTGGCCACCAGAGAAGAAGACTGCTGGGGTTAATACAGCAACAACAACGTACGTGAAGAGCAATATCTCTGACATTTCCAAAACATCCTCTTACAGCAGAAGCTTCACAGAGCATCAGAAGAGTGACACCCAGCAATTAAAGACCAACCATGGTGGAGAAGTGAAAGACAAAGTGAAGACATTGACAAGTTCCTTCATTTCAGGGATGAAAGAAGAATCCAAAACAACAATTTATAACTCAACTGAGAAGTTCTCCACAGAGGGACCCAAACCAAGGAGTGATCCGATCAAAGTGGAGCGATTTAAAGACAGAGTGGACGGCACGTCTCCAAGAGTACTTCACTTTTCTGTGCCCTCCCAAGAAAAGAGTATCACTGACACAAACCGAAAACCAGAGCATAAAAATGTGACACCAACCTCCAAAACAAACTACAGTCCAACACTGAAAAGACACAACAGCTATTCAAATAAATCAAAGAAGTCTGTACGATTTTCTCCAAATGTGGATGTTTCTCAGTTTGACCTGTCCTCTCAGCTGACCACAGAAGACAAAGAGGACAATACACAGCTTCAAGACTTACCTGAAGAGAGCACGGAGAATAAATCCAAGGATTCGAATGATGACAAAGAAGAAAATACTGCTGTCAATCTATTACCTGAGAGTGAACTAGAGGTACACCTTCAAACACCAGAGCATAAATGCAACGGAGAAATAGGCAAGACGCTAAACCAAGAGCAAGATGTTGGCGTGGAGAGCAGTGAGGAGATCCTAAGGACAAATATAGATGTAATGAATGGAGTTCCAGACAAGGTTGAGGAGTCGGTTAATATTTTCACTGAAACTGTGAAAATAACCCATGAAGTTGAGAAACACCAAGAGCCACCTGAGATTTCAGACATCAAACCAACAGACTCTGTCAATGAAAGTAAACCAGAAAATCCAGACGCTCCTGCAGAACCCTTGAACGGAGAGGAGACTGGACTTGAGAGGAATGTAAATCAACTTGAAAAGACTGACCCTGCCAATGATGACACCAGTGGGAGTAAAAGGACACCTGTTGCAAGGTCAAATTCTCTGAAAGGTTCTGTAAAACCAGCTGAAAAGCCAAAGGCCAGACTTGGATCCTGGTCCAAAGGAAAGAGTCCTCTATCAAAACTTTTCACTTCAGGTGGAACAACAAAAGGTGAACAGAAAGATGTAAAGAAACCAGATGGAAAACCAGGCGGTGGACTTTTGGGAAGATTGTTTCAGTCGTCCTCAGAGAAAGCAGAGGACAACATGAAATCAGCCACGCAAACTGAAGGTAATGATAAAAAAGATGCTGAAGCCAAAATGGCAGAGGAGGTAAAAGTAGCCGTGGCTGAGGAGACACCAAAGAAAGGTGATGGGATTCAGGAACAAGAAGCCAAGGAGCAGAAAGAGGAAGAGCCACAGTCCACAGAACCAAACACACCAGATAGGAACACAAATGCAGCTGTATGCCAAGAGCCAACTAACCTGCTCGAGGCCACAAAAAGTGAACCACAAGATGACCAAACAGCTCCAGAACAAAAGGATACAGATTTACAAAGTAGTCAGTCTTCAAGTGTGTCTGTGACCGATCCTGATCCTGAAAAAGCTGAGTCCAAAGAGTTTCCTATCACTGAGGAATCAGAGAGCCAAATATCTGAGGGGTGGAGCACACAGTTAATAACAGAGAACAGCAGCGATGTAGATTTGAAAACTACATTTAAAGATGATATTTTTGGAGACAGTGTCAGTTCAGCTGATGTTGACCCTTTCACTGTTCAAATGAATACTAATGAATCGACCCAAATGTCAGGAGAAGAGATGGATGCACCACACGAAGATGGACAAGACCTGTTTGGTGGAGCACTTCTTGATACCAACCAAGGATTTCCTGAAATTACAACTGATCCTTTTGGTTTGTCTGACTCTCAAGAGCTTATCGTGACCAACCCTGGTGATCCATTTTCATCTCCTCTGGGTGACACAGCTTTTCCTGCTTCAGGTGATACATTTGGTCTGCTTGACTCCAAACCTCACTCGACGCTGACTGAAAATGAAGTGACTCATGGCTTTTCAGATCCTTTTACCATTCTTGATTCAGCACCTGTAAACCAAACTGAGGACCAAATCTCAAGTCCGGTAGATGTAAGTGGTCAGACAAAAGAGCAGGAAACCAACTTTGACATTTTCAGCTCAAATGACTTCCTGTTCACTCCGTCACCTGCTGCTAATGTCCCTCCTCAAGAAGGATCTGCCTTCCCTGAAGATATCTTTGGAGTCAGTGATACTTTCAGCAGTGTAGATGTGTTTACAACTCTACCTCCTGCCTCAGGAACCTCTGACTCGCTGAATGATCTACTTGGAGTTGATGCATTTTCTGCTGCTGCTCCTTCAGCACAGACAAATCTTTTTGCTGATGACATCTTTGGATCAGAGCCACAGCTGCTCCCAGTATCTGAATCAAGTGACGTCAGTTTATTTGGAGACAGTCTTTTAGTGTCAAACAAGAACAACAACAGCAGTGGTGAGCAAACAGCCCAGAATACTGTATCAGACAGTAGCTGGATGGATGATTTACTCGGGTAAAAGCTGTTAGAAATTGACTTGATGACAACATTGGCAGACAGAAATAAAGACATTTTATTTCATGATGTTTCTAAAATGCACTTAAACGGATCTGAAAACTACTTGATAATCAACTAATGGAAACAAACGTGTTTTGCTAAGATTGCATTTTCTTTTGGATTATGTGTTAAATAAATTGTTCTTTGTAAATGTCATTTTAAATATAGCTCAAAATTTCACATTACAGTTGCAAAATGATAGCCTACTATATTTTGACCTAGATTTCAAAAAATGTGAATGCACTGAATTTGTTATTTAAATCTCTACTTCAATCAGTGGATCAGGGTATTAACTCAGCTTAAGTAGTCCTTGAAAAGTTGTTTATATTGTGATATGATACTTATGTGATTTGAATGTATTCATTTATGATTTATCTAATAAATTTACAACTTTGACAACTATGAAAAGTTATTTCATGACCACTTGAAGCTTGAATACTTTATAAATAAGGCAGCGTAGATTTTTAGCCCAAACTGAGAGGTAAACTTTAAAGTTCTGCTCTTGAAGCAAGAACTAGGATATTTTGTGTCATATAATGACTTTCTGAAATTTTTGTCATGACTCTTACTAAATTTGTATGCAGTAGCTTTCTGAAGTAAGCTTTCATTTTTAACCCTGTTTTTTATTGTAAGTATAAACCAGACATCTTTGACTGGCTCAGTTTTTTTATACAAGCTGACAGTCACATAGACTAAACCCTTTAAGAGTTTTGAAGATGGAGCCGAGCTGAGTTTGCGTCTAACATAAAACTGTTAAGAATTGATAAATGTCTTCATCCAAAAAGCTGGTGTTTGTGCTGTAGGCTGAGGTTCTTCAGTTTGATGGTAAAATTACTTACCTGTCCTTACGGTTATGGGATGTGGGGAAAATCATTCAGGTGAGTCATTTAACTAACCACTGACAGAGCAGTCTGCAAACCCTAGGCATCTAAGCAAATCATCAACAGCTAACTATGACACGAATAGGAGGTCAATTGACCACAGCTTATGAGGGGAAAACTGTCAAGATTAAAAGTGACAAAGTTTAGTTTAGGAGACAACGGGCTGGTTAGAGGGCAGGCTCAATCACTTCCTGTTTTGAGGAAACCATTGTCATGTGACTCTATCCTGACATCAGGCATGCTGATGAGCAAACCTTGTTTGCCTGGATCGACAATGAAGTACTTGGGACTGTCTCAAATTATGTTAAAAAAAAAAATCATCCAAATTCCTTGTTTTTTACTAAAATGATGTTTAAAAGAGTGAAAACAGAGTAAACTTAGCTTGTTGTTGTTATTCCATTTTAAAGAGGTAGTAAAGTTATGTCTGTCCTTTTTTGTGTTGGCTAATGAACATCAGTTGACCTCTGTAGATGCTACCTCAGCCATGATGCTGAAGCTTAACAATTCTAGTGAAGTAAGATTCATTTATGCTGTCACTATACTGTATATCTACCTAAAGTCAGTGGTTACATTTATAAGTGAGCTTTAGGGGGACCATTACATTTTAACATGACCATGCTGGCTGCCTCTCCTCTCCTCCTCACCATCAACAGTCCACTTACAGTATTAGTATGTTTCGTGCTTCAAAAATGGCTGCAAGTAAGTTTCACAGGGAATATTTACAATAAAGTTTTATTCTTTTATTTTGCAAACACAACAACAAACGTTTTTCATATCTGCAAAGTTTTATGTACTGAATAGAAATAGTGTAAACAATTAATTTAGCATGTTTCTATCATTACATGTTTACATTCTTTTTATATACAAATTGCATCGAAATAAAAAGTAGTAATCTTAAAAAAATGTTTTAAATTTACAGTGAATGATTGAATAGTAGCATATGAAGCTGGTTTACCTTTAAAGTAAAGGGTTAATAGTTTTTGTGCGTACTCCACTTTATACTCTATACAAACTTCTGCAGCTGGTTGTGATCTGTTTGTATGATGAGGGGGTTGAACATTTAAATACAGATCTACAGCTTGGTTGAACAAATGTATGGGTTTGTCGAAGTCTCATTTCTGTAAGAAAAAGGACAGATATTTCATTATTTAGGGGTAAATGGTGAAATATAAGAGATACAAACATAACAGTGAAACATATCTGCTGTCTCCACCTTTTGTTCTCGGCCTCCTCAGTGGACTCAGGGAGGTCTTTTTTGCTGGTCTCAGGGAGCAGGAAGCCGAGGACTCCACTGATGATCGTCATGCTGCTGTAGATTGTGATGGGTATGAACCAGTGGTAGACAGCCAACATGTTGACCAAAGGAGCCAGCAATCCACCTACTCTTGCTGCTATGGCTCCTAAACCTGTGGCTGTTTGTCTACAAGGTTTTGGGTAGAAATTGTGATGTTTTCACGATGTGGGTAAAAAAACAAACAAATTTTACTCTTGGTCCAAACATAATACCCTGTGAACACCTACCTTACAGATGTTGGAAACAGTTCCTGGATAAAAACATTACATACAGTAGTACCCCACATCAGGAAAAAACGTGCCAAGACCACCAAGGATGTAACAGCAATGTCATATCCTGAAAAAACAAAAACAAGTGTGTCATTCAGTCAAGCGAAGCGAGAACTTCTTTTTTTGTGCTAGTATGTGACTTACCCTGAGGAACAGCTAAGATGAGCATGCTCGAGAGTCCTCCCAGCACAAATGTCACTATGAATAATTTTCTTCTTCCAAAAACCTCCAGCAACCACATGTTGAGTGTGTGAGCTGGTATTTCAATGGCACCAAACAAGAACTGTGTTAGGAATATACTTAGGCCAAAGTTTGCCATATTGAAGTAAAGGCAGAACACAGAGAGGGTTGTTGAAAACCTGCAGCAAAAGACAGCGATAGTACACATCAGTATAACAGAGTATTGAACTCAGGACGTGTGCTACAGTATTCATCATTTCTGCAAAATAGCTTGCAAATATGACTCTTGATATTTTTTCAGTTTTAATACAAAAACTTTAGAGGGTCAGTGAAGTGGTAAAAATTTTCTGGGAAATTTTGACTCACCATGCCAGAACCACAATGATAAAATGTTTAATCAACACTGGAGATTTGATAATAACTCCGATGCCTCCTTTGGCTCCAACTTCTGTCACAGCAATCTGAAACAGAAATATTAACATTGCCACCATTTGTTATTAAATTTGCACTCTCTGTTTAGTTTTTAATACATTGATTCTTACTATTTTCATGACACATGTAAATTAAGAAGCAACAGGATTGACTGGAAAAGTTTCATGAGTTTCAAGAGTTTTGTGTATGCTAGTTTTTAATGAAGAAAGTTAAAAGTGTGTGGTAGCTGTGGGAGGTCATGTTAATAAGTTTTGGCAGAGTTAATGTTCTCTCAATAATTTCAAAATTGGAAAGCAGAAGGTTCCTGGTTTCATGCATTAAGTTAAAAAATATGTACAAACTGACTCGCTGTACACGTTATAAAGCAAACATTTTGCTTCTCAAAATGTAGAACTGACTAAACTATAAATTAAAATATATGTGTGACAAACTTATCCTAAACATGGTTTCCTTATGGTGGATTCTTGTCATGGGGGTTTACATCTAAGAGTTCATTTTCTAAGAAATGTTGTTTGTGTTTTTGATGCCAAAATTGGGTATAATGCCATAATTCGCAGCTTTGTTGACTGAATTATCAGAGTGACGAAGGAAACACTAGAAGAAACATAACAATAGTTATTAAAGTTTACACAGCCACCAGTGCCAGCTTCAAACTGACATAAAAATCTGGAGCAGGGAGTCATTTCTGTTGCTTCACGAGTCGGTTCCCTCTGTACAGACTCCAGTTTCAAATGTCCCCACCAGCACAAGATGTCAGTGCCAGTGAGTAGAAATGGGGAGTTGTGTGGTGTACTTTGATGCAACAGAAGGTGGCAGAGGCTGGCTGTTCATTTCTATACTGTTGTCATTTGAGTTACACACTGCATTCTTCAGATGACCAGCAGGGGGCCACACCTTTCTGGTGTACAAATGTAGTCCAGTTAAAAGGGGCATGATAGACCTTTTAAATTAGCTAAATTGTACTGAACTAAATATATTTGTATTTAACGTAATTAAGTAAAATTTAATCTTCATTAATTTAATGCTATTTAAAATTGTTTTAAACAGAGCATGCAACTTCTGCACTGCACATACAGACTGACTGGTTAATTTTCAACTTTTGCCCCTGACGTTCTGATTATATAAAGCATAATCAAAATGTCAAACGTTCATTGTTGTAAGAGAACATACTGTATGACTGAAGATATGAGGATACAATAAAAGCACATTTCATGATATGCCATTCACCAATTCCTTTCTAATCTAATCTAGAAAAAATGCTAAAAATGAGTGCAGTTCCAGTTTGTTTCAGCTAGCACCTCAACTTTGTCATAAAAAGTTTCATTTTTGGGATTAATTTAATTTAAGTTCAGTGATAGTCATACATATAGATATCTCTTTTTTTTCCAACTGTAATATATCAACATGTACATAACAGCTGTACATCAAATATCTTTAACTCCCAAGTTTCTTCATTCTTTAATCTATCTTTTGTATTATTCGCTGCTGTATATTTGGACTTTCCCCTTGTGGAAGGTATAAAGGAATATTTTATCATATATTGTCTTGATTGTCAAAACCTACATCTGCCATATTACATGTGACAGTTTCCTTTCAGCATGCTTCTAGTTGCCCTGCTACAGTCCTGTCTCATACAGACTGTTTGCAAAGACCCTCAGGGGCTCAACTTTAAAAACTACTTTGAGATTACAGAAAAACATATAGAGAATTTGTTGGAGTGCATCAGAGAGGTTTGTTGGTTTCAGGCATTTAATGGTGTTCAGTATATAATGAAAAACACAAGGTGCTAGAAAACTTGAGTTGGTGTAGAGTGCTGAATTCATGGAAAAATATTGGAGTTGGTCTTCAGATCTTGAAATGTCAGAAATGAGATGATTGTGTTCCAGCTGCTGATAAACCTCATCCAGGTATGTAACAGTTTCACCATCAACACATCTTTGTACTTTCACATTGAACCTACAAACCCGTCTCATCTCTCTTAAGTCTCTTGTTAGCCATCACCTCCAATGCCAGTAAAGCGGTGGGTCCTAACTACTATTACGCCTCTGTGACATTATGTCGAAGATAAGACACAACAGGGTCATAAACATCATTCCTTTAAGGTGTCAATGTGAAAAGGGCTGATAGGAGAATGTGTCTCCATCCTGTCTTCCAAAAGTACTCACTTCTTGGCATCAAATAACTAAATAAATATCCCAGATACAAGACAGCAAAGACCAAAACTCCAGACTCAACAGCAGGAGTTCACAAAACACTAGATGAGGTGGTTGTGTCGAAACTGTGAGGGTTCAGTACCTTGTCCAACAGATGGTCTGGGATGGTGCGTTTGTTGATGGCTGCTGCCTTCATGATCAGCTGTTTGGCCTCCTCTGTCTTTCCTTTATTTAACAACCATCTAGCTGACTCTGGAATAAACCTGAAAGAAACAAGATGACGTGTAGAATAACCCGAGATTTTTGAATAAAACAGTAAACATACCTTTGTGTACCCACAGCCATCAGACTTCACAATTCTTCTATAAATATCAAATGACTTTTTGAGACATGACAAATGAGACTACAGACAATTGAATTTCCCTTCGGGGATACATAAAGTTATTCAATTCTTAAATGTTGGTTTGAAAACAATGAATACATACCATATATAGATGATAACAATTGCAAGTGGAGCTGCTGTGATGAGTTGGGCCACTCTCCAGTCTCTGAGAAAATAAATCATACCAGCCAGGATGCACTGACCGACCGCACCAAATAACTGAGTAACACACGCTCCCCATGACCGTTTGGATGCACCGATCCACTCAGTGGCTGTCGTAACAAAGACACACAGTGTGGTTTCTTTAGCTATCTTATTTTGCATTTTCTGGGGATAATGTTTAAATAGAAACAATAAAACAATTAAGGTCACACACCTCTTTCAAGAAAATATGAATTATGATTATTTTGAATACAAAGTGCATACTTAATATGATACAGTTGACTCGATAACCTCCCGCTCCAACTCCCACCAGGAGCTGGAAGACCAGATATAGGTAAACATTTGGGCTTAGTGCTGCTGCGATAACGAAAATAAACATTATCACCACTGGAATCTGATTTGCCCGTTTGCGACCAAACCTGCAAAAAAGAAAAGGGAAAAATAGAAAAAGGGACCAGTCAGAGTCATTTTCAACACAAGTAATTTGAAGAGCTGACAAGGGTAAGAGAGAAATCGTGATCAAGTATGATACAGTTCACACGTCATTGACTGGTTCTGACAGAATAGTGGATTTGTGTGTTTAAAGACTGATTTGATTTGGAAACAAGAGCAATTTGAATCAACACCAGCTAAAACAGACTTTGGCACATTTCCTGCAAACCTGGGTGTATTCACTTCTTAGTCAGCCTGATCCAATAGTTAAAAAAAAGTCAGTCCAAGATAAATATGTGTAATCTTTTTGTCTGATTTTAGTTTGGGCTTGTTCACCTCATGAAAGAAAACTGTATTTGTTAGTACACTGAAAAGATATCTGGTGCATCTGTTGAGATCAATGGTTAATGCTCACACCCCACATTCAGAGGCTCTCCATGTAATAGCAGTTGCTGGTACGATTCCTTTGCTGCATATTATCTCCTGCTCTCTGTTCCCCATATCTCTTCTCCCTCTTTAGCATTCCTATCTAATAACAGTGAAAGAAATCTGAAGATAATTTTAAAAAGTATCAATATTTTTATCTTATTTGACTTTTTTTGTAATTTTATCATGCAGCATTCGGTGCAAAATAACACCTGGTTTGTAGTTAAACAGCCAAAGTACAAAAGTATGCATTAACAAACTTTTTAAAAAATGCAAGCCCAAATGGATGTGACACTAAAACTTTTTTTTTCCTTCTTTTTTAAATATTCCATGTCCAGACACATTGTCTCAATATGACTTCATAATACTGCTTTTGCCTCCCCATTTTTTTCAGGCCATCATATTCAGTGTATTTCATGTGTAGGCTAATCCACAAATGCAAAATTAGATTAGATCTGCAGTATGTTTGCCCAAAGCTGAGGCTCACAGGCTTACTGTGTGGGTGAACTGAGAAGTTGTTTCATCAAATTAGCTCTCCACGAGACTAATTCGCCAAATGGAGTATCACTGTTTTCTCCAAATGCATAATTATGACCCAATGAGGAAGAAAAGCTGTCATTATGTGGTGTGCTAGCCTGCTATCTGCAATGTAAACAGAATGCAATCAAATCCACACACCTGAGTCACTTGCAGGTAGCTACAAACATTTGTGGTTGTTGCTCAGAGGATTTGTGGGAAAAGATGTGCACAGACAGCCAATTGAGAGACCAGCTTCAGTTTTAACTGTCACATGTGTATTTTAGCTCTTTAAGCAAAAGGATTACTAACAACCACTGATGAAACGATTTACAAATAGGTCAAGTTCAAAGCTATGTATGCATCTGCTAATTATTTTCAGCTGTATCAGCTCCATAAAGATCCCATGTTAGTGTTCAGTTGAGTATCAATATAGATCAAAGTAAATTGTTTAAAGAAATCCAATTAAAATTCATAGAAAATAACATATGAATATATAAATTCTAAAAATGCACTCCAAGGTTAGGGTTAGGGTTAGGTGACCAAAGTAGTACCTCATTTTGTCAGGTGGGCCAGGTGTATGTTTGTTTTTGGGCCAAAAGTTGGCATGCTCACAGGAGGCTTCTGAGGTATATGGTTAAAGGTTTCACAGACATTGATTGACATTTTGTGATTTTTTTTTTTTTTTTTTTGGAAACACATTTTTACTGGACAGGAAGTCTTTAAATTGTCAAATGATGAACATAAATTTTTTAGTTTGCATCTATTTAAAATTCAAAACACAAATACTTCTTTTCATGGACAGGGGATGTGAGTGTATATATTAAGGACCAAAATCATACTACATTAAATACACTTACGATTCAGCAAAGGGTCCGAATATGAGGGATCCAATGAGGATTCCAGTCATGAATATGGCTTGTATGACTCCCAGCAGGTTAGCCTTGTCACAAACTAGATTAAACTGACAAAATATCCAAGTGTTTAACAAGAAGTTTTATGTAAGGAATGGAATGATAGATGTCTGCCTATTTACACCTCTGTACTTACATCAGTGACAACAGTGGTGTCATACATGGTGTTGATATAAACCCATCCATTCTGACACCCTGTGGTCTCATTGAGCCCATACTCCCTGATGGCACCGATGTTCCAGTCCACAGGTTTGAACATCTCACACCTGTTGAAAGTCCCATCTTCCCCCCGAGGCAGAGTCAGGTTGAGCTGCTCCTCTTTGGTTATCTCAGAGTCTGCACTAAGTATCCAGTCTGTGTTACAGTACCTGTCTGGATCAAACTCCACAAAAAGAAAACTTGCAAAAATAAAAGACTGAATCAAATTTGGAAAACAAACTGCAATCAAAGTGAGCTGCTGAAATAATCCAAATTCTCCAATGTTCCTGAGGATCTCTCCAAAATCAGCCATGACAAAGTCTGTTATCCTGTAGTGTGTGGGTTTGAATATTACAACGCCACAGATTTAAATGATAGCTGTTAATATTTAACCTGTCTGGACTGTACAGATTAATGATTATATTCTCATACTGCGTCTCATGTTTCTTTTATTCTTGCTTGGATTGAACCCTTGAATATTATATGGCTCAGCCAGCACACCCATATGGAGTCTTTATCAGACACACTGCTGGCGACCCTGTCAATGCTGTGCACAATTTTCATGGAGGCCCAACATAGGAATATGTTTTTAAAAAAGTTGGGACAGGCATATTTTCCAGTGTGTTGCATCTTCTCTTCCAGTTTCTGGAGTTTTGATAGTGAGCTTGTGTCCCGTTGTTGCCTGAAGTAGGATCTCAGCTGCTTGACAGTTTAGGGTCTCTTTGTCATTGTTAGTTTTTGTTACATGATGCTATCCAATTCATCAATGGATCAATGCTTCCCCGTACCATTAGGGATCCTGATTTTCACAGTGTACTTTGATGATAAACCCAGTGATCCCTTTCCTCTCCAGAGTGGAGGATGAGGTGTCTGTGGTTTCCAAAAAGAATGTCAAAATTTAATTTGACAGAACACTTTCCTACTTTACCTCAGTCCATCTTAAGGCTAAAGCAAAAAAAATAAATAAATTCAATGCCATTTCTGAATCATCTTCTATGGTTTCCTATTTACATGATACAGTTTTAACCTGCATTTCACACTACGGCTGCGGCTACTAACTGTGATTGCAGGCATGGTTTTTTGGGAGAGACTTTAGTTTTGTCTACAGAGTTGTTAATGCAGTGTGTCTAGAGGGACCAAATATTTCCCCAAATTCTCTTTATCATATAGTGATAATATGTACTGAAGACGACACCATCTCTAAATTCTCTGTAATTTTAAGCTTAGGGACAGGATCCACTTCCCGTCTTTACAACTGTGGGATTCAGCCTCTCTGTGCCCTTTTTATAAATAGCCATATTACTAACCTGAAGAGTTAGCCAAACTATTTGTGAGATGTTCCTTACAAAAAATTCCTAGCATCAAATTTAAAATGAGCACATTTTGTCATAAACAATAAACTACAATTTTTCAGGTTTTTTTATATCTGTTTTGTTGTCTTCGCACTATTTTCAACTAAATTTTAACAGAGTTTAAACCATTAGCAAATTATTATACTATTAGCAAAATCTGTTTTAATCAATATTGTATTCACCATTAAAGTGTTTCTAGAAACGAGGTTGTACATTTTTCACGTTTGACTTCGGCGTGAGTTAGCGATTAGGCCAAATCAGCCCTGTGTCTTAATTGTGTTCTATACTTTGGAATAAGCACGGTTTCTGCTGTACATTTCTATAAACAAAGATGGGCCTTTGGCCTTGTCCAACATTATATAAAACTATAAACATACTGTTAAAAAAATCTTGGATTGATCTTTCCAGCTGTTACTTTGGCAATCAAAGATGTTTCTAAGAAGCCACATGTTTTAGTGGGATATAATAAAGTGATGTTACAGAGATTGCCTAATGTTGCTGAGTTGCTGTTGGAGATGGCAAACTATAGTGTTGTATAGATAAACACTTTATTGTTGTAGATTACATAATACTGAAGCCATGCCAGTTGAATCTGTAAGGGTTATACTAGTTCACCATTTTTACTGTCCACTAGTGTGTTGATATATAAGTTATAGCTCGCTCCTACCATAAAGATGAACTTTTAAGACCTCCTGTATTTAAAGAGTCTGCGGCTTTGCACACTGCAGTGCTTTGAGCTTAATACATAAGCTCTGTTGTACCAACATTTTGCTGAGTGAGTTATTAAAACCACAATCACCATCTCTGCTTTAAACAATAGCTACATGCAGGTTTAAGATGGATGTTAGCGCACCACTTTCAAGAGCCCTTTTCATATATGAACTAAAACCCATTTTTGTAGACTTTTCAGATGTTCAGGCACTGACTGACATTATCAAGATTGTCCTTGTTATTAATGCAGGACACAGCGGGGATTGTGTGCTGTCATACTAGAAAAAAAGACATTTACATGTTTCCATCCAAATAATGGAAAACAACATACCAGCACCTGAGGCGAGTGTCGCTAAAGGCACAAAGCAGCAAAACTCCATCATCATCTCCATCACCACAAGCACTTGCTTTCTGTGAACCGACTGTATTATTATCTGTTGTTTATAGAAACCATCTCATCCACACATCATCTACCTGACACTATTCAGAAAGAGTAAGAGATAAATTTGAGTAAATTACACCAAAAAGAATTCTGACGCCCATTGCCCTGCTAGCAACCAAAGATACAAATAAGCTAATGTAACCTACTTTATTGAGATGTACACCGTAAATATCCATCGGGTTGAATCCAGGTGACTCACAGCTCCTCCTCTTCCTGACTGGCTGCAGTGTAGGTCTTAAACCCTGCCTCCCCAATGTTAAAGCTCCTGCGAGGAACTTTCTGTATGTGTCAACTTGGTGCCCCCCAGTGGATAAAAGACTGTGGAAAAAAAAGTCCCATGACTTTTGACAGTCAAATGAATAATTTATTACCTCCGCAAAGGAGGTTATGTTTTTGGTAGCATTGGTTTGTTTGTTTGTTTGTTTGTTTGTTTGTTTGTCTGTTGGCAACTTTACGGAGAAAGTTACAGCCGGATTGACCTGAAATTTTCACCAGAGGTGCGTCTCAGCCCCAGAAGGATCCCATTAAATTTTGGTGGTGATCCGGATCGCCTTCTGGATCCAGTAATTTTTTGAAGGATTCTTTATCATTGTGAGATAGGGCAAATTTGGGAATTTTTGCATTTAACTCTATAAAAATGGCCAGAGTCTTTACACAAAAGGATCTCAATGAGTTTTATGAGGTGTCAAAGGTTGATCCTGATCCAGACAAAATTCCGGATACTGTGATCCAGAACACACAAAAGGAAGGGTGTCGTTGGAATTTTCAATGCTGAAAGATAACCAATGGGCGGCACAGTGGTGTAGAATGGTGGCACAGTGGTGTAGTGGTTAGCACTGTCACCTCACAGCAAGAAGGTCCTGGTGTAGATGGGTGGCACAGTGGTGTAGTGGTTAGCACTGTCACCTCACAGCAAGAAGGTCCTGGGTTCGAATCCGGGTTAGGGCATTTCTGAGTGGAGTTTGCATGTTCTCCCTGTGTCTGCGTGGGTTTACTCTGGGTACTCCGGTTTCCTCCCACATCCCAAAAACATGCCTAAGTGGGGTTAGGTTAATTGGCCACTTCCAAATTGCCCATAGGTGTAAACGTGAGCGTGGATGGTTGTTCGTCTCTATATGTCAGCCCTGCAATGAACTGGAGACTTGTCCAGGGTGTCCCCAGCCTTCGCCCGAAGATACTGGGATAGGCTCCAGCCCCCCCGTAACCCTGGGAATGGGAATAAGCGGTAGAAAATGAAAATGGAAAGATAACCAATGAAGATACAAGGAAGTGTACGCTTACAAATATTGCATAATAAATCATGCATTTATGTATCTAATATGAGCTTTGTTGTTTTAGGAACATTATGAACAGTGAACATACAAGTTTAAACACAAATAAAAGTTAAAAAAAGACACGTAACAGTAAAAGTTTTGGTGTGAATCACAATACAAGGGGGGACATGAGCTGCTTGGCGGAGGTCTGCGCTCTCCGAGTGCTTTTCTAGTTCTAAATATTCTTTGTGGAAACTGAAAAAACAGAGCTGATTCTTAAGCTGCTTAGCTGACGTCTACCTTCTTGCACCAGTTTGAGACAGTATAAATATGGTCTGTGTTATCACTGATGGTGTTGTTTGCTTTAATAGATATTATAAAAATGTGTCAGTATAAGTCTAAGTCTGTTTTATTAACATAAATAAACTTCTCAGAGGAGTTTTAACAGAAAAGGAAGGGGTCAAAATATAATATCAAAACACTCCAATACATTTCCCTAAAACATGTTTTTGTAATAAACATAGATTTTCCTTAGCTGATTCATTTCCAAGAATTCATTTTTCAGACAAGTCATGAACTTAATTTGATCCACATGAACTCACTCACTGCTCTTTATGTAAGTAGTTTATTTTTATTGCAGCTCTGTTGAGTGTCATTTACTTTCACTCGGGTGGAGATGAAATATATTTGTTCTTTTTACTCTTATGAAAAAGCACAGTGTCTCTGTGCTTTGTTACACAGAAAGTTACATCTTTCTGTATAGTTTACACTAGGTTGTTATTGTGTTGATACCTGTCAGTATGACATAACAGGGTGTCAATAAAAGCAAATTTGATAAGACCATCGTGACCTGAGAAGTTTATGGAGCTCACATAGTGTCACAGTCCAATTCAGCAGCTGAGAGCGGTAAAGATCTTACACATGGTTAATCTTTGAACTGAGAGTTTGTCTTATCATAGGGTCAATACTATCCTTTGGTAAATTTAAATGTAATCATTCATTTTCAATCCACCAAATAAAACTTGAATTTAGTCTATTTGCCTGCTTATACTGGGTTTTCTTTTTTCAACAACGATCCTTAACTTTAACATTTAACTGAGTCTTTAACTTGTGCTTGTTGTTAAACATGCTCTTTTTGAGGTTTATACTTGATATTGTACTGAGCCTGTGCTAATCTGAAAGATTAAAAAGGTAATGAAGCCAGCTTTTTAATTTAAAACTTGTGTTTGTAGGATAACTTGAAATGATCAATTACACATATTAATTTTGGACAAATTTTAAGTCTGACCTGTGCTCATTAAGAGACAGAAAACGATATGAAAACAGAAGTTTATTTCACTAATGTAAAGTCAGACTTAATGAAATGCTGATGAAAACTGAGGAAGCACAAGGCCATTACTTTTCCACCAATATCAACATGAATAGTCTGTGTTAACAGGGTGGCAGAAGCTGCCTTTGTATTTATCTGTAGCTTATTGTGTTTAGTTTGTTGCTTCAGTTGGGACAAATATCTTTTAAAGTCCCTAAAAACAAAAGCTTACAAGAGTTATCATCCACCACTCTCTGATATATCACCTGTACTGTACTTAAATGATGGTCACCAAAGTAAGTGGTGAAGTCAGAGAGGGTAATGCAATTAATTTATTTACACACAGGTTACTGACTGTATTTGAATCTCTTTCTGCGTACTGTGAGCTTTGAAGCCAAAAACCCACCTCTACAGGCGCCAATATTCAGGTTGGTGAAACCACAGCTTGTGCAGAAGTGACCTGACTAGTAGAGTGGCGATGACATTTAACTCATCAATAAAATGTTGCTGATACCTTGGGTCAGTACAGAAACAGCAGAACAGATTCTTGTATTGATTTGAAGGTTGTTTTTTTTTAACATTTTCTGTGTGTTAAAAAACAAATGAATCTTAATAACCTGTAAGAAAGTGACATTATAGCTTTCAGCCCAAAAAATACCCAGAACTGTGAACAGTCTTTATTAAAAACGTCATGACACATGTGCCAGTTAAAAGTGTGACCTCAGAGAGTCAGTAAATAATTTATTCAAATTCATCTGTTTTAGTTCAATGTAAAACAATGTAAAGATTCAAAATAAACAGTACGTTCAGAGTGTGGCAAAAGGTGTAAAGTCATGACATTAAAAGATTTTGTCAGCATCTTTAAGATCATATTTTGTTTGTAACAGTGGATGGCATGATAAGAAAAATCTCTGTCTAAATCAGACAACATTTAACTATTCTCAAGTTCAATCTTCCACTGAGAGTTTAGGATTTCTTGTGTACAAATGAAAATACAGTGACTCTGTAGGAGGGACCTCATACTCTCCTCATACATCAGGACAGGAGGAGGAAATATCTGCTGCTACTTTACCAGAAACATGGCAGTACTGGCTGACTCTGGGTCAGAGAGGACAAATAGATCAGTATAGTTAAATAGTCCATGTATAGAGACTATAGTTTAGTAGATTTGCTTCGTGAAGACTCATCTGATTCATATTTGATCTTGAATGTGGTCTCTTTTCTGTGGGAGAAAGGAATAAAAACAGGTAAATTATCAGTTTCAGTCAACAGCAGGTCATGTCGTTTTGATGCTCTTAGCACAAAAACTGAATATCAGCTGTTTGGCAGTCTGTCACGTGATGTGATGATTATTTTCAGGATAATGTGTAGCACTTTATTACTACTTTATGGGCGGATGGAGTAAACCTCTCATAAATAATCATCAACAGCGGATTTACTTCTTCTTTGGAGATGCTCAAAGACAGTATTGCTATAAACATTGGTTACTTTATTTTAATATTTAACTGAGCAAAATTTGAGCACTTTATTTTCTTTAAAACAAACATGCAGTCATGACTTCAACAGTCAGGAGCTCTCTATTAGATGTTAGATTTCCTCTAAAATGGGTCAACAGTTTTTTTCATGCATAACCACAATAAAACACAGTGAACAACACACATCAGTAAAACATCTATCATCGTGTTACCGGGACATGATAATCGGCTTCCAGCTCACCTGTTGCCCTCAGCCTCATCGGTTGAGTCTGGCAGTTCTTTCCTCCTGGTCTCAGGAAGCATGAAACCAAGGGCTCCACTGATCAGTGTTAGGCTGCTGAAAACAATGATGGGTATGGCCCGGTGGTAAGCTGCCAACATGTTTAGTAATGGGGCCAGTAAGCCCCCAGCTCTGCTCGCAATGGAGCCCAAACCAGAGGCTGTTTGTCTGAAACAGAACCACATAGCTCAGATGTGCACATCAGAGAGATTTGATTCATTTTTTACCTCTGAGATAAAGCGCTGTTCTTTATCTAGTTAGATTATAATGAAGTTCTCTCAGCTGTTCAGTCTGAATGTAGGACCAGTGGAGATAAGACGTTGCATAATGGCATAGATCGGTGCATTTCTTTATCACCACCTTTAGATCAAAACCTTCAAACTGCAGCATTATCTGTCCGAGAGCCATAAAACCAGTACAACAATACAAACCTTTATATGTTTGATAAGTTTGACTGTCATAATTAAACACAGATGGTAAACACTGAAGCAACAGCGATTAAATTGACCCACATTCAGGGATCAGCTACAAAAGAGGACAAAATAGTTTCAAGTCCAATATCCTACACCTCCAGAGCACAGCAAGTCAAAGACAAACATCCTGGTTTCCTGTAGTGTTGTCACCACCATCCAGATTCCTGTACTTAACAACTATGTTCGCACATGTTTTTGTAATATTTGACCCGTTTTTGTACTCATGTTGTGGCTCCTGGAGGAGCCTGCAGTGGTTAATCTTAACCACAGTGACAGACGGACTTACCTGAGAGATGTTGGGAACAGCTCCTGAACATACACGTTGCAGACAGATCCGGCCCAGTTTGCAAAGAAGCGACCTGAGATTGCCAACCCTGTGACTGCAACAGCATCGTCTTGAACAGAAAACACAGAGTTAGATAAATGTGGTTTAAAGCCATCAGAGGAAATTTTGAAAAATGTATCATTTTTCAGACAGGTGGAAAAGAAGGATGTTAGTTGCATATTTCATAGTAGATCCAACTATTTTAGTGATTATACGATAAACAAAAAAATTAACCTGTTGGTGCAGCAAGACAAAGAGGTAAGCTATTACCAAGCTAATGAATATGGTATAATGATTTTAATGGTAGAATTAATGATACAGCCGTGGTGTTAAATCAGAAAAAAATTGTGCCAATGAAGTAGAAAAAAAAAATCATACATAAATTTATACAATTGTAATTGAACTCTGATGAAAATGACCAGAGCGATGACTGCTGCACTTTACCTTGAGGAACAGCGACAATTGATAAACACAAGAGTCCTCCAATTAGGAGCGTCGACATCAGTGACACTTTTCTCCCCACTGCCTCTAACAGCCAAATGCAAAGTATGTGAGCTGGTAGTTCAGTCACACCAAACATGAACTGCGTCAAAAAGACATCCAAGCCTAAATTTCCCACATTTAAGGAGAGGCAGTAGTAGGTGAGATTTAACGAGAACCTAAAGAGATTCAGAGAAAATCAGTATTAGGACTTACAAGAAAAAAGAACAATTAATGCTGTAGAGTAATGTGGAGTCGAAAATGTAACTCACCATCCCAGTATAAGTGTAAAGAAATTCTTCCTAAGGACAGCTGATTTCATCAAAGCTATTATGCCTCTCTTTGTTTCCGTTTCTTTCTCAACAATCTGTAACACAAAGGAGTTGGACACAACATCATGGCAACGCTTGCTAATGTTAGCATATCATGAGAGCCAACAGCCTCACTGAAAAAATAAATATCTAGTTTTTTTAACATTATGAAAAGGAGGCTATCAACTCTGTTTTATCTTTAAAACTTTAAGCAAGCTATTTTTCTCTGTCTCCTGAACAACTTGACACAACAAAGTTCAGTCCAGTCGATCAGTGTTTTATGCCAAGTTCAAAGCCACATGGTAGACATGAGTTACAGTAAGTGATGTGGTATGATGGGAGTCTTCAAATAAATTCATGTTAAACAAAAGAATGAGAATAGTGAGAATAAGATTTTATTTTCCTGTCTTACACTAAAGTGAAATAAAACAGTGTCTGATACCTAAGCATATTGACTTAAGTAAGGCCAGTCTCTTATGCATCGACAAATAAAACTCAAAATATATCATAATTTAAATATTCTTTTATCTATGGGATTTGCAATAACTCAATCTTGAAATTAACCAATGCCTTAATACCATTGAATAGTACATTTTTGAGACTGTTATCCTTCATAATCCAGAAATGTAGAGGTTATTCAAACGCTTTAATTTTGATTTTAATATTTTGCAGCGGTCCTTAAAGCTCCCATGAGGAACTCTTAATTTGTATTTGTTTTGGTTCCCCTGTGGACTAAGTAGTCTGTACAGACCTTCTCACCTGCTGATGACAAAGCTGAACTAATTTCAGCTGAGAGTATGACAACAACAACAACAACAACAAGAACAAAATCGTCTGCATTGTATTTTCAAAGGACATATTCACTAGAAGTACAAAAGCTGCTGATAATGGAAACAGGCCCACAGTCTGTGAAAGACAAACTGGTCACAGTCTCTCCCAGTGGAAACATATCATGATTTTCCTAACCCTAACCATGTCTTAACTTTTCTCTTGTTTAGGTTGTATGTAAACATTAGGATGCAGAAGTAATAAACTGTGTCTGTGCAGTGTCAGGACCTTTTCCAGCAGAGACTCTGAAACAGGGCATTTATTGATTGCTGCCACTTTGGTTATCAATTGTTTAGCCTCTTCTACACGTCCTCTTTCCAATAACCACCTGGCTGACTCTGGAATAAACCTGTCAGAAAGAAAGAAAGAAAGACACATATTAATAAACTCTTACTCAGTGTCAAATCACAGGAGTTAAATAGAAAGAGCGCACACCATATGTAAACACCAACAACTGCAAGAGGAGCTGCTGTGACTAGTTGAGCCAGTCTCCAGTCTCGGATGAAGTAGATCATACCAGCAAGGACAGACTGTCCAATGGCTCCAAAGATCTGAGTCACACACGCTCCCCATGATCTCCTGGACTTCCCGATCCACTCAGTGGCTAAAAACAACACATCAATGACTGTCAAGCTCAAGTATTTTTACTAGAATCTTTGCAAACAATCAGAAATGAACATGCCAAGATGATTTACTCCAATTCAAGAAGCTTATTATGCTGGCATTTTACAATTCAAACGCAGCTTATGCAACATGAACGTAAACACCTATTTGATTAAGATGAGCCTGAGTTTTGTTACACTTCAGTACAATACATAGGGAGTGATATGCAGTAAAGGAGCCACAAGCTGGAAGCCAATCGCTTAAGGAATGTCTGTATATGAGGCATGTGTGTGGACTGCTAAACTGCAGTTTGTCAGCACTATCAGTGGAAATGATAAGGCACCAGCTGAAAATATCATTGGTGCTCCTGTGTGTTCTATTGTACTTATTGTCTGCATGGATGAGATCTACAGAAGGCAGTGTGTTGAGAAGTGTATCTGCAGCCCCTGCTGTGCTGTATTTTGCACAGATGCTTTACTCCCAGAGGAGGGTTGTGGGAGTATAAAACATCTACTGCTGCATCCTGTGAAACCAGCAGGGAAATAGTCCTGAGACCATGAGTGGAAACCCAAACAGTGAGATGCAACCTGCAGGAACAGACTGGATCTGGTGCACCATTGATGATCGGTGAAGAAGACCTTTGGGAAGACCTGACAAATGCCAGTGAGGCCACCTGCCCCAAGTCAAGTCAGACATCCTGAGACCCACTTTGTGTATCTGAAACTGACCTTAATTTAATTATCAGACAAACTTAGTCAGACACACTTCTTGACCACATGTATCTGAGCAGGTATAGAAAGCTGCTGAGATTCTGCTGTTAAGTATCAATGAAAACAACAGATCCTTCAAAAACCAGCACATGTGGATCACATCCAGGACTACAGCACAGAGTGTGGCAGTCAGGGTCAGCGGTATCAAACATGACATTTCAAAGCTGTATCACTTCACACAACACAGCAACACATACAGTGCAATGACTTTTGACTCAGCATACAGTACAGGCCAAAAGTTTGGACACACCCTCTCATTCAATGCACTTTCTTTATTCTCATGATTATTTAAATCGTAGATTCTCAGTGAAGACATCAAAACTATGAATAAACACATGTGGAACCATGTGCTTAAGAAAAAAAAGTGTGAAATAACTGAAAACATGTTTTATATTTTAGATTCCTCAAAGTAGCCACACTTTGCTTTTTTGATAGCGCTGCAAACTTTTGCTGTTCTCTCAATGAGCTTCATGAGGTAGTCACCTGAGATAGTTTTTACATCACAGGTGTGTCTTGTCAGGGTTACTGTCAGTCACGAAGTACTTCTGTCATCAAGAGCAAAGGGTGGCTGTTTTAAAGAAACTAGAATATAAAACATGTTTTCAGATATTTCACCCTTTTTTTATATAAGTACAAAATTCTACATGTGTTCATTCATAGTTTTGATGCATTCAGTCATAATCTACAATGTAAATAGTCATTTAAAAAAATAAAGAAAAGACATTGAATGAGAAGGTGTGTCCAAACTTTTGGCCTGGACTGTATAAGACTTGAGAAAAAGAGATGCCTCAATTTTTTTAAATAAAGAATGACAGATTTTACTTTACCCAGTATGACGCCGTTTAGTCTGTAACCTCCATAGCCGATACCCAGTATGAACTGGGATGCCAAATAGAAATAGAAGTTGGGGCTCAATCCCGTTGTCACAGTAAATATGAATAATATCCAAAATGGAATCTGAGCGGCACGTTTACGACCAAACCTGAGAGAGATAAAGAGATAAAGCTCCCCTGATGTAAGACCTGTGCGTTTCTGTGTGTTTAAGAATAAAATGGTGGTACAGCCTCAAGGAAACATTGTAGAGATAGTTTCCAGTAGAAATACTTACGATTCAGCAAAAGGTCCAAACAAGAGACAGCCAATGAGGATTCCAGCCATCAGGACTGTTTGTGCCACTTGCAACAAGTTAGCCTGGTCACAGACCAGATCAAACTGAGGAAACAAACACACTTGGTGAATCAAGATGATTTATCTTAATCTTTGTCTGACTACAAACATCCACAATTTACTTACATCTGTGACTATGGTGGCTTCATACAGTGTTTTACTGTACACCCATCCATTCTGGCAAGCTGTGGTCTCATTGAGTCCATAATCTCTGATGGCACTGATATTCCAGTCTACAGGTTTGAACATCCAACACCTGCTGAAGGTCCCATCCTCCTGCCGGGGCAGAGTCAGGTTCAGTTGCTCCTCTGTGGTCAGGTTAGGATCAGCACTGAGGATCCAGTCTGTGTTACAGTGCCGCTCTGGATCTGACTGGATGAAAAATACACTAGAGAAGTGAAAAGGTAGAATAAGATTTGGAAAGCAGAGAGCAAATAGTGTGACCTTTTGAAATAATCCAAACTCTCCGATATTGTGGAGAATCTCTCCAAAATCAGCCATGTTCACAGCTCTGTCCTTTGGCTGAAAGATGCTGTCTGAGGATGACCTTTAAACAATGCTCATTAATGTTTAAACCCTGGACTGCAGATTTCAGGAGAAATGAGACAGCATGTAAATGGTTATTTCGCTCTCTAGAAAAAGCTGGTTCTGTGGTTATTTAACCAAACAGCACTTTTACCTGGGAAAAATCTTCCTCATCAGCAGAGTTAGATCTAGTTTGCATTTTTTGATTGATAAATAAACTTGAACTTTTTCTTCATAGTCATATAAACACTTTGACAACCTCCACAGAAACAGAAACAGTCAGTTTAAGGGCGCTGTATAAAATCTGCTACTTCCAGTTTAGCAGCTATAAAAAAAATACCACGAGGCTGTGCTGGACACTGCTGTGTCATTGTCCAGTCCTGGTTGCATAAGTGTGTCAATAAAACATAAATACTACAAAACCATACCTGCCTATTGGGATAGTTTGTTGCAGACAGTGCACTCCAACTTGCTATCTTAAGTACTGATGATCTTTCTAGTACTTTTACAGTATGCTGACTCATCCGATGTTTCCCTCTGGCACTCTTACATGAGAGGTAAACCTGTTACATAATACTGATCTTTCATGACAGTCTAGGACTGAGGAAAACCTGCAATAAAGAATGATAAAACTGCACACAATAGCAGACCGAAAAAGGAAAGTTTGACAGCTGTTTTCTGAAACATTTGATTCTTGTGAATTCTCTCTAAACATTTAAAGTATTTAAAGAAATCCAATCATATAAATACATGAGTGTGTGTGTGTGTGTGTGATTACAGTCATAAAGTAAGATAACCGCGTGTTCCTGAGGATTTGACCTCTTCGGACTCTTTTTCTTGTCCACACACAAGTAAAAGTAAGCAAAGTCCAATCTGAAAACTTATCTTATATAATGATAATAATATAAAAGGTGCAGTTTGTAGTTTTTTGAGGGATTAGCAGATCAGAATACAAATGGAATCTAATATTAAGACCTTCATTTAAAGCTCCTGTAATGAGCAGGTGCTATGTCGAGCAGAAGGATGACCATGATGAGCAGATAGAAGGAAACAGTTCACACACTGCAGGGCTCCATTGTACCTGAATTTTTTTTCACCAGTAGAGTGATGTTTGGAGCAAACCTGCTCTTCATCAATGTTTTTCTTTTCCTGATGAAGTAAAAAATGCATTTTATAATAGGAAAATGATATACAGTACAGGCCAAAAGTTTAGACACACCTTCTCATTCAATGCACTGTCTTTATTCTCATGATTATTTAAATCGTAGATTCTCAGTGAAGGCATCAAAACTATGAATAAACACATGTGGAATCATGTGCTTAAGAAAAAAAGTGTGAAATAACTGAAAACATGTTTTATATTTTAGATTCCTCAAAGTAGTCACCCTTTGCTTTTTTGATAGCGCTGCAAACTTTTGCTGTTCTCTCAATGAGCTTCATGAGGTAGTCACCTGAGATGGTTTTTACTCCACAGGTGTGTCTTGTCAGAGTCAGTCACGAAGTACTTCTGTCATCAAGAGCAAAGGGTGGCTATTTTAAAGAAACTAGAATATAAAACATGTTTTCAGTTATTTCACACTTTTTCTATAAGTACAAAATTCTACATGTGTTCATTCATAGTTTTAATGCCTTCAGTGATAATCTACAATGTAAATAGTCATATAAAAAATACAGAAAAGACATTGAACGAGAAGGTGTGTCCAAACTTTTGGCCCGTACTGTATATGTAAATATATCGGTTTCAACATTGGCCAAATCGTGTTTGAAAACATCAGCATATATATGACATAGCCAAAAATTCAACATTGTGCATAAAAGATTATCTGGCTATAACTGTCTGAGAAGTAGCTGTCATTGATGGCTACATCTGCTCAGGCAAATACACTGGTACTGATTTTAACATCATGAAGTGCAAAACTGGCAGTTTCAATTCATTTCTTTTTGGATTATTTATTTTTATTATTTTCTGGATGTATTCTCTGCTGATCTGAACTCTCTGAGATAGTCTGTGCAGTCTATAAACAAGTCAGAGGTAAATTTCCTCTCAGTTTTTCTCACAACAGAACAGAACAGCAGCAACAGGGATGAAGACATCATGAGTAACTGTCCAGTAGCCAGCCAGATCACATGAGCAAATACACAGGATGACTCAGCAACACTGAAGTCCAACTCTCAAAATACACATGAAGCTTATGTTACAAAATAACAAAAGAACAGTAAAACAAAGTTCAGTTTTCCTCTATAGCTTGGTAGATTTCTGTTTGTGGAGTTCAGTCATGTCAGAGTCACTTCCTGTCTTCTTGGTGGAAACATTCCTACAAATACAAAAAAGGATTCAGATTAAAAGTTCCTTTCAACAAAGTGCAATAAAAGGACACGTTAAGAGACGTTCAGTGACACCAGGTTCATGGTATTCAACAGGAAGGCAACTCTTTCCAAAAGTAAAGTGACTTCTTCAGTTTATTTAATTTATATTGTATAAGTTTGAAATTTCAAAAATGTCAAATTCATTTTTCATCGAAGTTTTATAATTTCATATTGGAACTACTTTCCACTTGTGGAGGTGAACCTAATCAGGTAAAAGTCATTTCAGGCATAAACAATGCCACAGTGACCAAATGCTGAATCTCCTGGTATAACAAGTTGAGTCCCACTAGAGACCCCTGTGTTTTTGTAAGTGACACCATATAAAAGCCAAAATGACCCCAGTGCATGATTAAGGCATTCAGCTCACTCACCTTTTGCCCGGCACGTCCTTGGCTGAATCAGGAAGCTCTGTTCTGCTGGTCTCAGGGAGCAGGAAGACCAGAGCTCCACTGATCACTACCAAGCTGCTGAAGACTATAATGGGAATGGACCAGTGGTACACAGCCAACATATTGAGCAGCGGAGCGAGCAAACCTGCTGCTCTAAAGGCGATGAAGCCTAGACCAACAGCGGTTTGCCTGAGACAGTTTCTGAGTCAATATCATTTGTAGTAAGATGAATTAAGTTATATATTTAAGATGTTGTTTACCTGACAGAAGTGGGAAACAGCTCCTGGATGTAGACCATACACACTGACCCCGCCCAGCTCAAAAAGAACTTTCCTGTAGTGACCAGGGCTGTGATAACAACAGCACTGTCTGAGAAGGACACAACATTATATTAGACGTCCCAACAGCTGACTTTGGATTTGTCTTCATGTACTGGTTTCATGGACTGTGTTATGGCTTGTGGAAGCTGATTTTTCTGCCTAGGCTTCAGCTCTAAACTTCATTACTAATGCAGCATCTCATGTTGGACACTTTGGTTTCACTGTTGTACAGTAGGAGGTGGAGACATGTAGTTCCCTGGTACATGGAGTCAATGACAGAATGAGAAAAAGAGGAAATTCACCTTGGGGGAAAGCCAGAGTTAAGAGGCAAACAAAACTGCCCATCAGAAGTGTTGATATCAGAGTTTTCTTCCTCCCCACATACTCCAGGATCCAGATGGAGAGCAGATGTGCTGGTGTATCGGAGATCCCGAACAGGAACTGAACCAGGAAGATGTTCAAACCAAACTTACCCACATTCAGAACCAGGCAGAAATAGCCCAGATTTAATGAAAACCTTTAGAAAAATTAATGATTTAAAAAACCATGTTAAAGGGATCTAAAAAAAAAAAGAAATAAAAAAAAAACTTTCAAAATGCACTTGACTCACCAGGAAAGTGATAAAATCAAAACATATTTGATGAGAACTGCGGAGGCAAAAATTTCTTTGATTCCTCCAGTTTGGACATCACGCTCTGCAGTAACCTGGAGGGCAAACATTTCATTATTACACTTGAAAATATTTGATGTTCATTTCTCAGAGGACAAAGATCAACGAAACAGTCAACGCTCTGCAATAACTGGTAAAAAAGATCCCCAAAGCTTCCCAACATCATCCTGATGAACCCATAACTATCCTTACAAGGCCAGATTTTGAATTTTAAAAAGTACTATCACATCTAGACGTGTCTAAGTTACCTCATCCAACAGATTCTCTGGGATATTCTGTTTATTGATTGCTGCAACTTTCCGTATCAGCTTCTTCGCTTCCTCAGTTTTTCCTCTTCCAAGCAGCCATCTTGCAGACTCAGGGATCCACCTGAAAATATAATCACAAACTTGGTCTTAGCTCAAGAATTGCTGAGAATATCAATGTTTAAACTTTGTGGAAGAGAAAAAATATATATCCTGCCAAACATACCATATATACAAGACCACAACAGCCTGCAATCCCGCCATGACATACTGTGCTGTTCTCCATTCAGGAATAGCATAAACTACACCAGCCATGGCACACTGTCCAAGGCCTGCAAACATCTGGCTCAAACAGGACGCAATGGACCTTTTGCTGATGCCGATCCACTCTGTGGCTACGAGCAGAATTAAAATACCACAATTAAAGGAGAGGTTAAAATATAAAGTGTTGTAAATGATATAATGTATTCTTAATATGATGTATGATACAATGTCACATTACAATACAATATATGTTATAATATGAAATATGATATTTGTGATATGATATATGTTTTGATATGATATATGATATATTTTATAATATGAAATGATATATGATATAATATTTGCTATGATATATGATTTGATATGAAACATTGTAATATAATACTATATTGATAAGAAATCAGTAGAATAGGACAGAGAAGGATTTGCCACAAACAACAAATTGACTGATCTTTGCTCTTTTGTGGTTAACAAGATTCATGGGCCTGCTGTGCTACTCTGGTCAGGATCAGACCACAACTTGCTACCATTTAGAGCACAGGTGTCAAACTCAAGGCCCGGGGGCCAAATCTGGCCCGTGGAACAATTATATTTGGCCCACAAGATCATATTATATTTGTATTATTATTGGCCCACCAGTATGAAGTCTGCAGATTTCCTCCAGTGTAGTAATGTAAACATTAGCACCATTATTTAAAATGTCCTTAATAAACCACAAAAATCTGGTAATTTAAAGAGTAAGGAAGATTTGAAAAATAGTCAAGAATGTGGGGGAAAATAATTGGTGTTTTATTTCATGTTTTCAATTTTGCATCTCAAGAGTACAAGTCAAACATGATTGGATTTTTATTTCATGCTTTGATTGATTGATTCCAATGTTCTCCTCATGTATTTGCTCTCTAAAAGCATTAATTTTCTGTTTTAATATTATGCTCTGATCTTTTGAACTAATAAATATAAATAGAATAAAAAAATGAAATAAAATTTTCTATCTCAGATTGCCTCTAAACTTATCTTTTTTTAAATCTTTTTTTAATTTCCAAATGATTTATAATCATTGCTGTTTTCCTTACATAATTTTCAAAAAGGAGGTTGACAGTTTTGATGAAATGTTGACCATGTTTGGCCCTCAGGTTAGAAGTAAATCCACATTTTACATTTTTAATATTGCACCTGTCCCTCAAAATCAGAACTATTTGATGCCTGTAGTTTTGACGAAAATATTACAGGAGTTTTGGTGAGGTTCAATGAGGTTGGTCATACCTAAAACAACTGAGTTTATTCTGTATCCTCCAAGTGCTGCTCCAACGATGAACTGTGACATGGCGTAAACATAGACATTTGGAGACGCACCAGCAGCTGCGATGAATATTAGCAAAAGGACAGTCGGTATCTGGGTGGTTGGTCTTCGGCCGAACCTAAAGTAAAACACAAAGGTAGACAGTGAAAGGAAAAGTGAAAGAAATAAAGCCTGACCTGACAAGTCTTTCAAAGATAGGATATCATCACTGCTATTGCCTCATTCTGCATCTCTGATGGGAAATCAGAGATGCAGAATGACCCCCCCCCCCCCCCTTCCCACCAACACAACATGGACACACCAGCTTTCAGGGATGTATATTTATATAAAGAAACCCCCTCATTTCACTCCATGACTCTTTAAGCCTGAAAACCTTGTGTTTGTACTTTGTTCTCTTTGAATGATTTTTCCAATTTTATCTGTTTTCTTGATTAAAGCTCCTGTGAGGAGTTTTCTGATGTTTTTAAAATGTACAGAAATTCATATTGATGTCTCTCTATAATTGCAAATGAGACCATTAGCAATAAGACTGACAAATTTTGCGTCGTGATCTTTAATGCCTCAAACTTGTATGAGGGGTTGGTGGCAGCTGTTAAGCTGAAGAAGCAGCCCTGTTTTCAATTTCCAGAGGAGATACTCACAAATACATTAAACATATGACTGTTGAAAATGAGCAGCTAATTCTTTATGTTAGAGGACACTACTTAAGCACAATAAAAGACAGATAAGTAAAGACTACCTTGTCCACAAGGGGGTGCCAAAATTGACACAGACCAATAGTTCCTCATTCATTTTGTCACTGTGAAAACTCATATTGTGTTTCTCTGTTTACACTCAGACGATACTATACCTAATCCACAGATGTTCAAGAGAGTCAAATGTAAAAATGTTACTCACGATTCAGCTGTAGGTCCAAAGACAAAAGAGCCAGCAAGTAAACCTGTCATGAAGATTGTCTGCAGAATTTCAGTCATGTTTGACCTGCCACAGACAAGATCAAACTGGAAAAGGAATAAAAGGTGTACATCAGTAATTCCTAAGGGAAGTTGGATTGTCTTTGCGTTAACCATTATAAGGTTATCACTGCAATAAGAAAAAGGGCAGTGGAAAAACCACAAACATACTGGACATTCAGTGGGACTGATGCACAGAAAAGCTGCAGGAGGCAGAGAAAGTGTCAGTGACTTTAGTTACAGTCTAAAAGTTTGGCTGGAAAATCATAAGACTTTTAGGAACACTGATAGAAAATATTGAAAGGTATGCAATATATGCACTCACCTGTGGTGGTGAAGATCGTATCATTTGGGTGATTATGCATGATTACAGACATAGTATACATCATAAACATATAAATGTTTACTATTACACAGAATTATAAATGGCAATTATATAATAAATACCTTTATGAATGTATAAATAATATATAAAGGTAAAGACAACGAATCACGCTTCCTTCTTCACTTACATCAGTGACTATGGTGGACTCATAAAGCCTGCTGTAGTACACCCATCTATCCTGGCACCTTGTAGTCTCATTGAGCCCATACTCCTTGATGGTACTGATGTTCCAGTCCACAGGTCTAAACATCTCACACCTGCTAAAAGTCCCATCCTTCTCCCGCGGCAGAGTCAGGTTCAGCTGCTCCTCTTTGGTCAGGTTGGAGTCCACACGAAGGATCCAGTCTGTGTTACAGTGTCGCTCTGGATCTGACTCCACAAAAAGAAAACTGGAGAAGGTAATGGGTAGTAGGAAGTTTGGGAGAGATAGCCCGATAGTGATGAGCTTCTGGAAGAAACCAAAGTCGCCAATAGTTTTCAGAATCTCCCCAAATTCCACCATTTTCACTCAGCAGGAAATGTGAAAATCTCCAGCTCAGTGTCTTGTCTCAAAATGAGTGTTTAACCCTTGAGCTGGAGTCAGTCACGGAATATGTGGCAGGGGACGATTCTAGGCAAAATATAAACCATGTTTGCTAATGGTTCACCTAAAGGACAGAAAACAATGAAAACTTTGCCCCATTTTTATAAACACAGTCCTCACTCGTTTGATTCCATCATGTGACTTTATTCAGCTACCAAAAATCATCTGCATGTGTTGACATTTCCCAATAATCTATATGTCAAGAATCTTTTTGTATATCACAAATATTCCACCTGGAATTATGCATTTGCTGATGTACATACTTTATAACTAATCATATTTTAAAAATATAGGTAATGATCTGTAAAAAAAAAAAAAAAGATTAAAAAAGAAAAATGTAAATGCCAATCAAATGATTAAATTAATACTAGTCACTCTGTGACCCTGTCAAGAGGCAGAATGATGGTTTTCTAGGAGTAAACAATAAGAGGGAAAGAATTTAGAAAACCTAAGTGAGCTTGAGCTCAAAGCCTTCAACGATCAATCGTTTTATCACCAAATCACGCACGCAGGGAGGGGAGGTGTCATCTGTGCCACCTTTCTTATTAAAACAGCATTTATCCGTTAGCATCGGGCAGGTTTCAGTGAGGAAAAAGCAAACGTGACATCAAAGCACAGAGAGTGTGATCACAAGCCCCATGAATTAAAAAGAGAAAGAATAAACATGTTATGTTAGCAGACCAATAAGGTGCCAATTGAGCAAGTTTTTGCATGTTAGTGATGCTCTGACAAAAGGCCAAACAGTGGGAAACACTACAAAACAAATCCAACTTTGTCTAATGACCATGTTGAGTCTCAGTCTGTTTCAATCTGTAATCAATATTTACAAGTAAAAGGTTTCTTTTATCTGACATGTACACTTAAAGAGTCAATGCATCTACATCATTACATACAAACCTCATGATGTTTGTGACAGTGCATGGAGTTGCCATCATACGTACATTTACAACATCTTTACATACACCATTTACATCAGTACCTGAACTAGGAGCTCTTTCACAGCCCTTTGCACGTGGTACAAAACAACCACACAGCTACGCAGGGAGTGACGACAGTGATTTGTTGGTGAGTGTTTCAAAAGCAAACAGACTACAGTACGATTAAAACAACTTACCGAATGACAGAAAAAAAAAAAAAATAGAGACTGGCTTCTGGAGACAGTTTAAAGGGTTAATTCACCAAATGTATACGTTTCTATCTTTAGTGGTGTCCACATGTAAAACAGTTTTAGTTTTATCAGCTGAGGTTTGACAGATCAACATGCCGCCCTTTATCCCAATTGAGGTAAATAGACATTAGTGATGCTCTTAGCACCGACACAAAACGCTGCATCATGCTTCTCTATGAGAATGAACTTTGAACCTGCAGGACATTTGACAAACACTAACATCATCATGCTTTCATATTCACACTGACTGTACTAGCATGCTAATTTTAGTAGCTAAGATGTTTACAGAGCTCTCCATATTGGTGTTAGCATGCTTACATGGAGACATAATTAATGTACGAGAGCAACTGTAAGCCATAATTTTGATGCTAATTATTTTTAGCCTATACCACCATGATGCATTAAATTAGGTAATTCTTCTGCATACAGTGTTTAGTGCTTGAAATTATCTATAATTCAGAGTTATTTGCTCTTTGCAGTGGATTGCGTTTCTTCCTACTTATAACAGAACTTTTTCCGGGAAGGTCGCAGACTTCCCTTATTTCAAAGTTGTTTTTCCAACTGAAATTTTGAGTTTTGAAAATATAAAATACAGTTGAACAGCCAAACTCTACAATAGCAGTGGTTTGAGCTACATGCTAAAATCAGTATGCAAACATGCCAGCAATGGCATGTTAATGAATGGCAGGTTCAAAGTTGACCCTTTTTACAATCTTAGTTTTGAATGTGACATTTGCTTGACACAATGTTAAGCCCAGGTTGATGGCAGTGTTGCCCTACATTAAACAAATTTAAAATCTGACCCAGTTGTGAAAATGAAAAATATGGGTACAATTATGTCAATATTTAGTCCTATAAGGACTTCATAAATCAATAACAGTCAATCGTTTGAGTGTATAAGTCATTCACAATGGTGGACTTAACATCAGAACATGATCATCTCTTGAACTAACAGCACAGCCATCAACAAAAATGACATTTACCTCCATTGTATTGGGGGAGTCTCAAAACCTCCTCAAATCAAATTACGAGTAGCGAGTGATTCAGTATGTTCAGTTTTTGTGTGGTTTGAGTGAACTGCTCCTTTAAGCTTTGTTTCACTTTGAGAGAACATTGAAGGTTTTTTGTGTGCACACCTCAACAGAAGTTTAGTTAGCAGTCAGCCTTTCACACAAACAGCCCAAAGCCCCACACTTAACACCAGCATTCAGGATTCTTCCCAGCTGATTTGACGATAATCGTAAACAAGCAAAATTAACCCTCACAGAAAAAAACAGCAATTATGACCCGTGTCTGAAAGTTTGTCCTTTTTGAAGTTTATCCTTTGCATTTTTAAAAATGTAAATAAATTCTTGCTGCAGCTTCCTTGAGCTGCCCGTTGGTCAGGTTGACTTCTGAGTGAGGTGCGAACACAAAAATGAGCTCAATTCGCCCAAAGGGAAATATGACCAGAAACCAGCGACTCCATGTGGTGAGAAAAAAATACCTATTGCATAGTACAAGAAGAATAGGCAGGTCTAAAAGTGTGGAAACAACTCAGTCTTTAAATACCAGAGGGAAATGCCATCCAACAAAGTGTTTAAACTGCAGTTATGGGGCAGATCTTTTCCTGTTGATTTGTTTACACTGGAATGATTTCAGCAGCGCAGTCAGAGCCTCAACTCTTTGGTTATGTCTCAACAAAACCACCACACCACATCGTTGGGCTGCCTTGTATTAAATTAATTCTGGTCATCTTCTTATTTCTGTTCAGAAATCTCTTAATTCAAGAGTCTGAAAACTTAAACTATGCTACAGCGTGTTTGCAAGTTCTTTGTCTTGGTTTGACAAGATACTTTCTTAGATTTACCGGATAAGCGTATATAAAATACGCCTGGAAATCCCAGATAGACTCAATTATTTTGTAAAGTCTATAATTTGACTTACTAAGGCTGAATTTACACATTTCAATTTCAGTGTAGAATAAAGTGCCGAACAAAGGTGGCACCATACTCAGGACTTAATGTGGCACAGTTGAATTTAAAAAAAAAAAAAAAGGCAATCACTTCCAGTACTGGCAGGAGATGGTTCGGATTGTGCTTATGTATGAGGAGGAAGGAAATTAAAGTAATTAAGAGTTGATATAGTTGATTGCATCTCCTCGCCCATTCACTGTTTAAGCGCACTGTAAACATTTCAAGTGTGATTCCTGTGATGAACTCAGCCCCTTCTTTTTGTGGTCCTCATGCATCCTGCAGTAGTTTCACACTCCTGCCAGCTTCATGTCTCCTCCTCCTCCTCCTCTTCATCTCTGTCGTCTTCCTCCTTCTGTCTTTGGCAGTAGTGGTTTTCTTGGAACTGACTACAATGCAGCTGTGCAATACCATTAGTTTCTGTCCTTTGTTTCTGGCACGGCTCTGCTTAACTGATGCTGAGCTGTGCAAAGCCAATGAGCTTGACATCATCAGGGATTTCAGACTCCTCCACGCCAGACGCCTGGAAAACACAGACAACATGTAAACTGACTGTACTCACTTTCAAAACTCAACAATGACTGACAGCTGAACTGAAACATACAAATATGAATAAGAATTTAACTGTATGAATACATACTAAGGCAGTCACAAACTCTAAGTATTGATGATGACAATCTTTTAAACATTTAGTCGTTGATTTCATGCCAAAAATAAGTATTGTGGTAGTGACTGGTTTATTATAGAGAGCAGCTGTCGTTCTTTCAGGTGATCTCCACCAGAGGTAGACCGATTAATCAGAACAATTAATGGCTTCTTTTCCACACCATTGATCTATTTGAAAATCTATTTAAAACATGTAACTGGCGATGATCACCATGAATATGTGATTTTAATGTGGATGAAACACTCCCATTTATACACGACCTTGCTGAATTTCAATCACGGTATTTACCTTGGATTTATATTTTTCTCATTATCAGCTGTTGAAAATCTGTAATCAGTCGACCTCTAATTGCCACATGGTATCAAACAGTAGGAGGACGATGAAGACAGAGCAGCAGCAGCTAGCTAGCTGTAGCAACTTTATGAGAGATGGTCAAACATTTCCAGGACGATTTTCAGTTACTGTCACAGGGTTGTTGATATAGATAAAGCATAGCTCATTACACATTAGATAACATTATTGTGATAGAACTCTAATTTTTCTGTCATGTAGTTCATTAGATGACACTGTGACCGCCCTAACACTACGTTTTTCTGAGTACTCACCAATTTAAAAGTCACATTTTTGTTATTTTGAGGGTCGTCAACAATCTTTTGCAAATTGGCGGCAACTGGATAAGAGAACACAGTGAGAACAGGTTAGGAGACATTCCTTTAAAGAGACCAGAGGTGGAGACTGATGATCACTGGTTTTAAAGCAACATGCACACAATGAAATGGTGAAACACCTCTGCTTCTTTCTACTGACTTCAGTTCCGCATCAAATGTTCACCTGCGTATACAAGTTATCTAATACAACCTACATTTTGTGCTTTACAGTAGATACCACAGTATACAGGCAAGTGATTGGCTTCCAGCAGCAAAAGCATGAAACGTGAGCACAATTACTCAGAAATAAGGAGAGTCATTATATTACAGCCTGCAGAAATCCTAAAGTTCCCTTTTTTTTCACTGAGCAGCTAATGACCCTCTTTATTCAGAACATGTCCTTAAATAGATGATTCACATGGCAAAGGTCAGAAAATCCAGAGTTTTAAATGGATCTGGAAGAACCACATCCCTGAGTATGATTAACCCCACACTCTGAGACAAACACATCTAAAGATAGGGCAAAACTCCTGGAGTTCAACAGTTTCAGTAGACTCTAATGGATCACCAATCTCAGGTAGATTTGAAGTGTATGGACCTCATACTGTTAATATCCAATCATGCAGGTCTCCATGTCTTACTTACCAATGACTAAGTCCCTCCCGTCAACCAGACCGGCTGAGACCAGCTCCTGAGAAACCCCATCAGCAGAATCTGCAGACAGATATTGAGACTCAGACTTAAGGCAGGAATCGCCAGTACACAATTTAAGACAAAAAAATTGAAATGAGTCCTACCTCTGCCCGACATGAACTCAAATCGGATGTCGTTAAGTTCCTTCTTGGGATTCCTCAGTCTTAACACGAGGCTGATGGGAACACTGGCATCAGCTGCAGCTGGATCCTACAGCATGTCAAAAATACAGCAAAGAAACAAACGATCAACTCCACTCTGTTCCCCTGATCTCTGCAGGAATTTCTTTGTTTTCTAGACCGAGTTTTTAGTAACAGAGTTTCTGCATTTATACCACGTGTTACTCCTGCAATGTCAGTGACAACAACACGCAAAGATCCATGTCTTTTTAAGAGACACCATTGTTTTCTTTTTTATTCATTTGAGGGAAAAGTTTTCTCTCTTTTTGTTAATCATTACTATCTGAACCTGATGGTCCCTACTCACATCCAGTCCGTTGTGTTGTCATGCTCTTTAATCACCGATTGGTTTAAAATGAAGGAGCTGTAAGGTACTTTGTAAATGCAGATAAGAATAAGAGGCTCATGAATTAACCACTGACAGTGAACAAAAGTTTGAATAGCGTGATTTGAAAAGGCACTGTGGAGGAAAATGTAGTTTATTAATGCACTGTCAAAGTCAGCGAGGGAACTTTCAGTTTTAAGCAGCAGATGCTAAAAACGCATTTTTTAATCTTTATAGCAGATACCGTTTATTTTAGTTTCTGTACTATAAAGTTTTCCAGGGAAACTTTTTCTCCATGTGAGGCAAAAATTTATCTATTATGCTACGTTCCAGTTGTACCCCGAAGTAGGAATTTCCAAGCTCACAGTCGGAAATTCATCTGGAACGCCCCCCTGAAGTCGGATTTCCGACTCAGAAAGTTGGACAATCCTCACCAACCCCGACTTGACGACAGCATCATAATCCAAGATGACAGTGCAGTGCATCAACAGTAAAGAGTAACACTGAAACCTCTTGTAATGTTTTATCTATTAACACTTCTGTTTTGTTTTTGTGACGTTAAGTCAGTGGTATATGTTGTACTGCTCAACACAGTGCTATGGTGTTTGTTTACAACTGGTATAGCTAATAAAAACTAACATCAGCTGACAACCACAAACAACAACTGACAACGGCCAACGACAGCTGACAATTGTTAACAACAGCTAACAGTAGGCGTCCATCTTGGTTTTTCGACTTGTTTACTGGAACGCCATCAACTCGGGTGTAGCGTCATACACAGCTACGACATCTGACTTCCGAGGTAACTGGAACGCAGCATTAGCCTGTCTAGAACTTACTTATTCTTCGATGTATGACTTTAACACATGCTGTGAAATCACCAGTGGGATTAATAAAGCGAACCAAAATGTCCAATAGCACTTTCTCTGATCAAAACCAACACTGTTTATCAAATAGATAACATGATTCCCTGTCCACCCATTATGGAAATGTGACAGCTAAACAAACCTGATGGTGAGCGCTGACGTATTGGTTCGGCGGGGCTTTAGCTTGAGCAGAAGCATTCTGGTCAACTTCTCCTGCTCACTTAAACACACATGTAACTTACCAATATAATCATAACAAAGACCCTGAGGTCTGAAGAGTCCACAGTCCACAGAGTCAACTTAGCTTAACTGGTCAATTTAGCTGTCCATCATCTTTTAATTAGAATGCTTAAACTCCGCCTCTTTACTTTTAAATGACAAAAGGTTTGGCTGAGTCAGCATTTAAAGCACAAAAAACTTAGAACTGCTTCAGAAGACTTGAGACCACGTCCTTGTCCTGCTTTGTCCACAGTTTTTGTTTCATACTTGGTGAACACTTACGGTATCCATGCTGATAGTCTATGATCAGAAATGTTGTATGAGATCCAACACTAAGTTATGAGAACTTTTGAGGATTTACTTCAGGACCTTTTGCAAAAAATACTGATGTCAGAACTGGTGGTTTTTGAGAATGTAACTTGCTAACTTCACACCTTCTCTGACTTCAGCTTTTTCAACAACTGGATGATAGTGTTTTCTAGAGAACCTGCCCCAAACTAAACATGTCAAGAACATATTTACATTTGTATGAGCGTAAACACACCCTTCTCTTGTTTCTTTTTTCATTACCTGAGAAGTGGGTGCATGTGAAGGGCTCGCTGTCTGAGCAGGAGCCTGCGGTTGAACATCCTCTACTGTCTGACCCGCATTTGCAGGGCCCTCATGTGCCACACCGGGCAGCTGCAGACTTCCTGAGGAGCCGTCTGCTGCTGGGAAGAGCTACGAGATACCAATTTGCACAAAAAATTCAGCAGGTGTTTTTGAGTTTTTCAAGAATGGAAAAACAGAGGAGGACACACAAGACAAGTCATGCAGATCAATTTGTTGGAGAGTTAAGATAAAATCAAAATTTCCAGGTCATGTCCACCACAAGTAAACTCACCTCCATATTCTGGGACCCGTCCTTCACTCTGGGGGACTGCAGAATGGACATGACAAGATTTCCAAGATTAAAAACATGCACTTCTCCTTTTATTCCCCCCACATATGGACTGATGGAGCATTGAAGGATTACATGAATTGGACACAAGTTGACTTTGAACACAGGACTGAAATCATGGTTAAGACAACAGACGGTAAAATCCTTCACCAAGACCCCAATACAAAAACTGTCAAACTAAGGCCCCCCCACATCCCTGAATGGACGAGTCATTGTAAATTCACAATCATATTGCATGCTTTAAGACATTTCCTGTCCTTCAACCCAGCAGCACCCTCTGCTGGCCAGAAAGGTGCAGTGTGCTTTGAAAATTACACTGCAAAAAGCCTTATAAAGAAAGCTCGACACAGGCATGCAGAGTCTCACCCGCAGAGCTGCCACAGCAGCTTTGCCCTCCTCGCTCTCCTCGTCCAGCTCATCGTCGCTCCACTCCCAACCGCCGTCCTCTGTTTTGTGGAGACGCCCACTGGAGCCGGGAACTCGACGCACCTACACATCATATAAATACAGAAAACTTAAGGCTGACTCACTCATTCCCTCTGGTTTATACTTTTTAAAACTGGGACACGAGTTTGAGAAGAGAGCAGATGAGCGGAGAAATAAAACATAGTTATATTTCTAGACAATGAACTGTTTAATAGTGTGTATAAACAGTGTACCAAGAATAACAGTCACACCTTTCTGGATCGCTCTGATATTGTTGGACCTTTGTTTAGGAGTCTTTCCTCCAAGTACTCGTTGTTCTGTAAGAGACAGACAAACATTAATATCAGGATCTATGAGCTTCTCTTTGAAACGGGAGGACATTTTAAGTATACTTTTATGAATTCAAGGTGGTGAATGAAAGCTTACTTTGGCTTTCGTGAAAAATTTATGCTTCAGCAACTCAGCAGCGGTTGGCCTGAATAGGAAAGAGACACAAGGCTCTTCATTATGTTCATTACAAAAACAAAGAATCTCAGGGCAAGCAAATCAAGTACAACTGCAGTCCTGCATTTAGCAAAAAGGCTCAGAGACTCACTGACCTTTTTTCTGGATCTTTCTGTAAACACAGGGAGAGCATCTTCCTGAAGGACTTGCCGTACTTCTTTACCATCTCCTTGTCTGTGATCCCCGTCTCCAGACAGGGCGGGTCGTTCTGCAGAGTCAGCATCAGCACCTAAATGCACATAAAGATCAGCTGCAGTCAGTGAACTTGTGTAAAAAAAAAAAACAGCTGCAAACTCAGGACTGCTTAAGCCACTTCGTGTGGAGCAAAAAATGACTCTTTCCATCCTCAAAACTTGACATCTGAAGGTATAAGTTCTTCTGCTGTTTCAAAAGAGCGAAATGAGGTTAAGTACCATCGAGCGCACACACACACACACACACACACACACACACACACACACACACACACACACACACACACACACACACACACACACACACACACACACACACACACACTCTTACCTTCATGGGTGGGTATTTGTGATACGGTGCAGCCCCTGTGGCCAGTTCAATGGCTGTTATTCCAAAACTCCAGATGTCAGCTTTGAAGTCATAGCCGCGGACCTGCAGATTCATAATCGAGTAAACAAAGCGCTCAAGTCTGGCTTCAATCAAAGAGTTAAGAGCTCTCTTAGACAGTGAACAGAGGGTGGGAGACGCCATCTGCATCACAAGCCTCTTACCTGCTCCATGACCTCAGGGGCCATCCAGCATGGCGTCCCCACAAACGTCTTGCGAACTTTGTTCCTCGTCATGTCTCCTCCTGCTGCTAGAAAGGCACTCACACCAAAGTCTGGAGAGTGTGTTTGTTTTCGAGGTGGGACAGCAAGGAAGATAAAGGGAATTCTTTAATACTTTAACTAATAACTGTGATTTTTCACAGTGGAATTAGGATTTAAAAATGCACAAATAAAAGTGCCAACAGTGGAATATGAAACTACAGGAAACACGAGTAAAACCACAGTAGATGCAGGAGAGAAGTAAAAGCCTTTACCAGCAATTTGCACTGAGCCGTCTTCCCCAAGAAGAATATTTCCAGCTTTTAGATCCCTGTGAATGAAGAGAGGGAGCATTAAAGATAATGAACAATAAAAATGCCATTAGTCATTTATTGCACCAACAGAGGAGTGGTAAGGCTGCACATTTATCACTCCTGCACACAAACCAGCTGCACCTTTGATCTGCTTCAAATTAATCCACCTGATTTCTGTTTGCATAAACAGAGAGCAAACATTGCACAAAGAACAGGAGTGGATAAACCTGTGCCCAACCATCCCACTCTCCTGCTCTCTTTTCTAGTGATGTCGAAGAGTTAGCCGCAGAGTTGGAACTCAACCTGCAGCTGCTCTTTCTGGAAAACGGATACTCTCTCTTATCCCACTGTAACATCTGATAGTTTTTACGTACAAGCAAGTTACAGGATTTTTCTACTTGCTCCTACAAACAAACCACAGCAGTGCTGCAGAGCACATTAGAAATGAACCATCAAAAGTATCTGTGGCACTACATGTCAATATAAAACAATCCCACTTGTCGTACAACAAGTTAGAAAGGATATAAAGAGGCCTTCTGCTCAGCAGAGGTCATTCTCAGTGTTCCTGGGAGGGACTTTTATGTAAAACAAAACTCCTACATTATGCATTTTCACTGTATGAAATATTCAGGGACTGAGGTCTAGTTGAAGCCATACACGCATATGTAGAAACGAAAGGCCGAGACAGGAGTGAATGATGGGACGTAGTGGTTATGAGCACTCAAAGCACACAGTGATAAAAAGAACTTCCCTGTAGTGCAGACAAATGATGACCCTTTATTCAAACTCACCGATGAATCTGCCCATTTTTGTGGAGGTACTCCAGACCCTCCAAGACCTCTTTCAGGATGGTGGCGATGGAGGCCTCATCTAACACTCCAGACTTGTGCTCGCCACGAGAGATGATATGCTTGATGATGTCCAACACTGAGCCTGAGGCACAGAGTGAGGCTCGTCACAAGACATACTGACAGACTCACAGAGAGGCTTTCTCAAACACAAGGAGTTAAAGACACACTGAGGGATGTTTACCTAAAAGTCGTTAGTGTCATATACATGTATCTTAATTAACCCAAAACAGCCTGGTCTGCATCATATCTAAAAGTTATCTTATTTTGATAAGGCAACAATTCATACTTCTATTTCTGTAGCTAATGACTTCTTTCTGGGTCGACTCTTTCAATAGTAGTTTTCAGCTTTAGTAGCAGAGTCTGTCCACCATTCCTGCAAAGGACTTGAATCACCTACTTAAACATGAGGGCTACACAGGGAAGCTGCTCCTCTGCTAGAATGTCACTGTTTGCAGTTTCAGCCTCTCGATAACTGCCTCACTGTTTACAGCTTGTGTGTCTGATCTCCAGGACAACAATATTTTTAAACTTCCCTTTCATCTCATTTAAATTATGAAGCAGGATGCAGTCAGGCTGCTAGATGACGGAGCATTTTCGGAGTATGGTGTGGACAGAATTAAACTCTTCTGCTTTGCGTATCAGAAATCTATTAAAGAAGAAAAACAGCAGCTGACGTCGACACATTTAACAGATACAATTAATTCTGCATAAACTCAGACAGACACCTGAATATACGGAAAAATAAACACGTTGTCTTATATCTTTGTAAGACTTTGGAAGCAGTCCATGAAACAAAAATGCTTACTTCAAACTCAGACAAGCTACTCCTGCACAAAAGTACTGTCTGGGTCCCTGAAGACTATATGCAAACTAAGATTTGGAAAGGAAGCAGGTGCGCAGACGATTTCAATTCAAATTGAAGGTAAATACATGACCAGAGAGTCCTGCAGTCAAGTTTCTGTAAATATCTCAGCACTTACCACCACTGAGCAGCTTCATCACCAGCCACAGCTCATCCTTCACCACAAAGGAGGTATAGTAAGACACAATGTTCGGATGGTGGCACTGGCTCATGGCCTGAATCTCTTTCTGCACAGAGTGGAAAAACAAAAGTCCAAGGTCACATGAGGAGCAGGAACAGTGAAGTACTAAGTAAAGCACAGACTAAACATTTAAAATACACTTCAAGTTACAAACCAAAACTCGGCCATAGTGGATCGGATGTAGTACAGTTTTTGATGTGAGGTACATCGAAAAACATTTCGCTTTTAAGTGCAGTTTGAAAGAGTAAAGACAGCTAGCCCTCCCTCCTCACAGAAAACCAGCACAATCTGACCCATGAGTGGGAAGTGTCTGTCAGACTCCAGACAGACTGAAAACCTTGGTTACATCACCACTGAGTCACTAAGCCAAGACATCTTTAACCTCAATGGCAGACAAAGGTGAATTAAGGCTCTAAATACATTACACAAGGACTGGGCAGGTGGATGTCCCCAGAGAGCAGAAATATTTCAACAAGACTTCAAAAGTGCTGCATTTTTGATAACTGACAGGTCTTAAAAAGAAATGGCTTTATATGGGTGACAAGGCTGAGGCAGAATCATCTCTTTATACTCAAGTTTCATTTCCATGCAGAAGAAAGGCTCAAACACACACACACACAAATGCATTTAAAAATCCTATGAGATAGTAAAGAAAGAGCAGCTGACAGTGATTCGGATCTACAGACTGTAAAGAAAGTTGGCATCTCAAATATCTGTGGTTAAAATAGAAGTGAGTGGGAATACATGATTCAGACCACTATATGGATTTATTATGTTTATGAGAATTTTCCTCATGTTGATATAATAACCTCTGTTGGTCCATAATTTGTTTATGTTCGTAGGACAAAAAGTTATCCCACTGTGGTTAGTTTGAGCAGGAGAGTATCTTCCTATATAATCAGAGTAGAAAAGATTTCCCTCAGCAAGTGATATTACTTTATTAACTTATTCTGGTTTATCAATCAAAGCATGCGTTTAAGATGGATCATGAAAAATAACTTCTGTCTGGGAATCTGAGCTGCTGTTGGTGTACGGTTTCCTCAAAAACTGAGTCTAGTTGAGACTAGTTAGGATGCTTATCTCTACAAACATCTCCTGACGCAACTCATCTTGTTTTCAGTGACATTATCAGTTCAAACAATTACCTCATTGAATAAATACACTGCTCTTGCATATTTGTTTTAACTGGAGAGCAAGCAGTCTACTATTATACTTCATAAATATTTGATCATTTCCTCTGAAAGGTAACAGGGTTGCTTGTCCTTTCAGGAATGATTGGACACATCAGTTATCTATATCAATGCAATATTAGACAAAGTCTGTTTTTTAATGAATCACATTAGGAGGATAACATATCATTATGTGAAACACTGCTTCATTTGGTGTGGTGTCATTTCAAAGGAGAGATTCAATGCAGCAATTTGTCCCATGTCATAGCTGGGCCTCACCACATACTGGACTGACTCCTTTACTTTCCACTTAAAGGTGATTCAGTTGTGTTGCTAATGTAATCCAGAGAGTGAAAAAAATAAACAGCAACAAAAAGGGGTAAACAATACTGTAAGAGGGCAGAGGTAAAGTCCAGCATTTACTTTTTTTGGTCTTGTTGCCCCTGACATAAATCTCACACTGTCTTCTGAGTTGCGTTTACTGCAGTAGCTAAGCGTTTGAGAGTGTATTTATGTATGCAGAACAGTTTGGAGGGTCTCATGTACATTCTACTCTTTGGGTATATATAAATATAAAATCTCGACTAGGTATCAGTAGGCATGTGCTGATATGAAAAATTTGAAATCACGATATTCGTGGCCCAAAATATCACGATTCACGATATTATCACCATATTATCATGACATTATTACGATATTAGCGCATTGCTTTTAACGTTACTAAAAATGGCCAAAAACTGCGAAATCACGTCTCTGTGCACAGCATGACACGTACAAACAATATGAGCAAGAGGCAGCTAACGCAACGTTGGGAGCATTAGCTTTTTGGAGCTAAAGTTAGCAGACACGTCACTAACGTTGTCAATAATAAGCAGTAAAGTAGACCAAACTTGTTGCGGTCATATTGTTTTTACCTTGATTGGGGTGAACGATGTTGGATGGTGTTCATGGAGGTGGGCACGTAGGTTTGAAGTGTTAGACAACGGCGCTGCAACTTTCTTACGGCATAACCTGCAGATTGGTTTCAGGTTTACCTGCTCCGTCTGTTTTGTGAAGCCGTAAAACGTCCATACTGCGGACAAAACCTTTTTAATAGGAGGATACAGCCGAGGTTTGGACACGCTCCAAACAGTGCTGTGGGTGGCTGCAATGCATTGTGGGTGGCCACGCATTTTGTTGTAAAATTTCTTCATTTTCTCTTTTAATGTTCCCGTTTTTGATAGGCTGGCATTAATGTACTTAATTCAAGAGTTTGTTTTGGATTAGGGACTAATTTTGTGTTGGTTTGTTTGTACATTTTACTACCTAGGCTTTGACACCGTGGGAAAGACTACAAGCAGGTTGGGTTGGTAAGTACTCGGCTTCGCTCGCCTCCACTGAGTGACACTGCCACTCATCTTTAAATAATAATTGTGGAACAATTATTACAGTACCCTACGAAAAATGGGAATTGAAAATGGGATGGGGGCCTAATAAGCTGATCCAGACATCCTTGATTTGTACATCACAATTCAAAACTACTCTCAAGTGAAAAAAAAAAAGTATTTTAGTGCTCAACAGGAAAAGTCGGCAAAAGGAACGTAGTGTTAGTTCACATTTCAGTTGTCTGCATTGTACAGATTATTGATTTCATCAAGCTCCTGTACTCAGAGTTGTTGTGGTATCACGCTTTTGATCTGTCCTGATTTGACACCACAAACCCACAGCACTCCTAGCAAAACAGTCACACACACCCAAACACACACATGAAGAACAGCTGGACCTGCAGATACTAGGCCCACACATCAGAACAGCTTCTTACCAGGAGCTCATCCATGCTTGTTTGACACTTTTCCAGGTTGATGCGTTTGATGGCCACCTTCTCCTTTCTCGGCTTGCAATATGCCGCCTGGACCACTGCAGTGGCTCCGCTCCCTGATGAGAGCAACATTATAATGAAAACAAAACACAGAAGGAACAGAGACCTTTGGCTTCATGGGTACTAGAGTTCAACTCTGACAGCCAACTACATCTTTGTTTGCAACCTGGATAAGCTGAATAGTTCTGCTAAACTTGGCTGGAAACTAGTCTCTTATCAGTGACTGTGTGTGGGTTAAGTTCAGCTGTCTTTGAGGAGTGTTCACTCCATGCAAAATGCTACAGCTTAATTATAGCTGGGGAAAGAGAGATTACACTAAATCTATCCTTTCTTCAAAGAATACCTGCAGATTCACGGTAAGACTGCATGATTGGGGCCAAAATGAGTATTATTATCATTTTGATTAATACTAAAAACATAGTTATTATATACAATTATTTATGAAAGAGTATGCTACTCAAATAAAATTACACTTAAATGAATTTGAAGTACAGAGTATTTCCTTTTACCCACAGCGGTGGGGTTCAGGGTGTAAGATGTGCTCCCTTAATCATATAAAAGCAAATTTGTCAAAACTATTTGTTCTGATAAAACCAAGAACATTGTTAATATTTTAATTTAATTTCGATTCTGCACATTTGTGAAGCTGTTAAATATTTCTAGAGCATCACTCGTCAGCATTGCACTTTTAGATGGTCCCTGCTCTCTAGCTGTGACTTGAACAGTTTCAATTGATATTAACAAGTAATACTGGCTGCAAATGCAGTTAGCAAGTTTCTTGAGACAAAAGTTAATACTTATTTCAAGGGACTAATCAAGAAAATTTCGGCTTGAAATGCCATATCACAAAATTTATATTGGGCCTGTCAGTAAATCTGGAGTAGTGCAGTATTTTCACAACAAATGAGAAAATCAACTTTGATAAGATAAATTTTTACAGTATGCACATATCCAGTCAGCTGTCATATAGTTTAACTGAGGAGCAGCATGTTTTCTTTACACCAAGTAAGTGATATTTTTCTAAATGCACCAACAAAAATAATCAAGTGCCGGTAAAATTACTCATTTTACAAACTACTCAGACAGTACAAGTACACGGCGAAGGTGCTTAATTACAGTTTTATGAGTAAATGTGCTGAGTTACTTTCCACCCCTGTTCAGTCATGTTACTAAAGTATGAATGGCTCTCCTTAATCCGTGTCATACCTTCATTACTGGAGCACCACCCTCTCAAACAACTGACGGATCCTCACGCACTGGAGGCTAACATTAGCCAGCTAGTTTAGCTCTGTGCTAACTTACTAATGAGAGGATAACTTTAGCTCTCCGACAAGCAGGCAGTCTTAATTAATTTGGCCTGGACAGAAGGAAAGTCTGCAGTGCTGGTCACCTTCTTGCCATGTAGCTGCGGTTTGTAACCGGCCTTCTGCTAAGCTACGGACATGCAAAGCTAGTCGGCTCGTGCAGTTAGCTGCAGTCGCCGCTGTTGAAACAGCGGGGGGCTAGGCTGCTAACTTTAGCAAGCTAGGCTCCTTACCTATCACCTCATTGAGTTCGTAGTCGTCCCTGTCGATAGACCAGGATTGAGAGGACTGGTCTTCAGCCATGTTTTCGCTGTTTGAGCTGTATAAACAGTGCGTTTGAATAAGAACAGATATTTTATCTGAAATAATATCTTTGTGGTTACTCCATTCGGCTCCGGTGATGCAGGATGCCGCTGTTCCGCTGACAACTCCTGCCGCTCCTGTCAACACAACTTTACGCGCGACTGACGCAGCGTATGACGTAGCACCTCAAAAAGGCACAGAGAAGCTGCCATCTTGGATGTGGCAAATTCAGACGATTGTTTGTAAAATGATCCAAATTCAGGAGAAAAAAATGATGGTGTAATACAGCAATAAATGACAGCTGAAAAATCAGGGCGTAGCTTGTACGTGGTTATAACAGTTCACACTAACACATCTCGAAGACGACATACCCTGCACTTTTTAGTGTGCACCAAAGACCCACTAGAGGGCGCTAAAATGACTACTGAGTGCGGGCCATGGACTGTGTGGGCCTTGGGAGGCCTCTTTCTTCTTCACAGTCTCATTGGTGTATATGAGTTTTAAATAAGATGTAATGAGAAATTCCACAAGAATAAACATGTTACCAAAGTACTGAACATAAATGTGGCATTTATTTGCAGTAGGCCTCCTATCAGTACTAGACTGTTTTTGGATCACTTTAATATCCAGTATTGAAAGATGTGCATTACAGTACACCAATACTTTGATCTTGCACTTTGGCACAGTATTGATTAGATTGTTCATATTTATTTTTAACAGATGTTTTGTTTTGCACATAACTGCTCTATTTTAAGGTTTATTGGTAGACTGCTATAATCCCTCAGTTTCAAGAACTTGGCAGGACGTATTGTGAAAAGCAGATTGGCTGTGAACTTTCCTAAAAACTCCCCTGAACACAGCATTCATAACTCTCAATTTCTTTGGTCTTTATCCTAGGTTGACCCGCATGTTGCGTAATCTTTGTCACTGAAACAGTGCCTTGAGACATGAGGATGTTTTGGGGGAAACCAGCAGAGCTATGGATGGTATCAGTGGTATGTGAGGAAACAGCGGGGCCTGTTGTTGCTTGTTCAACAGGCTCAGACACCAAGCAAAGACAGACTTTTCAGCAAAAGAAATCACTCACAGTTTTCCCTTTAGTGTTTGTGAGAGAAGAAGCGTTTCATGTGATACATTCCACTCCTCTTTAACCAAATTCACAGGCTTAAGCAGAGTCACAGGTTACTTGTTGCTTCCATGATTTGCTAATCACTGGTTCTTGCACTCACAAACACTTGCTGAAAAGGGACTTTACTTGTCTCACTGATTTTTACACAAACACATTCCTTAGCTTAGCCATGCAGCTGGTGAGGGGATGGGTAGTGCTTAAGGGTTTCAACACATCAGAGATGACTTTATAAAGTTGTAATTAACAAAACTTCAAAATTCCAACTGCTCTCTAATTTTATGCAACCAAATTAAATGTCTGAGTAAAGATCACAGTAAAGTTATCTTGAAACATCTAAATAACTAACTTTTGTCATCTATTTTTTTTCATTGGTTCTGTTTTAGCCACTCCCTTTTATCACTGTAACAAAGCTAATGCGCACTGTAGAACTTTTTGAGTCTTTTCGCAGCAATTGCTCAAATTCCAGCCCCCACTACTTACCTCAGCTTTATTAATGCTATCACTGCATCACTATTACTATTATAAACCTGTTGACTTAAAATTTCATAAATCAATTTATGTTTAATCTATTATCATCCACCTGTTGTTCCTGTAAATGGTACATGTACTTGTTCCATAATCTCTGGGATTGTAACTATCTACATCTCTATCTATCCCCCCGCTCTAATCCCAATACAGTTTCAGCAGATGACTGTCTAACATGAGTCGGGTTCTGCTCAAGGTTTCTGCCTGTGTAAAGGAAGTTTTTCCTCTCCACTGTGACTTGCTCAATGCTGTAAAGTGTTGCACTCATTGTGAATTCAGGTGAAATCAGAGTGGGTCGGGTCTTTCAAGATGGGACTTAATCTTGTCCCATCTTGATGTTGGATCTCTGTAAACATGGTTCAGTATGGACTACCAGCATCTTGAGATAACATTTGTAGTAAACTGGCACTATATGAATAATTATTGAGTGATTGATTGATTGATTGATAGAACATAAACAAAGTGCCTTCTGAATCCCCTTCTACTGAATAGAATGTAAACAACGTACTCTATCAGTAACTGGGCCTTTTTATGTTTTGGTTGTTATGCAAGTTATGTGAAGTTTGTTAAATACTCAATAAAGTCCTTTCTAAATGTTTAATCAGTCAATAAAACTCTGGCAAACATGATTTCTGTGATCAGTCTAAAATGCCCATGAAAAAAATAGGATTAAGACTCAATTAACAAGAAGAATTCTAAATTCAAGTATCTACCTGTAGTTTTGAGTTTTCGTTTTACAAAATCAAATTTTCACCGCACATGGTTGCATAAATGCTCATAAGAATGCAAGGTATTTAGTGCTATTTAATCAATATATCCTCGGGAAGGCTCATGGACCCCTCTCTTTTTACTTGTCCCTTAATATGTTTGCTATGGGTATCACAGATTTTGACAACTACTCTTTAACTTTCAGGTTGCTTCCTGTCCGAGCTGCCCTCCTAAACTTTTTATCAGCCCACATTTTGATGGGCCTGTGTTACTGTTATTACAAAAACTATAAAATGGTTAACAAATTTCTGCTTGAGATGGATGTATATTATGTCAACTACTTTACGCTAATACCCTGTGGTACACTGCCTTTCAGACAGCCTGAGTATGCCACTGTGCGTGAGTTTTCCCTTGTCTTGTCAGATACCTTACAGGCCCTTGAACAAAGCACTGGAGAATGTGAAGAGGTAAAATGTAGTGCCGAGATGAAGTGTATGTTTCAATAGTTTCTGGGGTGCTGGAGGAAAAATGACTTTTGCTCTTCCACATCCACCCAGAACTATACAATGCAAACTTATAGGCATCACCACACTCTGTTTTCCTGCCTGTTTCCCTTACCCTGGTGGATTTTGATAGTGGTCCTCCCTTGCCCGGAAGCCTCTCCCCTGCCATCTGATGCTGCATTAAAGCTCACTCATCCTGATGCTGACAGAGCGCCGAGGGTAAGCCAGGCCTGAAAGGGAAGTGCTGAGAGCCACAAGAGCCCCAACGCACCAGTGATTGCAGTGCTATTATCCTGCCAAGGCTAAGCTGCACATGAAAAGAAAAGCAAAAAACTTTATCTGTCCCATTCAGAGGAACCAAAATGCTCCAATTCAATGTCAACTATGTAGACAGGCAGCGAGCCAACAGTGCTGTTCAGCCTTCCTCGCCATGTTTACCTTGAGTTTATAAGAGGAACAGGTGTGCACATGAAAAAACAGTTAACAAAAGCTAGAGAATGTAATTCTAGACATGAAGTTTAAGGAAATTTCCACAAACAGAAAACCAGATTACAATGTCTTGAGGCTTAAGGGTGCCTCTCAGGTGACTGCCCCCTCCCTGTTTATTCATACAAAGTTTTAGATTTCACTGGATTCTGGGTAGTATGTTTAAACTCTTGCTGCAAGTGCAAAGACCAGCTCATAATGTGGCATGCTGTGAATACTGCTTGATCAAACAGTGTGTTTATCTGCCCACACTTCACAGCATGAGCCCGTGTTAAGGTGTAACCTACCCTGTGGTGACATCAGCAGTGCAGCTTGCATGGCAGGCTTGTCAAACCGGTGTCAGAGCCTACAGAGGAGCTGACACAGTTCAGACCGCCGGGAGAAATCCACCTGTGACGCCGCCTTTCGGTGTGTAGTGTCTCCTGACAATCGCCTTTCAACAATCCCAAATCCAACTCTTGGCACAATTGGGCACATGGAAAGTCACAGTGACCATAGGTGAAACGCTGCATCAACAGAGACGAGGACAGAGAAGATCTGGCTGCGCAAAGACAAAGACTCGAGCCCGAATTATTAAGACAGGATGGAAACGAACGGGATCGCAAAAGACACAGGTGAGGTTAGGTACTTTCCAAAGTCAAAATGAGGCCGTTTTGGAGTCGTTTGGATTATATTTGTTCCAGACTTTCTAACAATGGATAATCTGCTCAAAGCATGCATGCAAACAAAAGTTTTTTTTGTTCAGTTTTCTTTCATTGAAATTGTTGCAGATCTACTTTTATGTTTACTAACTCTGCGTTCATCGAAATGTCTCTAATCGGGATCACCTTGATACATTTCTAAGATAACTCTGTCAAAAGGTGTGGTCCCTGCCATCCAGGCTAGTTTCACCTTGCTATAAACATGCGCAACTGTTTCCTCACCAAAACAGCGATCAGCCCAAAGTTAAGCAGAAGTTAAAACCGACTAAAACTACAAACGGAATGGCCAAGGGGCGCTTTATATATTTCTCAGCATTTATGTTTGTTCAAATGTTTGTCATCACATGTTATCCTTATCCAAATGGGCAGGTTGGGTTGATTCAAATCACGGCTCTGAACGGTAGCGGAAAGTCACCACAAGATGGAGATAGTGAATCACAAAGTGGGCGTTATAGTTTGTGGCCACAGGTATTTAAAGGTTTTTTGAGGTGGGTTATCGCGCCAAGATCCTGATATTATGAGACTCCAATCACCTCCAATGTGTCTGGTGAATATGTGACCAATCTTCTTTCTATTCTGACCAAAGTAAACCAAAATCACTGGGTTGTAACTGCTATGCAGACCAGACGATCTCCCTTTCACTGGCTTTTAGCATCTTTTCACATTAGATCAAATGTAAAGGTGCTTTCAACAGGAACTTTCCTCAGGATCAAGGAATCTTTTGATTACATCTGTCCAACACGTCAGGAACTAGGGTCTGGTTTCTTTTTCAGGTTAATTTACCCCATAATAAGTTCTTGCTCGGGTGGTTCTGTCCAAAGTCAGGGAACTTGGAGGCAGAGCCTGAAGACAAAAACATTTATTAAAAAGTTGCCTCTTTATTTACATTTTAAAAACTAACTGCACTGATGCATACACGATGAAAAATTGTTCTCAAATATGGCCCCCTAAACTAATGAATAACACCATGTACCCCTATGCTTAATTTACACAAAGACACTAGCTGAGCAGAGAGAGGGGCAGACAGGAAGAGTCACACAGGGGAGCTTGCACTGGTGCAAATATTTCTTTAAACATTATGTTATTTAATAAATCATATTGTCCACCTGTTGCTTAATTTGACAACTTGAAAAGTTCAGCAGACTTAAATATTTGCAAGTGACTTCATTTAGACTAACCAAAGAAAACTTTCCTTAAATAGCCTACTCATTTTATGCCTGTGGGCTGATATGCATAGTCTTCACGAGACTTAATGTCACATTGGAAAGCAGACAACAGAAGCCAGAGTTTCTTTTAGTTCCTACACAAGTTCTCTGTAAGCCTTTTTGGTAGAAACGCACCTAAGATCTGTGTCTGGAAACTCCCAGCACAGTTAGCGATATAAGTGCAGCTCCACACCTTATATGTCACACTATTTAAGTAATTTGAATGAAAGTCTAATAAAATAGTATGATTTCATTAAGCTAATTGATAGAAAAGGATTAAGCTGCAAAAAAGTTAAAAGTGTGATGGCCTGAATTTCCACTAGCCGTGTTCCTGCATCGTTGCCAGTACATTATATTGTTTATTGCTCGTGCTTTTTATGCTGATAAGGACATATGAATTTGAAATAAATGATTAAGTGCCATTTGTAGCAAACATTTAACCAGTTATGTAGTTGCTGATTCAGGATAGCTGTGGTGTCTTCAATCATAGTTGCATTCACGTGCTCTCGGATGCTCGGAGTTCTTAAATTATTAAGTTGTTCTTTCAACAACAGTTAAAAGTTGTAAAATCCAAATGAATTGTATGTGGTAAAAATTATGTAGTAGGCTACATTTTATTGCCCATGGATAAACTAGATCACCTGTTTCAGAGAGCCTGATGCCATTATATTATCAGCGAATGAGCCACAAATGGAAAGAAGTTGATAGTGAGTGAGTTCTTTTTACTTTAGTGCCACTATTCTCTAATCCGTCATATTTCTGAGTGATAAAAAATCAACTCCACAACTAGGTTGCAAAACCTTTCCCCATCTTCGCCTCGTGAGTGGACTTGGAAAAGTATTAAAGCTAATTTCCCGTGGGGAACTATTTTTTCCGATTATTCCAGCAGCACGTGAATGCAGGGTAACGGTTTCCAACGTGGTTATTTCAACAAGTTCTCTTAAAACGATAAAAACAATGGCAGCATTCCGCATAAGTGGGAAGAAGACTGAAACAACCTCCTTCTTTGTCAGGACATGCTCTCAGTTTTTTAGTCATAAAAATGATGGTACGTGTCTGGCAGTCAGCTGACGGGGGAGAAGTGAACTTTGAGAGGGGGTGGATCACGCCCTTCCTCACACACCGTGGTCGGTCCAGACGGCCGTGAGTAGCCGTGTGTCTGTAACTCAGGGAACTATGCATTGCCTGCAAAGACAACCCGAACTCAGCAGATCTGAGGAATTAAAGCGCCATGTCTACAACGAGAAGGTGATACAAATGAATGCAAAGCTCCTAGGTAGGCTGCACTGCAGTTTCTCGACCGATAACAGACGTTTTCAAAGGGTTGAACAGGGTCAAAAGTGTTTGTGGTCACGGTGTGGATCTAAGCTTGATCTCAGTATGTCAAAGCTCTGAAGGTTGTGTGTCAAGTGTTATTTATTTTTTGTCATGTTGTGTCCTGATGAGATCAATGAATGTTAAGGATGTTTAGTCCACCAACATGTGATTTGTGTGAAGTGGGAGAAAATGCAAAGAAGGAGTGTCTGTTGATCTGTTCCCTGTGCTCCTCTATTTCTCAGGTATGGAGGGCGACGGAGATCTCAATTTCCTCCTGCAGGGGGGAGACCTCCTGAAGGTCCGCTCCCAATCTTGGAAGAAGACTCGCTACTACAAACTCCAGGAGGACTGCAAGACCATATGGCATGAGTCCAAAAAAACCTTCTGGCGAAAGCATACCTGTGAGTGCTTTCCAAACAACCCGCTGACATGTGTGTGAGACCCACTAGAAAGAAAAACCCTTCTCATCTGTCTGGTGTTGTCATGGACATATGTTCCATCATTTTCCTTTGTTTCAAACTTATGTCAATGACGTACATGACTTATATCTTTGCCACCGTCTAATGTTAAACCTCCATGGATTATAAAAGTCAGTCATAGTTATAAAATAACTTGTCTCTCTGAAAGCCTTTCGTATTATCTCTGAAACACCTGGGTCATTTCAGATAACAGTGATCTGCTCTCTGGGTGTGCTTGTGTTAAGATAGTGATTTACTTTTTTATAGTGTCTGGACGTATTTATCTGGTAGAATTTGTGACATTTAAATGCAGTATTGATGATGAGGTTCAGCAGCGTGACAGTTTGGTCTCGTAATTATGTTGCACACCCTTTGCACAGAGGCTACAGTCCTGGGTCTGGTTTCAATCTGTGGCCCCTTTCTGGCATGTCAACCCTCCCTCTTTCTCCTGGTTTTCTGTTCTTTCTGCTGTCCTATTATCTCTTTAAAAAGTCCTGAGGACCCTAAAGTGTAATTTTAAAATATTTAAAACAATGAAATGAATTCATGTAGAAACATTGACAGAACATTTATTTTCAATGAAACAAATTGGAGAAGAATGAAATTAAACATGCAAGTGCAGATGCCATAAGCCAAAACCTATTGAATCTCCCTTCGGGGATCCATAAAATTCTTTTTCTATTATCTTAGAAATCAAGTGACCATCATTTGAAGGCAATTTTGACTGGCTTTGGTTGCATTTTAAAACTCACAGTGTGTCAAGCTTCAGCACAGGGCAGCTGTTTCTTAAGGGTTAAACTCATTTTCTGGAAACCTCCATTGTGTCTGCAGTAAACTGCAAACAGCAGAGTTGTGTTTACAAAGCAGGCAGGTCTGTGGTACCTGAGGGTACCAAAATTACATAAAAACATCTCCTGTTTAAGCAGAACAAAGAAACCTTTTCTCCCCCTGTCCTCAGTTTCCCTCGATGACATTTCAACGGTGCGATTGGGCCGACAGTCGGAGGGTCTGAAGAAGAATACAGAGGAGCAGGTGGAGGGTCGCTGCTTCTCCATCATGTTTAAAGGCCGCCGCAAGAACCTGGACCTGATCGCCAGCTCTGAGGAGGAGGCCAGGCAGTGGGTCAACAGTCTAGAGAAACTGTTGACCAGCATTAACAACCTCAGCCGGCAGCAGAAGGCAGAGCAGTATCCTTTACATGACCACTGGTTCATGATTTAAGATGAGAGTCCTCTGATGAAAATGCACAAACAGTGTTTTGTCATGTTGAGGTAACTGAAACAAAAAAGTATTCCTCCTCTGAGTGGCATTGATCAGCAGTATAGCAACCATCCGAGTCCATGTAAAAATGAATACGGCTCAACCACAGCTACTTGTTGGCGGTGGGAGGTTGTTGTTTGTCACACCACTGTAGAGCTTGTCAGCCATTTTACACACAAACAGTTTGGCCCCAGTTTTTCAAAAACTTACACCTGGTGAAGACTCTAAATGTTGCATTTGCTCCTTAACATAAAAAACTTTACAGTTGGATCTACAGCTGCCTGAGAAAAGCAGACAAGAACAAGGACGATAAGCTGAGTGAGTCAGAGCTCAAGGATTTCTTGCATCTGATCAATGTTGAGGTGGATGATGACTACGCGACGGAGCTCTTCACGGTGATGGGACTTAAAAAGCCTTAAGATAACTTTAAGTATCAAAACTACAAGTGATTGTCCTTGAGAGTTATAAAAAAGCATAAATAATTTTAAATTGAAGAATTTTGACTCATGATCAATATCAGGTAACAGTCAGGAAAACTAACCTAATGTTAAACAATATTAAACAAAGTCAACGTTGTTGTTGTGCCAGGTTCGGACAGAATTTGGAGGGAAAATCAAAGAGTGAAATATGTTTTCAACAACAGTATTTACCACAACACTTTTCATCCTATTACTAATGTGAAAGTGTGTTTGTGGTAATGGTGACTCGCTCTCACATTGAGTTTCTACCTCGCAGAAATGTGACAAATCCAAATCTGGGTACCTGTCTGGAGAGGAGATCGAACATTTCTATGAACTGCTGACCCACCGGGAGGAGATCCATGTGATCTATGGAGAGTATGCTAAAACTAAAGGCCACATGAGTCCTGAGAACCTGGTGGAGTTCTTGATGAAAGAGCAGAGGGAGAAAGCCACACTGGCCGACGCACACAGCATCATCGAGAAGTTTGAGCCTGATGAAAATGGTCAGTATCAGGAGTAACTTCATTTCTTTTATGTAAGAGTTATTTTTCTAAAAACTTTGATAAAGTTTTGAGATCCAAACCTCAGTTCTGGGACATCCAGATATAATTTTTGGTCTTATAGTCCTTTACCAGTTCATGATAAAGTCATCACTCAAGTTTCCATCCATCCCTATTCCTCTCAAACTTGATTAAAATATGACTATAACTCTCACATTGATTAAAAAGGAAAATAATCAGCCAATAAGAGCATTTCTTACAGAGATGACAGACGAGAAGAAGCCTTTTCAGCTCACTCGCACTTTTAAATGAATATACTGTTTATTCATGTCCACACTCAGACTTATAGCATTACTTATGTTAACTCTGTCCACAGTACAAAAACAGGCAGAATAATTTCAAAAATGTCTTGTTCATTTTAGTTTCTGCTCTGTTAGGTATAGTTAGAAGAACTATGAGTGTATTTTAATGAGAAAAAAAGATAATTGTCTCACTGACTGGTGGGTATTATTATGTAGCTCTAAAACAGAAAATGACTAATTGCTGATGACAGATGCATCTTTTCAGCAATTTCCAAGTCAAACATCGTGCTGTAACACCAACTCTTAGTCAGACTTTTTGAATGCAAATAGGGTCTATTAATATTAACTCACAAGATAAACCCTGGAGTACAGGCGTGTGGCTGTGATGAAAGTCTATTCAGTGTTATTGGTGCTTTAAAAGTAATAAGTGATGTGTTGGTGGAATGTTTTATTTTCCTGTAACACAGCTGAGGACTTGTATTTTGGACCTTTTTTATTTTGCCAGAGGTGCAGAAGATTTCTCTGCTGATTTATTGCAGGTATTTTCAGCTTTTGTTGTGGAACCGGTCTAAAATAAGCACGAGGGAAATCTGATCCTGTCTATGACAGAGAGCAGAAATGTTACACTCACACTCTTTGCTGAGGGTAAATAATGGCTCTCTGCTCAGTGTCATTTTACCTCATCCTTTGTGTTTTTGTTTTCAGCCAAGCGGATCAAGCTGCTGTCGAAAGATGGCTTCATCATGTACCTGCACCACCCTGAGACCATGGTGCTCAATCCAGACCACAGAGACGTGTACCAAGACATGAGCCAGCCCCTCAGCCACTACTTCATCTCCTCCTCACACAACACCTACCTGATGGAGGATCAGCTCAAAGGGCCAAGCAGCACCCAGGCGTACATCAGGTAACATCAGCCTTCCTCCGACATGTGAGAATCTGCCCTTCAGCTCGGCTATTCAGCTGCTAAAGCTGCTATTCACTGATAAAATCACAACAGTCTGCAGATGTTTGTCAGACTTTAGTCTTTGGTTTTCTCTCTCCCTCTCCTGAAGAGAGCCGTCCATACAATGCTGAGTTTCTCTGACGTGAGCAAAACCTTTGGGCTCGGCACTTATTCATTAATTGACATACTGTACATCCCCTACTCTGTCAAGTTTTGACACCATATCCTCCAACTTTGGATATTAACTTTCACAAGGGCCATATGGGACTTTGTGAATCTAATCAGCTTGAGATTTTGAATCCTAAGCTCTTTCTTTTTTTAATTCATTACCACACCAAATTCCAGTATCAATCTACATGAGTATCATAAGATGCACATTCAGTAGTCTTGCAAATGAACACAAAACCCAAATTTTTTTATTGTCAGGTCTGACTGTTTTTGTCATTAATTTACTGTCTTTACTTCCTGGCAGCAGGAAGTAAAGAAAAAAATGAAGACAAAATAACCCTCTTATTTATAAACACCAGTACTAGTAACAGCCACACATTGTCATTGTGATCTTTACTGTCTGTGCAGAGTTGGTTGAAACTGCATCATGATACTCTCAAGGGCTGTGACTCACACACTTTCAAATGATCAAGACAGCCGTTTCACTCATTTATGTCCTAAAAATCAGCTTTCTGTAAGTGGCCTGTAAATAAAACTTACCAAAAGTAATTAGTCATGTTGTTATCAATGTTATTGTCAGGATTATTGAGACAGGTCTGAAACTGTTGTGCACAGGGTTGAATTATTTTTCACATTTCACAATCAGAAGTGTCACCACTTTTCTCAGTTCATATTCAGTGTGTGGACAGATTTAAGCTCCCCTTGGTTTTGAAATCACAGAGCAGATTTACAAAGCACTGAGTAAGATGCTTAGGGCTCACTTCCACGATCAGACACAAAACAAGAGCAAACTGCAAAGAGCTGCAGATTTTTGGCGTGTTTACCCTTTGCTTAGCTGTGTTAAAAAGCTGCAAAAACAAACTCTGACATTTGACTTACAAGTCAGCTCTGGGTCATCTTTTTTATACTTTCCTTTTTTTCTTTTCGTGACACAAACAAGGATCATATACAAGCATTCTGTCACATTGAGTAATACACATAAGTGCTCCTCACAGGGTGATAAACTTTTGTTTAGAATCTACAGCAATTTCAACTGTCTCACTCTGCATCAGCTTGGTATGTAACCCATTTAGCCCAGTAGTCTTTCCCCTTTTGCTTCTGTAATCTCAAAGTGAAAGTTAAACATTCCATACTGTATATGTCATTCATTATATTTTTCCATACGTCCGGGGTGGGAGGTTCTCTAAGAAGCCAGCATCAGGGTATTGCTTTTTCACTTGCTACCATGAGGATCTTTAATAGGTATCCGTCCCTGTTATGCAGACCCTTTGATATATTCCCCAAATAAAATGAGACACAAGTGAAGTCAATATCAAATCCCAGAATCCTCTTTGTTGTAGCTTGTACTTGGGTCCAGAAAGGTTGCAAGGCGGGGCAGGTCCAAAAAGCTCAGGGTCATCTTGACTTGATGATTTGCTTGTTCCCTTTCAGGGTTTTGCGATAATGTAAACACATTGTTACTGAAATCAAAGTGAGTTCATGAACAGTCACTCTCTGGCTTGTTCACTCTCAGCCCAATCATGAAGTCACTCATGTTATCTGTGTCTCTCAGGGCTCTGCTGAAAGGTTGTCGCTGTGTGGAGCTCGACTGCTGGGATGGATCAGACGATGAGCCAGTGATTTACCACGGCTACACACTCACTTCACAGATCCTCTTCAAAGACGTCATCAAAGTCATCAAGGAGTACGCTTTTAAGGTGTGTTTAGGGATATAGGTTTCAGTTGTACCCAGTTTATGTGTTAATTGTTTGCAGTAAGACTTCTGTCTTTCTGATTTTACTCTGTGCTCTCCTCCAGACGTCAGATTACCCGGTGATCCTCTCCTTGGAGAACCACTGCAGTGTGGAGCAGCAGGAAGTCATGGCAAAACACATGAGCACCATTTTAGGCAGCGCGCTCGTCACCAGCCCTCTGGGTGAGGGCATGCCATCAGGTTTCCCATCTCCTGAGGTTTGTATCACTTCTCGTTGGTACATTTTATAATTATACTTTGATGACTGAAGGTTTCACATACCAGGCGCTCACCTAGCTACTCTGTTTGTTTTTGCACGTGTGTGTTCATGTTCACCTCTAGGAGCTGAGGGGAAAGTTCCTGATCAAGGGGAAAAGGTTAAACAAACTGGAGGCCATGTTTGCTCCTGAGGCAGCTGCAGCTGATGACACAGACGTGACAGAGGAGGACGAATCAGATGAGGAAGAGGAGGAGGAGGAGGAGAAAAGAGAGGTGAGGATTACAACAAGACAAAGTAAATGAAACTTTTTACTGAAGATTTTTTAGCATTACTCTATATTACTTTTGTGCTTACAATTTTACGATGTTTTACATGTAGACAAAGAAGAAACTGAAAATGGCCAAATCACTGTCCGACATGGTGATCTACTGTAAGAGCGTCCACTTCCACGGCTTCGAAGATGCAAGGAAAAATCTGAGCTTCTATGAGATGTCGTCTTTCAAGGAGGGGAAGGCCATGGCGCTGGCAGAAGAGTCGGGTGAGGAGGACTTAAGCACAGATTTACTCAAGTGTTTTAAAGTTACACTTTATTGTAAGGGTATGCTAAGAATCAATTTAGTGTTGCTTCCTATAGACTGTATTAAAAAATGGAAGAAATTACATCTCCCTCAAAGTGAAGCCAAAACATTTGGAGCTCCCTCCTCTGACTGGCTGCAGTGTAGATCTTATTCCTCATTTCATAGGAAAAAAAATTAGTGCCAAAAAACTTGTCATGAAAAGTGCAACAAGTCACATTTCAACAACACAAATGACTCTTCACTACATGAAGCAACATTTAACTGAACTAGGTTAAGGTTTGCGAAATGACTCGGGGACTGTGTATGAGTCTGAGTCTAGTGATCATAACATTTACAGTGTTATCATGTATTCATGTGATTTACCTAGACAGACACTGCGGTGTGCTTTTTTCTTCAAGTGTCCTCTGAAGTCTGTCGAGTTTCATCCTCAAGGCACTGCATTCTCATCAGAGAGGATACAGTATTGCCTTTAAAAAACTGTCTCCACAGGTCATCTGTTTTCTTCCTTCTCTTTGTACAGGTTGCAGGTTGTAGTGAGGATATCATTTTTGTGGTGCTAGCTGCCGACAGGAGCTTATGAGGCTTTTGATCAGACCGCCAGTAGCTAGTTTTGGTTTCCTACCAGAGACTGTAACCAGACTCCTTAAAAAAGTATCCAATGACCATAAAAACGACATGCGTCATTCTCTAATCTCACCACAAACATATCCTCCCACTTGGCGCTCCATTTAAGCTGCCAGATTTTCCTCTCCACCTTTGCTTTGCCATTTCCACCACTGCCATGTTCAAGTGCTGTGCTCAAATTTCCAGCCCCACCCTGGAAACCACCTGCAGGCTCCAACTAGGAAGTTGAAGACGTTGTTTTATAACGCAATGTAAAAGAAACACTGCAGAGTGATGAGGTTTGAGCCCACATGCCAAACACAAACAGTGTCCAGCTGCTGCTGCAACCAACAGTTGAAGCATAAACATTGACTTGTCTGACTAAACTGTCATCAGAGTAATTTCTTTCAATAATTAATGTCCAAAGTTCTTTTCTGATTTCAGTTTTAATTAGTTAATTGTTGTTATAAAAAGGGTGTAACAACGTGGTTGAAAGCCCTGTTGACAAATGCAGAACTAAGTGTAACAGATTTGCAGAGCAGAGGCGAAGGAGTCATCCGGCATGTTGACAGGATGTTAAAGTAGCAATGTACTGCTTAAATTTTCACTGAAACTGGAAATTTAAAATACATATAAACATCTTAATCTTAAAAAATTGCTTTAAGTCAAATTTCTTAAACTCAGGCTGACATAACTTGATTTGGAATTGATTTTCTCTGGCACATGTACACCTCATCCTGACCAAAACTGGCCCAAGTGTTCTGCACATGCTCCATAGTTTACATCTTGGGTTTAAACCTGGAAGTCAAACAGCATGTGTAGATTGAAGGAATTTGTATTGTATATTGTACTGTCTGATGAAGTGCAGAGCTGTAAAGTTGTGTGTTTGTACTGTTCAACACACAACCAGCTTCTTGCTAACTTGATTGTTGTAATCTGTGATGTAATAGGTCAACTGGAGGAAGGTCCAGTAGTAACCAGCTGAAAGGCAGCAGATTGCCACTAACCCGGGATTTCCACCGCATCCGGAATGGCGGCGATTTTTCGCCGTACGCTAATTACTACCAGAGGCGAATTTCGTGGTGGATTACGAACAGCAGGAATCACAAGAACTCACAAGAACCTGCAGATTCATGTGCAATCGAGCGATAACAAATTGTCTTTAGCCACATAGGCTAACCATATAAGCACTAGACTTCCAGATAAGGACATCTACTTCTTAACCAGGGGTGGGCAATCATGTGCCATGGAGGGCCGAGAGGCTGCAGGTTTTCTTCCCTACCCAAAACTCCACCAGGTGATTTCACTGATTAGTCCCTGCGCTCTGCTTGGAGGTAAGATAATCAGTGAAATCACCTGGTGGAGTTTTGGGTTGGGAAGAAAACCTGCAGCCTCTCAGCCCTCCATGGCACATGATTGCCCACCCCTGTTCTGGACTTACAAAATCAGCATGTCCTAATCCATGGTGTCATCGATCCGCTTGACGTACGGAGCGTTTTATTTTGAAAGAAGCTGGATGTTTTATTTTGTCTGTGCCCGACTTCCTGTCCAGCACAGGTTAATCTGTGCTGAATTTATCCGGCATGCTCCAGTGTCTGGAAAAAAATAGAACTCTTGCGATCAGCTGCTGAGTCCGGCGATCTGCAGCAGAACGGAAAGAAGCCGGTGGAAATTGACACATTGACTTGAATGGCCAGCCATGGCCAGCGAATACAGCCTTTTCGTAGCCATTCTGGATGCAGTGGAAATTGCTGCTAAGACTAGTGGAGGAAGAATGATTGTTAATGCAGTTCTTGTGCAGTGCTTATAAACTGAGAGATGGACTGTTATATTTTGGCTTCACTTTAGTTCTTTGAGCTAAGATAGGAGTGCGTCAGCCACCTTTATTTACAGTCTGTGGCCCTTAAGTCTAAAAAGAAGGCTGTGCAGTAAAAATTATTTTTTTTAACCTCATAATTATTCTCCCTGACCAGAAATTTGCAGTATTTACATTTCAAGTCTGATTTTTAATGTTTCAACAGTTATTTTGCCACTGTTGTGGTTAATAAATCATTAGACAAATGTTGACTTTGTGTTTGGTATGAACCATGGTGTGAGATGTTTTAAAATCAAGTATGAAGTCACAGCTCCGTAAATAAATTTGTATCTGTTTGTGAATTTTCCCTCTGCAGCAAATGCTTACATCCGTCATAATGTGGAGAAACTGAGTCGTATCTATCCAGCCGGCTCCAGGACCGACTCCTCTAACTACAGCCCTGTGCCTCTGTGGAATGCTGGCTGCCAGATTGGTGTGTAATCCTGACAGAGAGGAGACACATACAGTTAAATTTGAAAATGTAGCAAGCACTGAAGAGATCTCTTTCATTTTGCTCACAGAAGTTTGATTTAACCATCTTTTATTTTTAGTGGCCTTAAACTTCCAGACAAACTGTTCAGACATGGACGTGAACCAGGGCAAGTTCATGGTGAACGGCAAGAGCGGCTACATCCTGAAACCACCCTACATGAGGGATGTAAACACAGAGTTTGACCCCATCACCCTGATCCGAGGAGAGTGGCTACAGCACAAGACACTACATGTCATGGTGATTGTTTCCTCGGCATCAGGCCCAAGCTGCTGCTGTGGTTTCCTGTTTAAAGTTCTGCTTTTCAGGCAGTCTACAATCTGACATTAGTTTTTTTTTCACCTATCTCTTCAGGTCATATCGGCCCAGCAGCTCCCCAAAGTGAACAAGAAGAAGTCCTCCATCGTGGACCCGCTGGTTAGAGTGGAGGTGTTGGGAGTGCCGGCTGATGCTGCACAGAAAGAGACCAACGCTGTTGAAAACAATGGTACCTGTTCCTTTTGAACTCCCTGTGGTATCATACTAGCACATCTGTATACTTTCAGAAGCACCATGAGTTTGTAGGCAAAACTCTTGTTGAACATCACAATGTAATTTTATCATGCACCATGGCAAAATATGTCTCTATCAACCAGATTGTAACACAGCAAAGCACCATAGATCAGTTGTGAGAGGTAAGATCCTTGGTAACTGGAGAAGGTTCTCCTTAGCCTACAAAGTGTGGATCCATATGTAATCTTGATAAAATCACTTACTGATTTCTGATAAGGCTTGTGAAGCAAAATGATGCTAGCTGCCATGCTAAATATGCTAAGTCCTGGCATACTGCAGAAACTGGCAGAGGTGAAGTTGAAGCTATACAGCATGGTCCTTCTTTTTGATTTCAGACGTCAGGAATTACAGACACTTCACCTAGAGGGCCTCTTGAAGTTGGAATTCCTACATGGCCAAACTTGGACCAACTCAGTATCTCAATTTGTTGAATGGTTGCTCCCTGCATCACCTGTAAAACAGCTGTGCTATTAATACTGCTAATTAGCAACTTTGTCTTGTTTTGCCTAATTTAAAGATCCCCTTGTGTGGGAGATAGTTTACAAGTCTGTGGACATGTTGTGTTGCTTTTGCATGTGAACTATCATGAAGTGTGTTTTTTCTGCCTGGTACAACTAACGATGCTGACAACAGTGGGGGCTATTTTCCAATGTTGTTCAACTCATTGCTGAAACATGCTTGCAGCTTTTTTTTTTTTTTTGCTGCCAAGAACACACTTCATGCATGAATGAGACTGAATCAGGAAAGAGGCGAGATGTTCAGCGTTGTCGACAGGAGGTGCCAAAATCAACACAAACCAGAAGTTTCTCTCAGGATCTTAAATATCCCTATATTTAGGGTTAGGGTTAGGGTTAGCCCTTGATTTTCCTTCTGCACTGGCTTCATTTTTCAACACTGGAAGTCACTACTTGTGTTAAACAGAGCTGCATAAAACTGATATATTCATGCAGTTATGGCCATTGCAGTGCATTCTGGGACTAGAAATTACCTATGAAGCCCAGGTTAAAAGATGGGTGGGAAACCTGAGGATTAATGAATAAATGAAGATGTTTGTGGTGTATCCAGTTACTGAAGGCACGTTGTCCTCATCTCTTCAAGGTTTTAACCCTTCATGGAATGAAAACTTCCAATTTGACGTATATGTGCCTGACCTGGCACTCGTGCGTTTTACAGTTGAAGACCACGACTCCACGTCTGATAACGAGTTCATCGGACAGTACACTCTTCCAGTCAACAGTGCAAAAATGGGTAAGCTCTAATCTGAAGCACTGGTAGTTTTTTGTTTTCTCTCTCCATAAATGAACAGAGGTGGAAGCTGTCTCTTTTCTGGTCTAACACAGAGAGCTCAGTTCACACTCTGCACAAAAAGCTCTTCATTCTTTGCTTTTTCTAAATTCTAACTGCAGCCACTTTGTGCTCCCTCACAGGATACAGACACGTTCCTCTGCTCAACAAGAACGGAGACCTGCTCCCCTCAGCTGGTCTCTTTGTACACATCATGCTACTCGATGCTAAGTAAGACATCACTGTAGAAGACAAACAACCTCTATTACACAGCCATGCTGAAGCTGGTTTTGTCTGATCTTGGTAATCTTATTTTTTCCTCTCGGTCTCTTTTTGAAGCTTTTTGCATTAGTTTATGATTAACTTTTTGGCATCACTCCAGTAGTTTGAGCAACTACTCTAAAACTTTCTTCTCAAGGGACATTGAGTCAGTAGAAACTGAAGATCTCCATCTGCAGTTGGAATAAATGTATTAGAGGATGAATGTGTGCATAAGTACTGAGAATGTCAAACTTTCCAGAGCTGAAAACAGACTTTGTAAGTTGCTAAAGTTTCAGTTTGCATTCATTCTTTAGCATGAGTCCTTTATTTCTGATCAGTTCATGTTTTGTTTATTTAAATCTTTTGATCCAAGAGACTATTTTCAGAATCTCATAGAGCCAATACCAGCAGTTGTCTTAGCCAACAAATACACCTGTTTTTTATGTGACATCAACATGATTCGTCTTACCTTTTTGTAAATCAAGATGAAGATAAAAAGTTTTAAACATGAATATTTGTCTCAATACTTTCCTTTTAAACCTCAGGTGTGAAAACTTTTTATTCACACCAGGGTGTCTTCTCCTGTGGTACAAGTTGAAACAGTACAGCTTTATTGTACCTGACAATCTAAACTAGTGTGTGCATGTGCATACACCATGACATCAAGCACTTCGTTTTATGCCAACAGGATAGAAAAAAACCTGTTCAGGGCTGAGCCACTCAAGTCTCTCCGCGGTAGGGTTATGGCTTGATGACCTTTGGATGGAAACACACCCTTAGTAAACACTGTTAGTCCAACAATCAGGAGGAAGTCGAGCAGATGCAGCACATGATACACAATTAAGTGGTTTGCTGTGAGCTGCGTGGCATGAAAGCTTTTGTCTGTCGTAATAATAGTCAATGTATCATGTATCAAATGTGGGTGTAATCAGTTTTTTAAATACACAATGGATCACATGACTTTCCTGTGAACGAGGTCCCTGTTAGCCATAACCCTGCAGGTGATAATCACTGTCTTAAAGGTACCACTTTACTCCTGTGGGTAGCTCATTGTTTTGACTTACTGACCCCCTACTTAAAATTTACTTGACTTTCATACCTCGTATAGCATTTTTAAGGCACAATGTACTATTAATAGCTTAAAACCTCTCATAAAACACAACACTTTACCGACTGAGCTCAAACAAAAACATCGACTCCCAGATGATCAACAACAGAGCAGTAAGAGCCGGAATGTATTCCAAAGAGGAGTATGTATTAGACTTTTATTCCCACAAAAAGTTACAAAGTTGCATCATACTATATCTTTGAAGAGCTACTTCTGCTAAAATTTAGAGATTGAAATTCATAACATTTAAAATTATTACACTATAAGAAAATAGTTCCAAGTTCAGAGGAATGAAGTCAAAAATTCACAAAAGTTGTAAATTATAGTGTTATGACCCATGCAGGGGTGGCTGGGACACAACGTAAGAGTAGACCCATTTCCCCCACCCCTCAAAAAGCCACATGAAAAACTTTATGGGATTTAACAAATGAGGAATTTATTTAGGCTACAAAAAAAACAGAATGAGTACAGAACAAAGGGTGATCGCCTCCTCAGGATACAACGACGGTAAAAAAATAACTGGGAAAAACTACAAAAAAGATCTGAGCTCTAAGGTGGCATGGCCGTTTGAGATGAGAATGTCATGGGTTCCCCCTGCGCCGGTGGTGACGTCATTCTTCCTCCTTTAATTGAATATCCAGGTGCACAGCAGCCTACAGCCTGTCACGCAGGAGGTGGAGCAACCAATCAGCAGCAGGAGATGACACACCAAATTTACATAAAAGATGTAAGACCTAGCCAGGCCAGAAAACAGGGAAAACAATATACAACACTGGAATATTACGACCGCAGTTGTAACTTACAGATTATAAATAAACTAAATGTATTATATATTATACAGAGACGTAAATATATGATCGAGTCACTTCAGGCTCTTTTATCTCAAATTTACTGCTTAAGTCTTGTAAATTTACGACTGTCTTAATTTAACTGAATTCTCAAAACACTTTCTAAATGTTCCAACGGCTATGTTAAGTAGGGTCTCTGACCAGTCTCATGCCTTGTGTGAATTTGTCTCATTGCCGCCTCTTTCTATCTAATGGGAAACAAATGATCTTGTTCTGTAATGATGGCCTCCCCATTGCGTGCTTAAATAGGTTCAAACAAAAGGTTCAGTCATAAGTTTACAGACAAATGACAAGCAACATTTCTCCATAAAAATGTGCTTTATTGTGACATTACTGTAAGGAACTGAAGACAGAAAAATGACTTCACTTTAAAATTAACTAACAATAGAAATCTCTCTCGTTACTTTTGGTGTAAATAGTCCACATCAGGTACAGACGATAAAAACCTCAATCACACCGGTCTGAAGTGATGATCTTTGGCTGTATTTTATGAACTCTATCAGACATCTGAGTAAAAAAAGAAAGAAGACATGGTGGATTTGTTTCAATGAAGCCTTTTATTATGGAAAGAAAAATTAAACTGATGTCAGGATGACAAGACGCTGCAACAAGAGCCAACAAGTGTTCAAAAAATAAAGTGAATAACCCGAACAAAAGCACAGTGACTTGAACTCAAGTGTTGAAGAACTTTGGTGTCAAATCAATTAAAAAAAAAAAAAATGAATGTGTGATCGGGAGTGAAGAGAAAAACACAAAGAAACACTGTACGGAAGCACAAACATGATGCCTGTGCACACACACTTAAACACACACACACGCATGTCCCCTGATGGGAAAGACAAGACCTGACCGACCAAAGGCAAGAGAGAGGATTACAGAAAGGAGCAAAAAGATGGATACAATGGTTGATAGGCGACTTTGGAAACCAAATACTGACAAACGGTAGGTAGAAAAATACCACAATGATACAAAGAACATTTTCAGAGAAAAGTAAATCATTGAGAGGTTGAGAGTCGACCGAATGCTTTTTCTAAAAGGACATTGCACTGAAACCATCCTCATGAGCTCAGCACTCACCACCAACACTTTTACTTCTGTAAAAAAACAAACAAAATGTCTGAAAACGACTGAAGGAGCAGCAGCCTTTCCATGATAAAAAAAAAAAAAAAAAAGTCGTGCAGGTCTTTTCAGGATAACATCATGACCCTCAAAACAAGCAATAAAAGCAGTAGAAAACTGAGGCTTCATTGCTTCTTCTTTACTGTTTTACAATGTTGGTTCAAACAGCCCGTCTTCACACTTGACTGAGCTGTTTGTTTATACTCCATAACATAAATGCTAATGAGAAGAAGCGTAAAGGTGAAGCTGGAACCTTAAAGTCCATGGAGAAACATTGCTTTGAGCCTCCACAAGTAGTCAGGCATCAACGCCATGAAGAGGGTCTTCACAGTCCTTCGGCGGTGCTCCACTGTTGTTCCACTTTGAATTGGACCTTAACACATAGAGGTCGAGCACCGTCTGTGGGTTTGGAAGGCGTCTTTTAAACATTTCTTCCACAGCTGAAAAGGATATATGGATGGCAACAGAGTTCACTAAACAAGGTTTGTTTGGCTGATGTTGCTGAAGTAAATCGAGCAACATTCAAGTCATGTCAGTATTTATATTCTGAGGAAATTCATTCAATTATCTTCTAAATATGACCAAATGATAAATGTGCATGTCCAGTTTAGGGTAAAAACAAACAAATAAAAGGCTCAAAGTTCAATAATAAACACTAAAAGTCATTACGATAACCAGGCCAGCCTTCACTGTCTACCAAACCTCTGCTGGCGAGCTGAGTCAAGTGCTCTGGACACCCAAACCAAATACTCGGGATGGAAACTTCCCCCCACAAAGGTTATTGCCATGGTAGCTAATGTTGCAGCATTCGGTTTGTGTGGCTCCTCTCAAGACGTAGGCACTGAGGTGAAGAGCAGTAAAAGAGAGTCTGGGAAGGTAAACACCGCACATGGTCCCCTCCGGTTTAACACAACGCCGACACTGTGTATAAATCAGGAGAGATGGTGTGACTGTAACGCTGTCCAGACTCAATCAGAAACTAAACGATATCCCTCTTATGACACTGACCTCAAGAAATTTTTAAAACATGGCACTCAACCCAGTTTTCACAAGATCCCAGACCATTTGGAACAACAAAAAGGGATACCTTTGCAACTGTGTACAAATCTGGAGGAAGTGAATCCTCTCAGCATGAAGCTGCACCTCTTATGTGCCAAGAAAACAAAGAAAATCGAGCTGAGGGCTAAAAGCTAATCATATGATAAGCATGACATGACAAACATAACATTAAAAAGATACAAATGTGTTTGACAGCTGTCCGTCAAAAAGAGAATCAAACTTATAATGCTATACTTACTACTAATGCTTTAACATTTTGAGCTGACCCCTGTTTAAGATATGAAGCCTGTTAGAAAAGAATTTCCTTATTTGGCAAATAAAAAAAACAAAGATAAGAGAAAGGGCAGGGTTATACGAGAGACAAAAGTAAATGGCACATTTTATCTGAAATCCAGATCAAAACTATCAAACACAAAGATCTACTGGAGTTCAAGGTGGGGCTTAAAGTTCACAATTGCAAACGTACTCCTCTGCCTAAAACAAAGTAACTAGTTCTACATATAATGAAAAGCAGAAAGAAACAAAGTCACATCTAAATAATGGCACAAGCATACTGGTCAAAATAAAAAGAATACTATGGAGACAATTTACCCAGCGTCTGATGTTCAAAAAAAACAAAGAAAAGCTTGTTTTTCAAAATACGTCTGTGTCCACTTTAAAGCATATCATGTGTGTAAAGACTGGAGTACTCTGAAATATGCCATGTACAAAATATCTCCCTATATAAACAACATTCACACAAGGCACTTCATTCGGTAAGAAAAGAGAATCACAGTCCTTCCTACTACCAGAAACTGCCTGCATAGCAACAATACAAGGACAAATTCTTCTCAGGCTTTTGCGTGGTACCACAAAAGAAGTTTCAGGAAAAAAGTTGTTTCTTTTTTTTTTTTTTTGGTTTTAAAACAAGCACTTCACCAAATAGTAAAACTTCTTGGTTTGAAAATAAAGACCAGAGTTCAATCCTCTTAGCTTTCTGTCCCAAATATAATCAACCAAAGACGCTCTGTACACGTTCTGGTGCTTTTTATTGTGAAACACAGTGCTCCTGGGATATTTAGTGTTTATTTCTTTTTCTGATGGCACTCAGAAGGCAGCCGGTCACCAGGAGATGAGAGCAGAGACGGGGTTTCATGAGGGTTTCCACAGTGAGACTCCAGGGCGTCCCCTTGGGGCAGAGACAAGAGGGACGCATGTGGGAGGATCTGCCTGAGTCTGAGAGATGATGTGGCTGTAGAGCGGGGCGGAGCTGGACAGAGAGGAGTACTGTGGCGTGTCCTGCTACCTCCCTCTCAAGTTCTGCAGGACTCCGTAAACCTCCTTCTCTTTGCTGAGTCCCTCGAAGAAAGGCAACAGGTCCAGGAGCTCTGTGTCATTCATATCGTCAAACCAGGATTGGACAGGGACCTGTGGAGACAAAGATTCACCAGTAGTTAGCTTAGGCTAAACAGACTGTACCCGACAACCTGAGGAAAATAGAGATGTTTGATCACATCTTTAAAAGTCTTTAAAAGAGCTACATTTTGTTTCCACCACTAAAGCAACAGATTAATTTGAAGGTTACTAGTCTGTGCTTTATCTGTCTGCATAATATAGTCTCGGTTCATGGCCATGGTACATGATGCTTATACTGAGATAATGACACATTTGCAGCCCTGATAAAAATAAATAAATACATCAAAGTAATTTGTCACAACAGTTTAAAGCTCCTGTGAGGACCTTTCAGCTTGGTGCTCCCTGTGGACAAAGAATTCTTTGCTTTTCTTGCCTTTTGACAAAAAGATGATCCTGCTGACTTCTGACAGTAAATACTACAGTAAAATGAAAATAAAGGGGCTGTTTCTCCAGCAGCTCCACTGACACCTGCTCCCTTGCCCTTGTTTCATGCGTCACATATTACAGCGTCAGTCTTGTGACTAACGGTCTTGTTTACTTTATGTGACATAAACATGCACCTATATACACTTCAGCCTCTCTCATTAATTCCAAAAAGCTCCTCGCAGAAGCTTTGATTTATCACAAATTTTTGTATCTAAACAAAAATATTTGTAGGAAACAAAGTCCCCCTGATCAATATAAAGAAATATGTAAATATCAAACCAACATCATTGCATCACTGTGGACAGCTCTACTACAGTATTTATGGGTCAGATGAAGAGTCTGTGGCAATCCTTTCTCAACCCAGCCACCTTCCTGTAATTTATGGTCATCTTGACATAAAATTAAGGAAGTAGCATCCAAAAAGAGGAAGAAATTTAGTGTGAGTAAAATTTAAATCATCATTATTCGAGTTTGAGGGCTTTCGTGAAACAGGTTCTGAGTATGTAGTAGAAGAGTTTGTTTATAACAAATATGAAATACTTTTTAAATTTTCAATTTAGTGGTAATCCCTGATCTTCCACATTTTTGAATAAATGATTGAAAGTAAGTTTTTAACAGCTTCTAACACCTTTCATTGTACTCAGTTTTAACACTAAAAATATTTTTACTCTGATTTTGTTCATATATTTGTACATTTTTCAGTCAATTTTCCACAGACTAGATGACCTGGACTTGAGCTCAGGAATTTTTAGTTATGAGTCACTTGTTAAAATGTGAAATAATTTAAATATCAGTGGTATTGTTGGTATGGTGATATTCAGACACTTACAGCGTTTTCTGGGTGGAAAATGTATGAGGCGGGGGAATTGTCAACAATGATAACATTGCTAAGCTCTCTTCCCAGCCGGCTGAGGTCTTTCACATAGTTTCCTCGGTGAAAAACGCAGGATTCTCTGAAAAGTCGCGCTCTGAACACACCCCACTGGTCCAGCAGGTCTGCCACAGGGTCTGCGTACTGTCCAAGACAAACAAACACAAATATGTAGCTCTGCTAGAAACAAACAGCAGACATGTCCTGAATTTAACGTCTACAAAACTACAACAATTCACAATTGAAGAGGTATTGTGATCCTTGACCAATAAAACAGCTCATTAGTGCTACTCTATATTCACCACTGTTTACCTGACAGGGAAGATGCCTCAGGAAATACTATACTATGACTGAACAAACACCACTGACACACACACTGCAGCTCTAAACTCAGCAGGAGGAGCATTAACTACAGCAGAAACATCAGACCCTGTATGTGGTCACTTCTTGGTCGCATTCAGCAAACTTACCCATGCATTATTGGCTAAAGACGCAGAGACACATAGATGGAGAGTGAAGTAGAGAAGTTTGAAACTCAGACAACAAACACAAAAACACACAAGAGCACAACGAAGAAATGAAAAATGCACTTCCACGGCTGGCATTGGCTTGTTACCAAAACTCTTGTCAGGAAGAAAGATAACACGTCAGTGCTAAACTCACCTTGGCAAGACTGGCTGTAAAGAGCACACATTCAAAGAGCTCGCCCATCTTCTGGAGAAACTCATCTACGTGGGGTCGCTTCAGCACATAAACCTGCAGGATGAAGCATGTACTTTAGGCCACGGTAGGATGATGATGAAATACAGCTGTCAGACAAATACAGAACTAACCAGACTTTTCACAAACCTCAACAGTCCAATTACAGAGCATGTTATTGCAAAACCTATCACTCTCTTCATGCTTCAACTAGAGCACACTTCTCTTCAAAGAGTCATTCTCACTCACAGTGTGGCCACCCTCCTCTCTTTGTCAAGTAGCTGCCACCCAGTGCAAGTAATCATGAATAGGCCAACCAGGATACAAACAGCCTATCCTGGATTACTTGAACTGGATCACAGCCGTTGTCTTCAGGTCCGTCACACACGTAGACTGTAGCCCCTAAAGTAAAGATTTTTTTTACAGAAAAAAAAGCCTTTTATTGTGTGTTTAATACCTGATGAACAGTACCATCGATCTCCACTGGAACGATGAAATCAGCATTGCTAATGGGCTGTGAGAGGAAACAGAACAGATCATCAGAGGCATCAAAGGGTTTCTGTAGTACCTAAAGTGAACAGCAGAGGTCCTGCTTGGAGCACTAACACTCTGAATGTCACAGATTGCCAAATCTCTGGCAGTGGGAATTAAGGAGTTTTCAAACCATCCTCATGTCCTTTTCACTCTTGCAACCATTTTAGAAATCTGTTTTAACAAACCATAAGGTGGTCATCCTGAGACTAGGTGGCAAAATCAATCAATCATTTAGACTTAAGTTGTATGGCACTTTTCATTTAAGTTCATGTCAACAAAATGAAGCAGACAGTGCTCCACCTAAACAAAATGAAAACAATCAAAACCCTCATTCATGGCCAAGGTTAACACAAACAAAAATGAACAAAGTACGAAACAACATAAACAAAAACATGAACTAAAAGAACGAGGAACTGAGGAAACGCTATTATGAGTCCAAAATGAGGAAACGCTGGTAAAACTTGAGGACTATAAAAAGTAAAATACTACTGGATAACACAAACCAGCTAAGAAATAAACTGACACAAAACACAAACACAAATATACTACGATTTAAAATAAAGCACACTGATAAATAGAGTTGGTTGAATAAGTGAAAACTCAGTTAAAAGCAAGACTTCAAAAGTTAAGTCTTTAGCTGGCTCTCAAAATGGAGAAGGATGGCGAGGACCACCTTCATCATTCATTTCTGGATGTTTGTTACAACTTAAAAGTAAACTGCAGCACCTTCATCAGCTGATCCCTACAACCAATTTGCTAGAGAGTACTATTGCTGCTGTTGTTACTCCAGCACCCCGCCACCACCTGCTCCTCTCCTGGCTGTATTTACTCAGTGATCTAATGGCCTGACACAGCTTTGGCTTGCAGCAGGTTACAGGTTGTGGATTGGATATGAAAAGTCAGGGATGCAGCACATATTTCTCTGTGTGAATCATTTACAATATTCACACAAAATGCCTGACAGAGGTGCAGGAAAATTGATAAAGGTATTTTCAAACGTATGCATGTTTCCATCAATGAGCAGAGTGTTTTGTTTCGGTGATGACAGCTGAAGACTGAAATCTCGGTCGGCTCAGAATCCCAAACTCAGCTGATGGTAAATAATTTAATGTTTTGCATGAGTCTGACTAAAAGTGGACATTTAAAACACATGTACATGTTAGTCCGACTCTAACAGCACAACCTGAATTTCCTCGGAGATTGACTAACCTGGGCAGGGCGAGTGGAGAGTGAACTCATTACTTCAGCATTAACCGCATCAACACTAATGAAGAGCATATACTGTAGAGCATCTTGGCGTAACCATAGGTAATCTAACTACAATGGACCTGTGTGTGCATTTGAATGCATGTGTTAATCTGTTTGTGTTTATCAGCCCATCTCTGCAAAGTGCAAACATGCAGACAGCAGGAGAGCTGTAGACAGTGAGATCTCAAACCAGAGAACCGTACTGAGCGTTAAAGACCTGATGCAAAACATTACCAGCAAACTTCAAACCACAAGGTTAAGCCTCTTCTTACCTTGAATGAGCTGTGGACGAGTGTTTCATCCAAGTCAATCACCACACACTTTTTGCCGTAGTCTGATATTATCATCTCAGGTAGGAGGTATTTGGCTGGTGGCTGGGGGAGGGTAGACAAGGCAGATGATGTCAGGTATGTGGAGAGATGAAGAATGGTTGAGACAAAAAAGCAGAGACTATGAAATCACATTTACTCTTAGCAAACTTCATGTCCAAGGGCTGAGCAGAAAGCAAACACTGTGTTAGAAAGAGCGTCTCTGTGAGTGACAATGCAGCTAGATAAAGCAATGTCTCAGACGATGTGTTTAATGAACCCATCAGTTAAGCTAACACATTCAGGCCACTCAGGGACATGAGAGACTTCCTCCACACAGACACCTTACTCAAAGAGAGGAAAGCTGTGAGACCAGGCTAAGAACTAAAGGAGCTTTTAGACTCGAATGGTTTAAAACTCCCAAACTACTCATAGACCCATCAGGCCCCTGCCCTGATCATATCAAATATTGATACTTGTGATTATGATCGCAGAGCCAACAGACAGTTAAGAGGCACGAACACACCTCCAAGTCGTAATGAAGAAAAACACCCCATGTTGACTGACTTTAAGACTTCTACGAACATTTTACTTCTCCTCTCACATCCCTGTTTTAGGTCCTCAGTGTGTGTTTTGTTAAGATCAGCTTTGTTTGAGATTGTATTTGATCACATGGGGTATGTTGCTCCCTCTAACACATGATAATCTTTATGATATCCTGTACACTGTAGTGCATCATGACTGTCACATCCTGCATGTTTGATATAGGATGAAAAATGTCTGCCAAGTTTATTCTTGATATAAAGGCTGGAAGCTGAATTTCAGGACTAACTTCCAGGACTTCAAATCATCCCCCTTTTTTTTCCTGTGGATCTGTAGATATAAAACACATCCTCCCAGAATTAGGTCATGCTAAGGCTGCTGCTTCGTTTCATCTAAATCAGTAAAAATTCAACCTTATCAGTTTGGGAGTTTTTCAAAAGCTCAAACATAATGGAATGAAGTCCGGAGAGGAAGTGTGCCTCTGTGGGGGAACATGGTTAATCCAAAAACCCTCCACTTATTATTATTAATGGAGAGTTTACATTCGCAGAGTAACTGGGGGATGCTGTGTCTGGTCTGTCAGCCAAACAACATTGCAGTATTCCTATAAGTCCTTCATTGACTGGCAAGATATAAAAGTTTAACTGCTTAGTTGAAGAATTAAATCTAAGGACTCAAAGATACTTTGGAGTTTAACTCTCTCTGTAATTCTTCAGTGGTTTGGATCAGAAGCACAGTAAGTGGATTTCCTTCTTGTGTAGAAGCATCTGATTAATAGGCACAGCTTGAAACTGAACTTGTTAGACGGTTAGTGTCACTCTTTTTCTGAAAGCATACAAACCACAGAGTGTCACTCATGCAGATCAGCCACCGTGGCACCATTTAAACCCACAGGTGTATTTACACCTTCCAAAAGCCAGCGAAAAACTATCGGCTGAAAATGAGCCGCAGTAGGATAACAGAGCAGAAGCTCTCTGAGGAGCACTGGAGCCCACACAGACAGGATGTGCCAGCACCAGCCCACTCAGCCTGCATGCAGAGGAAAGGAAATAAAAGGCAATACATACACTAGGGACAGGGATGACCTCGACCTGGTCACACTATAACACAAGAGAGACAGACACAAACATACAAAAACAGGGTGAGGGGTAGGCAGGAGAACAAAAAAAGAGACAAAAAGAGAGTTCACAGGGAAAAGGAAACAAACATTTAGTGTGTTTTGGGAGGAGCAGCCGCTCACCTTGGGAGGAGACCCGTTCTCCTCAACAGGTGGAGGCAGGGAGCTGGTGTTGGTGTTGTTGGCTGGCGGTTCCACATTGTAATTGCGGAAGCAGCAGAAGAATGTGCTGAAGATGCTCCGGCTCCTCTGCTTCTTTAGGCTGCTGTTCGACTGGGACGCTGTCAAAACAACAGAGAGGGGTGGGAGAGCGGAGGGTGAACAAGTGGTTATGCTAAATAGTTGTCATAAAAAATGGAGCAAGCTGACGATGAGTAGTGTTTTTATTAAGTGATTTGCATGCTGAGCTGTGGATGCTGTTTGAATAACTGTGAACAAACAGTTCTAGGTTCGTTATATTTCTCCTGAGTGACCCCGCTGGTGTGAACTGCTCTCAATCACAACAATAGGTGAGACCTTGACAAAGTGATTAAATGGCATTAGTGTTGGTTTTGTTGCCTCCACTTGGCAAAAGCACTGATCAGAAAATAACTTGGCTGGCTGAGTGACTGCATCAGTCACACATAGCGACAGTTCAGAGCATGCTCTGCTCTGCTCTGATTGCAAATCGCCTCTCATTCCAGGACTTCACAGCAGGGCCTAAATCTGACTCCCGGCTTGTATTAATAGTGACAGGTTGGAGACGGCGCCCCCTCCCTCCTCCTGGTTAGCACCCGCCTGTGGGTCCTGTCACCTGATTGGCTCAGGAGTCTCCATTTTGAACGGTTGCTTATGTTTCCCTCCCATGTTTCAGCTGGCAGGTGAGTGACTGAAGCAGCCTGGACATGAACTAAAGGGGAGGGAGGGAGGGAGAAAGTGAGGGAGGGAGGATGTGGGAGGCCCCTCAGACCCACGCAGGGTCTATACAAGGCTGCATTCCTCTCCACCCATTCGTTCCCCCCTGCTCAGTCCTCAGCCAACACAACCAGAATGCTTTTGCAACTGAAGAAGACAAGTGAAGAGCACACAGCATTATGTCATGTCTTTAGGCATTTTGATGTGGTGCCACTTAGTGCTCCTGACCTTAAAAACAAAACCCAACAGGCACCTGTCATAGGAAACACTGCCTGATGAAGAAACATCAAAGTGCCTGTCACGGAAACAAGCCAATGATAAACAATGTGCATGTCAAGAAAAAGACTTTAAACTTATATTATACCAGTAATCTTTTCAATTAATTCAGCCCCACCATGTTTTTATGAATAAAAATAAAAGACTGTAAATATTGTGAATAGGGTGGCTTTGACTGTATCAAATTACCAGTACTTCTATTTTATTTCCCACTGCTTAAAATACTCAGAAATGTTAACAGACACTGACAGAGTTACAGGAGGTCAACAACATTAGATCACATACTCCCAGATCTCTGTCATTTCCCTTCACAACCACCAGTCAAGCTGGGGCTTACAGGGCAGGAGGAACTGCATCTGGCTGGTACTTGATTTTGTTATTTTATTTTTTTGTCAGAAAATGAAATGAGATCTTTTTTTAATCTTTTTTTATTGTGAGAAATCATTTCATTAAAGAAGTTAATTTCTGATCATCTCACCACGATCGTATTTGTCAACTTTAACTGACCATAATACGAAGCATTATGCTTAACTGTGAGTGACTTGGTGTAACAGAGTGTTCTGGATTCACTTCATAAAAAATAATAAACATCCATGTGGAGCTACAGCCAGTGCTTGGCCAAACAATGTAAGGAAGCAGATCGAATGTCTAATATTTACAGTCTTGGTCGAGCAGGTGAGCTCTGCCACAGTGATCCTCACAACACTGTACCAAGTTGTGTTCACCGCATTTTTGCCTCAGCGAGGAGTATTGCGTGTCGAGCACATCGAACGATCAAACAATGTTTGCTGGGTTAAGTTAAATGGAAAGACATCTTACAGTGACTTTGTTTACTCTGGTTATTTTTGTAAACAAACCCAAAAAAGCAGGACAGCAGCTCTTTGGGCCTAGCAAATACGAGTATCAGATCAGGACTCAGTATCAGCCAAAACAATTGGATCGGGATTATTAAAAGAAATGCTGCCGTGGTCTGAAACCTTGGTTTAGAAGCAAGAAGAGACCGTTTTGAAGCGTTTCATCCACATGTCTGTTGCCACTCTCACACTCCAGTAGTGTTCTGCTGGCCCTCTGTGATGCAGTTGCCTGCTGACATCAGTCCTGTTAGTTGCGCCTGTGCTTAGGTGCTCGTAGGAGGAAGCTCTAACACAAACTATTTCAGTAATAACATTTGACACAAATTGTTTTACTTTCGACTTGTTAACTGAGCCATCCGGCAGGCTTTTTTCAAAGAGCAAAGGACCATTTAAAAGAACACTTATTATTTTCCGTCTCGGCAGCAGCAGGAGCAGCTTAACTACGGTGTGTCGAAGGGGACAAATAGCACACAAACGTTAAGTCTTTATTTTGGACTTTGATTACCTCACAATTTATGTGTCAATGCTGACAGCCCTTGTATTACTGTAATGGCATAACTCATGTTATCATTATATTATAGACCAGTGGTTCTCAAATCCAGTCCTCAAGGCCTACTGTCCTGCATGTTTTGGATGTTTCCCTGCTCCAACACACCTGATTCAAATGATCAGCTCGTTATTAAGCCATTTCAGAGCTTGTTAACGAGCTGATCATTTGAATCAGGTGTGTCGGAGCAGGAAAACATCCAAAACATGCAGGACAGTGGGCCTCGAGGGCTGGACTTGAGAACCACTGTCATAGACAATGCTGTGGAGTATGGAGAAGGATGGAGAGAGAAACAAGAGGATTACTGTGGAATTTTTAAGATGTGCTTCAAGCTGTTGTGGTAACTGTAATATTGCAACACTGCAACAATGTAATGACAAATTAAGTTATGGGGGTGGTGAGGCTTCATTAAATGTCAGGGTGAAAATGACGAGTGTAGCCTCTCTCAAACGTTTGTCCTCTTTTGCTTCTACAGAATACTTACAGTGTTCAAAGAGGAAACAAAGTCGAACAATTTCACTTTTACAAGTTTGAGAACATTGCGACTTTCATCAGTGGAACAGTCTCATCAGTCCCATACCTACACAGCTCAGGGAGGTGACAGCAAAAAGTACAGTCTCACTCAGGCCTTTTTGATAATCTGCCAAGCACAGGTGTAAAAGCATTAATACCCCAAAGCTGCTGCCAAGATAGCCTTGCATTTATACAGCAGTAAAACCAGGTGAAAATAGCAATTAAAAAAGAGTGAGAATAAAAAAATGTTTTTGCACCACCCTCAATCACTGAGGGTAAATCATTTTCTGCAAAAGCCCTTCACTATTTTGAGTTCTGCTATAACATATTAAAATGGCCACATACGTAGACTTTTTTTGACCCTGTCTATGGAAAACATGCCCTGTTCACCACTTTTTTTTTAAATGCAAGTCATCCCTCTCTTTTGGTGTGAGCCAAATGGAAATGCCAAGACAGAAAAGAGTGAAAAGAGAAAGGGAAGAGGACCAGAAACAAACATGATACTCCAGCTTTGGCCCAGTGTTTCCAGACAATTAAGACCACAATCTGACCATACCCTCTTGGAAATACCAAACATTTACACAACCCTGCATCAATCACACAATACAGAACTAATAAGCTGATGTAAAGATCTATTTGGAAATATCATACAAGCATGAAGTCAGTCAATACTTTCTCCTCGACATAATGAAATAGCTTTCAAAAAACTGAGAAAGTTACGCTGTGATCTCCTCAAAGCTTCAGAGAAGTAAGCTCAAGCATAATCATATCTGTTATAATAAGCTGGGTTTATATCCAAAAATAACCTAATCAGAGTCAATGACTTCCTTTGTTAAAGTGGACTTTGTCCTGTCACCTCAGCTCGGCATCACTGTAAAACTGGGACAGTTGTCAGCCTCCTGTGACTCATCAGTTCAAGTGACTGATTCCTGCACACAAAGACCCCCAGAAACCACACAGCATGACTGACACTCACCGAGCAGAGGTGGGCCTCAAACACACAGCACTCACCTGGAGTCAAGAGAGCGGAGGTATGCACTAATGAGAGGGTTTAATTGATTAGGTTGCAAATGTTCAATACATTTTCAATACATGTTCCAGGGTTGTCAAAAAGGATTAACCATCATTAGGTGCAGTAATACTCACATAGCGCAGTGCACGACAGTAAGCTTTATGAATTGGGAGCTTTTCTATAAAGATATGAAATGCTCATTATGATAAGGGATTTTTATACACACTCATTTAAACATATTAATAATTATTATTTTTCGTTTCTTTCATCAACTCTGTTCTGTTAAATGTCACTACATACTACCCACTGCAGCTTTACTACTCACACATATCTTGAACATACATGACAACAACAATGTATGTGTGATATGTCCCCATTAGCCTCATAATGTGAGCCTCCTAACTGATACATAAAAAAACACAGCTGACTCCAGCTCCACACCCGTTGCTCTTAAAATTCCACAATAAAAATCAAATCGTAAGGGTACAAGTACAACTGAATTATTGGCAGAGGCTTGTCCCACTACTAAATAAACATACTGTAAGTGAAGAACGTGTTATTGTTGGTAAAACTGATGGACAGGTTTTTAGGATCACCTACTAACCAAGGGCCAGTAGCGACAATGTGACTGATCAATTTGGAAAAGTAAATAAACAGAAAATTATGTGCTAACCATAAAAAAATAAAAAAAAAACCACAGTGCTTCTGACCAATTAAGCAATACTAACACACACACACACATACACACACACACACCGATGGCAAAAGATGCCATGTAAGTTTCCAATAAGTGATGACTAATCCCATTCAAACATGTTCATATGCCTCTGCTCTGACTTTGCCACTTGGAGCATTACAGGGTTCAGCATCTCACCCAAGGGTGCTTCGACATGTAGACAACAGGAACTGGTATCATGCTGTTGAAGATAGTGGACTTGTACACTAAGCCACAGGTGACAGAGTTCAGCAAAAGTGACTGCAATTTGCCTCCATTGTTTTATTTTCCTACACTTGTGGCCTGTGCCATGTATTTGTGCTCAGTGAAGACACCCACACAGTCACAAAGTGTGCATGCAAAACTCAGCCAGAAAGCCACGACTGTCTGTAGATTCATGTTTTGGATAAACTTGGTGCCACAGCACCTTGTTTGTCATAATGAGGATCAGCAGCTGTTTACAACAACATAAAATGTGTATGTGCTTGAATACTTTTTATATTTCTCTGACAATCATTTATCATGTTCTATGTTTGAGAAGGAAAAGGTTATCATGTGATTTTTCACCCAGGGACAATCAACGTTATGTAATATTCCTCACTTCTACCTGTGTTAGGAAGATTATATAACCTCAGAGAACATCCTTTTTTTATCCCGAAGAGTTTTGACATTAAATTTGCAATACACATTTTAAAATAAATCTGTGTATCTTTATGGTGCCATGTGATTAATACAAGGGAATCCTAGAAATGACGTTGTATGATATGTTTTTAATTTAAAACAAAATATTTTGAGAAAAAAGGAGGCTGAATTTACAAAGACAGTCACTTCACAGTGATCTTTACAACAGTGATGTTCAATGTGTGCCCCACCCACATAGGTCCGTCTTAGTACAGTTTGACTCCTTAGCAACTGGAGGAGGAAGGGGTGTAAGATAAAAGCCACCCATTCATCTTACTAGGGCATTCGAGTCTTAGCACATAAATACGATGAGTGAAAACTTAATTAGTTTAAATACTCCTCCCAAACATCCTCCCAAGACCAAACAAGAAAAAGCCACTGACACCACAGCCTCTATTATCTTCTTTTCAAAGAGTTTTTTTTTCCCAAACGTAAGTCGAGTATGACTGTGAGAATAAAAAAAGATTATTGTCATCTTTGCTAGTCGTTACTCTGGGCCTCGAGGTCAGTGGTGCTCTGGCCAACAGGGCAGCAAGTCTATATTTAGTCTGCTGCTTGGCAGCTAAACCAGTGTGGAAGGCAGGCACATGTCCTAAGACAGTCAGCAGAGACACACCAAGAGCAAAGGTGGTCAATTTTTGTCCAGACAGTTTGGAGCCTGTTCAAGCAGCAGAAGACTACCTGTTAAATTCCTCCAGGACAGCTGCTGGGATGGGCCGCATGTTAAGTTATTTGAACAGATAAGAGACTCACACTGACTACCTATATTCAAACTAAAAATTGAGCTCAGTAAACTTAGAAAAAGTTTTTCTCCCTTTTTTTTTTTTTTTAGCTCTCAGTCATGTCCATTTTTACATCCGATAACTCTGCCCCTTGCTCTCAAAATCTGCAGTTTTCAAAAAAGTGTAGAACAAATGGAAGAAAGGCTATGACTGTTCTATTCCTATAATGAAGGTAATATTTGACTCGGCCCCAAGGAAAGAACAGTGCATGACTCATACTCAGAAGAAAGCAGAGAGGTAGGAAACAAACAGAAACAACACTGCTCCACTTTTTACACTAACTCACTGTGTCCTGTGTAACATAACTCAGATCAACATTGGATTTAATTTCCATGCAGAAGGTTTAATTCTTGGGGAGACTGTGTTCAATGGTATTCACACTTCTATCATTATAGTTGCGGCAGGATCTACAATGTGTCCCTGAGAAGCATGAACAAACTGAGCAAACACTTTGATGCACTTGACTTAATATTCAAAACAACAGAAAATCTCTTAATATTACCTTGAGGAAACATCTGTGTCATTAGTCTGAAAGAATCCTTACACTTACTTGGAAATCAAACAATTAACATGGAAAAGATGACTCATCTTTAAAAAAAAAAAAACACATGCTACGCTGTCTTATATTTTTCGCTGGAGTAGTTTGTTATACGATTTATTCAGTTGAATTCCCACTCTACCACGCCAACCACTTCACTGACTAATCATTTCAGCACTACTCATACCCTGTGACCACAAATGACCTACACATCACTTTTCCCAGCACAATAAAAGAATCAAAAGTATCAAATTGTGACTTTTGTAAAGGCAAGACCTTCAAAACGTCTTTTCAGAGCCATTTACAAGTATTCACAAAGTACAGCATCAGTTACAGAAGTTTGAGCACATACATTTTATACTGCATGAGTCAAATCCCAACCTGCAATGACATTCTTCCAAACTCTGATATACCTGAAATGATAATATTTCAAATGACATGCTCATATGTTCAAGTTACATCAAATCTGTGGTCCTTGCTGAGGGATACCTTTGTTCCCTCAGGAGAAAGCATTGTCGTGCCTGAAAGACTGAAGTTCTCGCATTACTAATGGACTGACATGTGAGGGTTGAGATGTGATACAGATACATGTCCCGTGGGCCTGTGTGACCCGGAAAATGCCTGTGCAGTCCCAGGTATGAGTCTGAATGAACATACGCAGCTACGGTCTTGAAGCTAGGAAGCAAATTTGGAGGGAAAAACTTTACTCTGTCCAACATGGTACAGCTAGAACTGGAGGGGGAGATAAAATGATACATTTCTATTTCATTGCCCTGACCTATAATGTACTGTCAAATGACCTGCAATACATCTGTTCTTATCAAAAATAATACATCCCTGTCTGTCATCATTTCACTTTCAATAAAACTCACTGTTTGCTGCTGCTTTTATCTTGCTGATTTTTAAAAGGTATAATGTGAGAAATGGGAATATTTTTTATGTTAGAATCTAGATTAAAACGCTCCCTAACTCATCCTGACTGATGTGTTACATGCCACTGCATACTGCACCCAGAGAAACATTTGTATTCTGGACTTGCTCAAATATTGTTATGTATGATTATGTCAATATCTTGCAATTGATCAACTATCTAAAAACTGCTGGATCGGGATATAATCAAAGCATTGGGTGTTGTGCAACAACTCCATAAATTCACCCCTAAACAAAAGCATATTAGCAGATGACAATATCCACCAACCAGCCATACTAGTATGAACAACTGGGCAATCTGATGTAACCCAAACCGCAGGCTCTACTATAAATTCTACTTCCAGAAAGCTTCCAACCATTCTCGTTTTTACTGACATGATCAGACAGGTGATTATTGACACAGTAGGAGGTAGTGATAGTGCGCTCAGCAGTGTTATGTGTTCCTTATATTCAATCATTTCATTAACAAACACAAGGAAGGAACAAGGAATACTTTTCAGTATAATGCTCTCCATCACAACACCAACATCTGCTACACTTTACAATTAATACCAGGAATAAGTCATCAAAACTGAAAATGTACAAGCGCTGTAAAAGTAGAATTTATCGTGGAGCTACTGTGCTAGGTTGCACTACATTGCTTAGTTGTCCCTGGTGTTGTGGCAGGTGAGTGTAAATCTGTGCATCATACAAGGTTTCCGCAGACCATATCAAAACTTCATCCATCAGGGAAAATGCCTCACAACTTGCCCGAAAGTTTTACATTAGGCAAGAGTGACCGCATTTAACTTTTCCACTGCCAGCGTTAAAATAAAACGTCTGCAGCAAAAACCACCATGAACTTTTTGGCTCTTGCGGTCGTGATTCATGTAGTGAGTCAACCTATCAGTCCATGAGTGCCGTTATGTGGCCCAAACAGAAACAGAGAACCATTTCGATTAGTGACCCTTCAGTTTAACAGCACGTTAGTACACCTTCACTCTAACGGCACACTGGTGAACCTTCAATCAAACGGCCAAACGTAATAGTGTTGGGATAACTTGTGAAAGAGGATAAACTTGTTGATAAACTTGTTGCGTACCAAGGCAGTGTAACCTAAATCTGGCTGTATTCGAGATATTTTTAGTGGGACTTCCACCAGCAGCTAACCAGTTTCAGCAGATAACGCGGCTAACTATGAGCTAATGTCATTTGTGAAAAGTAACGTTAGTTAGCCAGCTAGCGCTAGTTCTGGTAACAGACTTTTCCTTACCTTTTTCCTGATTGAAGGATATTATTTCCTCCTCCTTTGGGTTGGAAACTTGGGTTATTATGGACATGTGGTCCATTGAGGCGAATGGATATTCCTGTTTTATATCCCACACTGTTACTTGTACTAAGGTGCTTGCTAGCTGCCGTTAGCTAGCAGTTTAAGAGGATGACCAGCCAGCCCACAAAGCCAGGCAAGCGTCCGGGGCGAAGTGTTGTGTCAGCGGTGTTAGCCAGCCAGCTAGCACGGTGTTTACAGGAAGCCTGTGGATGGCTGACATTTATGGCTTTCCGCAATATATCATAGCTGTGTGCAAGAATTTTGAGGACAAAACCAAAAGCGCGTAAATCTAACAAAAAAGAAACAAGCGACGTTGACTTGCTAACTAGCTGAAGTTAGCAAGTAGCTTGGTTTAGCGAGTTAGCCTTGAAGCTCAGATATCCCAAAATGTGAGGCCGTCCTCGAACAGCGGTGAAAACACTGGGAAGCCCGTCGGACGATTGTTCTTGCCCCAAAACATGCAAGTTGTTGGACCTTAAAGTTAGCTAACACTTTGAGGCAGACAGTTAATATCTACCGGCCCTACATTCCCCGTGCAACATGGAGGCTTTATGTATTTTGAGTTGCATGTGAAGCGGGGGCTCTCGGAGTGGGAGGGGGCGGTTTGTTTCTGTGATGGATTCTGTGAGGCAGGCAGCGCCAGCGCGCACACAGCCGCACGACATGGAGCCGCTCAGCTCAGGCAGCTGGCTGGAAGCAACTTCTCAAAACACCCTCTTCTCTATGATTCTTCTACAGCTTCAATGCATATGACAAAAAAGAAACATAAGGGTAGTACTAAATAAGAACGTAAGATTCTGATGATACAGACTTCAGAGTAAGTCTTCAATCATTCTTTCTCAGCACCGAATTGAAACATTATCCCAAGATGCTTTCCAAAAGGGCAGATCTACACCTTACAACATGTTGTATTATTTACCAACACCTGACATCGAGGAAGGGTAAGATTATTAATTCCCCATTAGCACAGCACTTTGCACCATTCAGCAAATGGCAAGGAAAAACTTCCTCTTAATTTAAGTGTTTTTTTTCCCACTTAATTTAAAGATCCTGTAAAAAACGCTCTATTTGTGTCGATTTTGGCGCCCCCTGTGGACAAAACATTACTTATTTGATCTTAACTGACTTTGTCCTGTACATGTGAAAGTTCAGCTTTCTGACAATGAAATCTCATCTTTCTTTCTTTCTTTCTTTCTTTTCTCATTGAAATGTATCATATCCCATGAATGTTTTTTGTTGTCTTTGTTCTTCATTGGTCAAAAATAGTAGGCTGTTTCCACAGGGTGCTGTCAATCACCAAGTTCAACCGTTACCCCTTCAGCGTGGTTTCAGACACCATAAATCACCACACACAAACAGGTGGCATCATAGTTTATATTCTCATTTGCTTCTCTAGGTCTTACAGAGCTTTTACTGCTAGTTTAAGTCTGTTTTATGCAACTCCCCACGGGGACTTTAAATTAAAATAAAAACACCATGTCTGCACAATACCAAAGAGAAAGTGCGTACCAAACTGTGAAGTGGATGTATGGAACAGTTCAAACAGAACTAAAAAAGAAACAAAAGTAAATTGTTGTAAAAAAAAAAAAAAAAAAGAAAGAAAGAAAAATGTAAAGAAATAATTTGAACATGCAAAATGACCGAAAGCTGGTTAAATATGTTGAGGTATTGAGTATATACTTTGATATTTTCAAAATAAAGATATCAGTCAATCAAACAAACACAATTGGTTTTATTCAACCTTTATTGTCTTATTGTTGTCATAAATACAACTGTTGTTATTCGACAGGCAAATTTTAAACACTGGCAAAAATCTGCAGCATTTTTGATAATCCAAGTAAATATTGCATTGAAATCCACACCTTTTTGAGAGAGCACTTGTTCCATGTGTTGGTTGTGTTCATAAGTCAACAGTGCCACCCAGTGTCCAATTAAAAATGCTTCAAGAGTTTGATATATTTCTTTATGCCTGCAATATGATCAATTAAAAGGTTTGCAGTAAATTGCCATATGATTTGGGGAGGCACAGCTTGTTTGCAGTTAAATAATTAGATTAAGTACATTTTGTGTATGTCCAGATAGAATGTGAGATTTCTTGGTATCTTATCTATTGATACAATCAACAGAAAACAACAACCATAGACTAATACTCTTCACAAAAACTTTATAAACTATGCAGGTATTTTTTCATATATCAACTGGATTGAATTCACTCAGGTACTACATACAAGGGTGCTGGGGGAGACTAAGGGCAATAGTAACACAATATCTTTGACAACAAACAAGTTATAGAACTTTTTTAGATGTTATTAGTATAGACTTTTTATAAATAATAAAAAACAGATCATGTTGCTTCTAATGTTTTAAATATGTGTTAAAAGTCACCTCCGTACCATCTGATTGTGTTAGGGCACTGTTTCTTTTACAAGTTCACAACAGTTTGGTTAGAGATTCTTCCTGACTCACAAACTGATGAATCGGTTCAGTTAACATAAAAATTCGACCAGGACAATTGATCACCGTCTAGTTACCAGTGGAATTGTTTTCTTGTATAATGCAAAAACAGATGGATAAAGTTTTGCTTTCAATTCATAAAATATTTGAAACCTACCCCTAATACTCTGTTTACCCTCTAAAGGATAGAGTTATCTTTCATTTTCCTCTCTCTTTTACTCTCCCTGCTTCACCCTTCCACATCCCCCGTCCTTCTTCTTCCATTTCCCTGCCATTAATCTGGCACCTTTCCTGTCTAAACCTTACACTGTCTCTGCACTAGTTTTGAACTAAGTACAATGTCACGGTTTGGAAGCAGCTCTAACCAAGGCACCACAGGCCTGCCTGCTTGTGCTTCACGTTTCAAGTGTTTAGATTTAACCCTTTTGTGATCACTATTTAAAAGCTGGGTTTGGTCCACAGAGTGAGAAAAGCATTTCACTGATGGCCCCACTAGTGCTATGCTGTTCTGGGCAGATTTGAACTTAGAATCATCTCACTCACAGGCAGGAGCTCTAACCAACACCCCAAAAACCTGACAGCCGTTTAAATCATGCAATTTAAATATTACTACTAAAGCCTTTGTGCAGTCTACAGTGAGCAGAAAACATTTAATTAGTGTGCCACAAAAAATTGCTGTTCCAAGTGGCTTTGAACCCAGGGCGGTTTTACTCAAAGGCAGAGTTCTAACCCCACACTACAAGCCTGCCTCCCTGTGTATGCATGCATGCAGTTTTAGGTCTTTTCATTTGATCAGTTAATTATGTTTTAAAAGGCTGAGATCAGATTCTCATATGAGCAAAGCATTTCATTTGTGCTTCACATAGGTCCCAAATAAGAATTTCAACCTGAGGCCACCACACAACAGGCTTAGAGTGCCTGCTCTTTTAGGTCATTTCATTTCAGTATTTGTTGATGATTGCTCAAAAACACAACTCTGATTGTAGAGTGAGAAAAAGATTACACACTTTTCTTCACATCGCCAGAATTTGGACCAAATACCACTTCACTCAAAGGTGGCATTGAAACTATTGCACCACTGGTCTGTCTATGAGGGTTGCCCTTTTGTATCATTTTACTATTTCTGGGTGATTGTCCACAGTGCTGACTGCAGAGAGAAGAAAACATGACATTTTCACCCTACGTGGGAAGTCACAAGCTGGGATTTGATCCTAGAACCAATTAAATCAAAGAGAGAGCAGGACTCTTGCAGTTGTTTACGTCTTAATGTCTTTTTATTTCCCCATTTAATTTCATTGTTTCAAAAGCTGAGTTCAGAAAGAGAATATGAGAAAGCATTGCATTCCTGGCTCGCATGGAGAGTTCCTGTACAGGGTTTGAACGGTGGCAGCAACACAGGTCTTCTTTCCATGGGTTGCTCTTTTTTTTTTTTTTTTTTTAATTTCATCATTTTGTTCCTGTTTCTCAAACGCTGGTCTGAGTCTCCAGTGTGAATACAGCATTTCTTACCTTATGTACACAGAAGGTGGATTTGAATCCAGAATATTTGCATTGAAAAACAGCAGACTTCATGACTGCACCACTGGAGTGCCTGGGAGTTTTCACTGTGTAGATCCTGATTTGATTAAGGAAATGCAAAAACACAGGTGAAACTTCAGTCTGAGGGAAGCTCTTCTTTCCTGTCCCACATGAACCCATAAACTTTTCATTAAGTGGCAGTAGATTTTACCACTCCAACAAAGGTAAGACTGGCAGAGCTTGCTTTTGTCGATCTTTTGTTTCACTATTTGATAACTCTTATTCTTCACTGGGATTCCCATTTTCATCCACAAAGTGATTAATTCCTTGAGGTCCACACAATCAAAGAAAGGACAACAGATTAAAATCGCACTGGATCGAAAAAAAAGTGTGATTGAACTCTGATATATAAATCAGTAAAAACATACAGAAAAAAAGTGCAAATAAACAGTAAATAGTGTTAACTTTAAACAAAATGAAAAAAAACACATGGCTCCTTAAGTTAATAACACTTTTTTTTCAGACCACTTATTTTACAATAACATATCTTAAAATATCTGAATTTATAGTGGAGACCAGAGCTTGTTGTCACATGGGTAAGTTGTCACATTGCAATTATCTTTGCCACCAAAGGGTGCCACTAAAAAGTGGAATACTAGTTTTCTTCCTTTATACGGTCAGGGGTCTTGTCCTGTCTGAGAAGAGAAGACCACATTGTGAGGTGAGATGAGTGCCAATTAACCATTTCACACAACCCAAAGTAAAATAAATACTTCATATATTTCAAAATAAGCTTCTTCTGAGCAGTGATAAATGTGGACTTGTTAGAGGAGAGATTAAGGCATCCTGTCATAGCTCAGTCATTGTTCTGTTTTAAGCTAACTCTAAGCTAAAGCTAGAATTAGCAAACATGGTAGTTTGGGGCATATATATATATATATATATATATATATATATATATATATATATATACAGTAAAATAATCCCTTTTTCCCACCTTGGAGACAACGTGATAAATCTTGTCTGATCAAGACAGTAAATTACCTAGTTTCACACCTATTTGGTTTCAGTGAACTAATCATAGACATCTATAGACAAGTTTGGGATTTAAATTAACTTCATAAATTGGTGTCTTAGAAAACCAAAAGTTACAGTTTTTTTTTTTGTTTTTGTTTTTTGTTTTTGTTTTTTGTATTGAGACCCAATTGAAAACTATGGGGAAAACCAACCCCGAATATTGTGTCAGAAGTGTCTTAATAGCTTGATGTTTTATTAATTAACAAGAATAAAAATCTGAAATTTTTATTACATAGTTTTTACACTGTAAACAGGATGGGCAACTTTAAAACAAGAAAACTCCATCAAACCTATTCATGTAGCCTTGCTCGTATCAAGCGTAAATATGATAAACTTGCTGCAGACCTGTTTATTATAGATGACTGAAGCTCACATCTATAAAAGCCAACCCACTGACATTACTGCACGCATCCTCATGCTGTATGTTGCATGCATCACTCTGATAGGCTCCTGTTTGGTGTTTCGTTAAAATGATGCTCTTTTCCTCACATAAACTATTGTTCTAGTCTGTGTTTTCGCCCCAGTTAAGCTTGGTAAGCTCGCCGTGGACCACCCCTCACTGCGGTGCAGTAGTGAAGGATAAATATATCCCCCTCCTCCACCACCACCACCTCCTCCTCCCTCTCCTTTCGTTGAGTCCGCAACATCCCGACTGGCCGAGGCTGGCGATCGCAGGGAGCGGCAGCGGCAAACAGCCCCCACAAGACGGATGAATTAGAGAAGCACCGCCACCCCCCTTTATCTTTTCTTGATTTCTGTAGAGAAGAGCCGGGCTGTAAACGCTGCTGCTCGTCTTGACAGTGTGAAGCGGATACAAGGTTAGTAAAAACAAGAGTATTTTCATTTACATAGAGGTTGAAACATAAGAACGAGCTGAGAAATCAGTGCAGAAAAAAACAGTGTTTGACCAGCTCGGTGTGCATGAGCAGGGGAACAGTAATCCTCTATTTGTATGCAGGACGCTTTGCTGGGGTCCTTCTTAGCCATGGTTACATCTTGGCATGAGCAAGTTGTTTGTCCAACTCCTTTAACTTCAACTTCAAGAGCCTGACACACAACTCATACACACCCACACACACTCATCCAGGTACAAGTGTATTATTCTCTCCCAGGAGGTAGCCATTTGTCTGTTTTGTTACTCTGATGCACCATTCTTGGTCATTCCTGTCAGGGCTAAATATTCTGTGAGGTGAGTCCCCAGCGCCTCTCAGATCACATAGCACTGCAGCTGCCCTGCTGTACAGCAGACCAACTGCAAGAGCTATAATAGGAAGGAGAGGTAGGGTTGCACAGCTGACAGTGCTGATTCCTCTGCAGTCCTATTTAAGTCACTGCCCTGTGGATCCAGAGGGCTTATTAGTGAAATGCCACCTCTTTAAAACACCTCACTGTAAGTCTGGCACGAAAAACAAGTGCTGATTGACGTTGGCACACAATAAATTACCTGTAGCATTTTATTACACACATGTGCTTTTTCAATTGTTGATCTATTTGGCTGTTTTGTAACCAAATCCTCACAGTGACGTATGCAGCCTCCAGAACCCTTTATGAGTTGTTGTGTAAATCAAGGTCCGTATTATGAGTCACACTTTTAGATGAGAGCCCACACAGCCTCTAATGCACACAGCAGTTGAGGGATGCTTTCACTATAACGTTTCAGGTGCATCCTTAGAATAATCAATCAAAACTAGACAGTAACACAGACCCCACAACGCTTCATAAACCCTCACACCATATTACAGACTGTACATTAATTCTTCAAGAAATGTTTGCTCATTCTTCATATCCATGCTGCTAGTCTTTTACCATGTCTGATAACCCACTACCGATTGTTTTTTGAACCCGTTAGGCTTCCGTTAGATTCACCATGGGGATCAAGGCTGCCCTCCCCAGATATGAGCTGTATCTCTACAGAGCCGTTCTTGTCGGGGCCTTGATATGGGCAGGCAGTTGGATATTTGACGCTTCAAGTGGTGAGTGCGCAACATGTCAAGAGATGTCCTGAGCACATGCCACACTGTCGATGTAGTTCATTTAAAAATCAGTGACATAGTGCTTGAGTGTCATTAGGTTACTCTTATCAAAGTCAGGGTGAATGACAACTTTTTTGGACAGCTGCTTCAGGACTTCTCTGACATTTATGTTTGTGATGACATGAACTCACTGAAAAATTACAGCTCATGTAAGGAAGAGAAACAGCTCTTCAGGTGTCACATTTGAACCTGAATCTGCATCGAACAGGGAGCATTCAGCAGATAAAAAGAGAAGCTGAAACCCTCAGGAATTCCTGCGTGTTCCTATTAATATGTAGACAATTTAAAGATGCTCTAATTAGTTTTCTTGTTAAAACAAACGACAGAGGAAGAGGAGTTATACAGAGACAAGCAATCCCAAACCTCAGCCTCCTGAAAGTCCATGAAATGTTTACATGTCAGGAAAACACTCAAGCTGAATAGACTGAGTGTAATCCAGTGAGTGGTACAGTCTGTCACAGTCTGTGCAGTCAGATCAGCCCGACCAGTCATGTTGTCACTCATTATTTTGTCCTGAGCGTTTTACTTCAGGAGTTCCTCTGTGTGTCTTGAAATTGTCCATTTTTGGCTGCTCAGTCTGAGGGCATTAATGCAGCTCAGGTCTGCACGCTACAGTAGCTCTGTAATACAAGCCTGGCTGCATTCCCAGAAGTAAGAGGCTTTCCCTGACCGACCCCTTGCTTTTTCATATCCTTTTTCACAGCCATTAGTGTGATCAGATGAAACAGGAGGAAGTACTGTAAGGGTGCAAGGCAAACCCTTTAGCTGCTGAAAGTTAAACGTCAGTCTGCTCACATTTGTTTTGAATGTATTTTCAGCATTTTTCTTGAGTGTTTCATTCCAGTTGTAGAGCAAACTAATCTCCTGAAACCAGGTTAGGAAAGAATGAGTGTAGATGTGTGAGTGTCCAAAATAGAAACACTTTCTAATGAGTACATTATGTAATATTTGATGTTCTCGAGTGGATTGAATGAGCTCTGACACCTTTAATTCACTGAGAATAACTCAGCAGTTCTGTGGTTCATCATGTCACAAATTTGCACCTGCAAGACCCGTTTTTACTCAAAATGTATGGAGCTCATATTATTATTATTATTATTATTATTATTATTATTATTATTATTATTATTAAAAATAAAACTTTAGAATTAGCCCTATGAACCTTTAAAGCCTCAGTGAGGAACTTTACATTTGTGTTCATTTTGGCGCCCCTGCAGACAAAGCAGTCTTTTCCAGCCTTGTCCTCTTAAACAGTGTCCTCTCACAAGAAAAAGTCTCATCCTGCTCACATTTGACAGTCAGATCTTTGATGATTCTTGATTCTTCATCTGCTTGGCTGACACCAACCTCCGTGTGTCAGTTTCAGGCATTAAAAATCTTCAATCTTGTAGCTGGTGGTCTTGTTTGCTTTTAAATATCATAAATAGGCTTCAATATGAATTTCAGTCTATTTGACTTGACTGTTAAAAAAACTTAGAAGAGCTTTAAGCATTACAGTGTAACACCACAGATTAAAGCTCCTGTGAGGAGTTTTTAGCCACTGGTATTTGTTATTTTTTTGCCTCTACATGACCTATTAAAAGCACAGGAGACCATCAGTATGACAGTTTATTATTTCTGCGTAATTATTTTTTAAGATCTAATACCACATCACTAGAAATATTTACCAACTGCATCTAATTTAAGAGCCTTTTCTTACATGTGCCACAAAAACTTTTTCAGGGCTATTCATTTATGTGTTTTAAGAAATCAGGACAAAAATTTTTGGTTAACAAAAAAGACTAGCACATGTTGGACAAATCCCCAGATAAATATGATGTATTTCTTTGTCCACAGAGGGCACCAAAATCTAAACAAACCAGCCTTAAACGTCATAACTTAAAATGATTGAACAGCCATTTTAATAATTAATTTGTTTTCTTCTTTATTCAGAGAATGTTGACAGAAAGTCGTTTAAAGAAAGTGTGAGACCAGGATGGCATTACTTTGGCAGGAAAATGGTAGGTTTCACATATAGTAACACTTGAGTCTTTTTGTGTGCTACAGCAATATTAAATGGTATAAAACTGAAACTTGCTGTTAGTGACAGACATTTCTGATCCACAGGATGTTGCGGACTTCGAGTGGATAATGTGGTTCACAACATTCCGCAATCACATCCTTTTTGCTCTTGTCGGTCACGTTATCTTTGCCAAGATTTTCACTGTGATAGCTCCAAAGGTGCGTGCATGTTTGTGCATGTCCACAAGCTAGCACTTTAATCTGATCGCATACAGGTATTACTGCATGTGTCATACTATGTGTATCTCTGTGTTCCGTATAAATGTGTGACTGTTTTTGTTTATATGGCTGCACTTGTGAATGAACTTGAAATGTTATTTTATACAAAAAAAGGCCTTGGACTGTCCATGTATTCTTTATTAGTCTGATTCAACACTGTTTTCTATTCAATCGAAGTAAATTGTCTATGTTTATTTGTACCTCAAGATCAATCATATGATTGTCTTGATGCGTGTGCATGGTTTTTATTCTGATATGCAGTTCATAGATGGCACCAATCATCATTTTTGTCAATATTTGGACATATTTAAAACAGATGAATATGTTTTAAACATGTTTTCTGTCTTATTTCATGCATACAATGAAGATTGGTATAGATGGATGTAAGGTAACATTAATAAACTTGTCAATTCATAACCTTTTTCTGTCATGTGTTTTACCCTAACCTGAGTCTTGGGTATTAGCTCTGTCTCTTACTAACACATTTTAAAGTCTTCATCCTAATGAAAAACCCAGTGTGGTAGATACAACAGCATTCATATACTAACAGCACTCTACATGTGTGCTATGTTATCTTTCATCAGTGCAAAAATCTTATCATGAGCTCACACTGACGCTGGCTCCTCTTTCCCCACAGCACAGATCCTTGATCTTTGGCGTGTACGGTGGTTTAGCAGTCCTCGTGACCATGGGCTGGACCTTCATGGCTCTGGTTCTGTCTCACTGCATCATTCTCTACAGTATCGCTCTGGTCAAGAGCAAGTGGTTGAGCTTTGCAGCAGGCCTAGCAACACTGGCCTCCATCAAGATGGAGCCTTATAACTCTTGGCAGGTGAGAGAGGGGGTTCATGGTTTAATGTCGTTACAAAACGCAGAGAGCCTTATCCCCTGATTGAGAACAAGATGCAGAAAAAGCTTTATTATGTTGGGAACTTTAAATTTAGTAGGAGGGTCTTGAAGCATGTTTGAAATGGACAAACAGACAGTGAAAGTATTGGTGAATAAAAGCAAAATCATTAAATAGTTTATCTGATTTGAAACAACTGAGGGCTTTGTAAGGCTCCTGCTGAGAATGCCAGTGAGGAAGCATTGAAAATAATGCCAGAATACACAGAGGGGGGTAATTTAAAAATAAAGTAAACATGCTACAATAAGTAATTAAGTATAATAAAGTAATAAAAGTAAAACAATTGTATGTTGAGTTGTGCTAAATGAGTTTTGGATGGGAAAGAATTTGCATTGACTTATAATGAATTTGCATTGACTTATATTGTGATGATGTGAGTATTTGAGCTAGAATTATAAAAGACTTTTCTGCATGGATTGTGCAGAAAAGGTATATTACAATTCAAAATTATCCAAGGGTCACTTTCTAAAATAAATAAGTTTATTGAAGAAAGCCCAACATTATTTGAATATGTAAATCAATTCTGGTGTCATTTGCTAAGTGAAATCATTGAATATTTTGTCTCATTTGAATGATCTGAGGACATTGCATGGCTCCTGCTAAGGTTGTGAGGGAATAAAGATAATGCCAGGAGATACCACAGAATGCAACCTACAATGACAGTCATTTGGATAAAATTGCATAATGTTGATAGAATAAGTAATAAAAGTTAAAAATAATTAGTGTGAAATCATGTTTAGTGGGGTTCTACCAACTTGCATTTATCAAAATGATACTGAAGTGCAATCGAAAACAAAGTGCACAGTTTCTTTTTTCCCAGTGCTTGCCAGTCCAGTGAAATAATTAAATCTGGAGACATTGTTTAATTGTATCATGATGATGTTTGACGTTGTCTTCAGGAATCTTTGGTTACTGGCTCCTTTGACCTGCAAGACATCCTGTTCTACGGCGGCTGTGGCTTCAGCATCATGCGCTGCATGAGCTTCTGTTTGGAGAACTGCGAGAAGAAGGAAGGAAACTACACTTTCTCTGACTTGCTGAGATATAACTTCTACCTCCCCTTCTTCTTCTTTGGACCCATCATGACCTTTGACAGATTTCACGCTCAGGTGAGGGTCTCAGAACCAAAAAAGTGGAGGGAAAGTGAGCAGCCAGGTGGAATCTGACTGTTTTAACAATGAACACAAATGCCAACCGGATAAATGATATTTGAATAATAATGATGACAGCCTGTTTTCAAAACCAAATATCTTGACTTTTTCAGGCAAACAACACCCAGCTGACCCGTAAGGAGAGGGAGATGTGGAACATCACTACCAAGGCTTTGCTGCATCTGGGAGTGATTCTGGTGGTGGACGTCTTCTTCCACTATCTCTACATCCTGACAATCCCCAGTGACATGAAGCTGGTCACCAAGCTCTCTGACTGGTGTCTGGGTGAGTTCAATCAACTTCATGTAACGATAACAAGTCCAGTACATCTGGTACTAAAGCTTTTATGTTTTAAAAGATTTTTGAGTGCTTGTAGGGTGCTGACTGTTTTTAATCATACATATATTTATTATTTATGATTTATATTTTAACATTTATATTTTTATGAGATTTAAGTCCATATTTATAATGTGAAGCAATTCTTATCAGTGTTTTGATTTGGGGATTAAATTAGCAAATTAAATTATTAGTGTCATGAACCTCTCTGATTTGTTGTCATCCACAGCTCTGCCACTTCACACACTCCACATTACATCAGACTGATGCATTGCATCATTGCTTAGCTCGTAGGCAGTAGCTCAGACTGAAAGTACTTAGGTGGTATTTTGATCCATTGTGACACAGTGTATATTATGTTTGACTTGTCAACTGAGCTCTCTGGTTTTGTAAAGCAAAATAAGCCCTTCAATGGCGTAGTGGTCTTGTTGTTTCATTTTACAGTGGTGGCTCATCTACAGTGACTCAAAAGGGACCAAATAACACATCTAAAAAAAATAATGCATTAATGTCAGACAATAAGCCTAACTTCCCTTTAGGAGAAAAAAATGTGTGGACCATTATTTCAATAGTAAATTTTTAGCTGGAGCCTTTCCTGCATTGACTGTGCACCACTTCTATGCTCATATTCCAATTAATAAATTACAAAGATGTCTGTATTATGAAAATATTTTTATGGAAGATGTTTGACACTATCATACAAACAAAATATGTATATTTACAAAATATTTGACATTATTGTGGTTTGTAAATAATTGCTACTCAATACCTATTTAGGTCAGGCACTCTTCCATGACAGCTTTATGTGCTGCAGACAGCGCTCAGAGAAATGTAAATTATTATAATGCCAAAAAATTATTAAGCCAGTCTGCATTAGCTAAACAAACAAGTTATTATGTTTGTGTATTGGCCAATCACCAGTAAATTACCGTTAATTAGCTTATGTTATTATTGTCATTATATGTTGTTGAGAGAAAATGTGTTTTTAAAGGAACTAAAATAGTGGCAGGACCAGATAAGTTGTTGCTTCCTTTTGCCTCCTCTTGAAAATTTCAGGATGTGTTAAAGACAAATAAAGATCAAAAATCAATGAGTTAATTTTGAATTTGTATTTTGGTGCACTTCTGAAAACTTGGACTCCTAATACTAATGTTACTTTGATCAAGGTCAGGCTTAGAAAACTTACTAAACTATTATCATTGAAGCTTCATTTATCAGCGTTATTCACATGGCTGTTGTCATTATAACTACAATCCAGTATTTACAAAAGGGATTTCATTCCCATCCATCACTTGGACAACTTTCACTATTATTACAACTACTTTTAGAGTGTATCCAGTTATCGGTGTGTGTTTTTTTGTTCAAACTCCTTAGCTGGTTTGGCTTATTCCAACCTGGTGTACGACTGGGTGAAAGCAGCCATGATGTTTGGTGTCATCAACACTGTGGCCACACTGGACCACCTGGACCCTCCTCAGCCCCCCAAGTGTATCACCATGCTCTACGTCTTCGCTGAGACGTACGTGTTGTGTGCAGTCTTCAAAATATTATCCAGTGTCTTTGTTTTCTATACCAAATGAATGTAGAAGTTGTAGTAAATCTTTAAAAAAATGTTGTTCTTTTACAGGCACTTTGACAGAGGCATCAATGACTGGCTGTGCAAGTGAGTGTTGAATTAAAATACATGGTTTGAAATGACAGAGCCTACTGTACACAGATGATGATTCTGACTTATAATTTTGCAGGTATGTTTACGACTATATCGGCGGGGATCACGATAAAATCTTCAAGGAGCTCCTGGCAACTATCTGCACCTTCGCCATCACCACCCTGTGGCTGGGTCCCTGTCAGCTGGTTTATATCTGGTCCTTCTTCAACTGCTTTGGTCTTAACTTTGAGCTGTGGGTTGCCAAGTTCTTCTCATTCCCTCCATTTTCCACCATAGAGGTAAACAAAACAAGCTCTGTTTTAGCTTCGTTGGTTCATTTTAACTTTGTTTAATTTAGGCTGTAATACATTTGTATTTAATGTATCCAGAATGCCATGGGTGAAGCCATGTCCCGCAGGATCAGAGGTATTTTCAATGCTGCCAACTTCTGGGCCATTGTCCTCTACAACGTCCTCGCTCTGAACAGTTTGGAGTTCGCCAAACTGGTGGCAAGACGTATGATTTTCAAAGGTAAGGGACAACAAAAGTGTATTGTAACTCCCAGGCTTCTCTGTCACATTTAGTTAAAGTAAGAAAAAGTCAGAGAGACTTCAAAAGCAACGAAATCCCTTGAGACTTCATCCTCCAGATATCAGATAACACAACAGCCCCTTTGTTGTTTTCTTTCATAAAGAATAAAAGAATCTTATTAGCAGAGGACAATGAACAAAGTCCTACTTTTCTGATCTTATTTCTCCTCCTTTTTGACTCTCACCCCCTATTTCTCTTCCTCTTTGTGTTTTTGTTCCAGGTTTCCCTCTGTCCACCCTCTCAGTCCTGCTGGTGACCTACTGTGGCGTGCAGCTGGTGAAGGAGAGAGAGAGGGAACAAGCCTTGCTGGAGGAGCCAGAGCCGGTAAAGCCTGTGGATGGAGGCAAAGAAAAAGCAGAATAAACAGACAGAAAATCTGACTTTCACAGATGTCATGGTCGACAACCCCCCTCACATTGCTCTATCCTCGGCCTTGGGAACCACACCAAAACCGGACTGCATCATCCAGTCTTTGTCTTTACCGTTCACATGCCTGTTTTTGCTTTTCTTTGTCAGAAGTGAGGCAATGTTTTGAACTGTGAAAAAATCCTCAAGTGCACTTGCTGTAGATAATCGCCACGTCCTTTGGCACAAACCCACCGAATGTGCATTTTGTATTTTATCTGAAGTAAAGGTTATTAAACAAAGAAACGCCTGCCATATATTAACAAGGCAAGAATCTAAAGTATATAAAGACATGCAATATTTTAAAGGAGCAGCTACTTTTCTCTGTGTGGTTGTTTCCTGTGATATATATATTTTTTTTTAATCTTTTTTTTTTTTTTTTTTAAATCATAATCATATGATTTTTTTCTCTGTCAGATTTTGTCTCAATTTTGCCTTACACACATTCACATTACACCCTGGTTATAATAATGTCAAACAGTACTGAAAGGGTTGAAAACTTGAAGAAACTTGAAGTTATGGTGCCACATATGAGTGTAATGGAGAATCAGACTAAGGGTGCTGTTAATTTGTATTTGTTGTACTTTTACTCAGTAATTATACAAGTCAAATGATGCAGCAGAGTCTATTTTAAATGTGATTAAGAATGTATCAGGTAGCTATGATTGTAAAAGATTTGAATGTTATCTATTTGTTCAGACAGCTTTATAGTACTGAAGAGGTTTACTGTCAGTGTGACATTTTGTCACATCGTTCTCCAACCTTATTTCGTGATCCAGGTCCATAGTCTCTGTGAAAGGCGATCGGCCCTGCAGGGAATGATCAGGGTCAGTCTTCTGCGGCCTGTCACTAAAACCTGCTCTGTGTCCTCACTTAGTGTACAAGGCAGAGAGAGGAGAGCCTGACAGAGAGTAATTTATCATTCACATAGAGGATTTTATCAGAGAATGATAATTTTAAATGTGTGGTTTAAAATCAAAGTTGGGTTCATCACTCAAAAACGGTAAAGTTAAGCTGAAAGTTCTGGTGACGAGGTCAAATGGATTTATTCTTGTAAGCTTGTCTGCATTAAAAACATTTTAACCATTTTATTTTGTTTAAATGGATGAAAAAGCTTTAACAAGTCAATAAACACTGTATTGGATTTCATTTGTATGTCAGTGAGAAATGGTTTTATTTTACCACTAGGTGGAGCTGTTTGACCAGAGCTGATCACCAACGATTCAAACATGCAGCTCTGAAGAAGGACGAAGACATTGAAAGACATGCTTTCACTCACAGCGACATCATTTTATAGTGACCAGTTAATCTAATAAACATGTCTTTACACTGAGGGAGGAAGCCGGAGAATCGAACCAGGCCTCTTGCGGTGGTGAAACAGTGCTTACCACTGTACCACCTTGTGGCCCCCACTTAAAATAGGGAAAGATAATTATAAAGCCCTTAAACCTACTCAGATTCCTCAGCCTTATATTTCTAATAGGCTTTAAAGATAGCAAGGAATTTTAATTAGATGTTATCTCCCTCCTACTTGACAGAATGCATATACATCACTAATTTAATAGACTCACTTCACCAAACAATAATAAAGAACTAGATCTATTTGGGTGTTTTTTACAAGACCCTCTACAGGGTCTTGTTGCATTCAGTTCAATAAGATAGACAATAACAGGGTCAAAACACTGCCGAAAACTTTGTCCATTTTATCCAGTGGCGTACTCAGAGGGGGGCCAAGGGGGTGATTGCCCTCAGTGCCATTATGTCTGATAAAAATGGCACCTTCTTGGATGCATTTTAGTATCCATGTAGGTACCTCTGTTGTGTAAAAAGCATAATTTGAGCCATTTTTTATTGGCATAGCTGATATTTTGACTAAGCTTGTCTGTGAGGAACTTATTTTTTGTATCAAATTTAGCGCCCCCTGTGGACAAAGCAGTCTCACTCTTAGCTCTTAGCTCTCCTCTACATACTTTGACAATGTCCTGCTGACTTTGACAGCCAAATGTAACAATTTTTGTGAATATTTAATGTGAAAATTGTAAAAAAAATAAAAAAAAAAAGGCTTTCACCTACCCATTTGCACTGGATTCAGGCATTAAAAAAACAATAATATAAAATTTATAATATAAATGGTGGTATTGCTAATTTTTGGGTATTTTAAAAAGGCTGAAATTTGAAATTCTGTCTGTTTCCTATAAGTAAAAATAAGCTTGAAGTTTAACACAATGGAAAAGTTTTTATTAATTTAATATTACTTAACTGGACAGGATGCTTTAATTTGATTTTGTGTATGTGTATACAATACACGTTTTAGTTTTACAATGATCAATTGACAAATACCAGATAATCTCAGTAAAATTAAGCCTTGTGCAGAAAGCAAGAGTGACTCTGTTTAGCCTTTAAAAAGCACTTAGACAACCTACAACATCCTCATGATTACAGAGTGCAGAGCTCACTAAATTGTAAACAAGTGAGGGCAGAGAGGCGCCCTTTTCACTCTTATACTTTACCCCTGAGCCTCAAACACACAAACTTACTTTAACTGCTGTTAAAGGTCTATTGATTCTATGTGCATTTGTTTGTTATCAGTCTGTAATTTCAGCATCACTCTAAGAGGGCAGTGACCTGATCTGCCGGTTCATACACATTAACAGATGTTCTTTATTATTTATCAGCAGGTGACTCTCTCTTTGTAACCTCATTGCTCCTTCAGTGGGTCACCAAAAACAAAGTTCTCTACTTCTAAAAGGCCCAATAGGTACAATAGTTTTAGCTCACTTTGGAGGGCTGTAAAGTTTCAGAACAGAAACAATATTCAGATAAAGAGTAGAGTATTTATTATGAAATACATTAATATAAAACTCAAAAGGGTTACAGTAATCAAAAATTATTCCAATCCCATCCCATATATTCATTATTATTCAATTTGTTTGATGTGACTGAATAAGAATTTTCCTCCAAAGTCTGTCCTTTTCTTTATTTGACACTGAAATAACCATTAAATTTAAATTTACAGGAATTTGGTCACATCTTAGAAACAAAGTGTAAATATTTGATTGACAGTATTTTAAAGCTCATGTAAAGAAATGTTTGTTTCTGTTGATTTTGGGGCCCCCTTTGGGCAAAACCCTGCCCCATCTGCAGGATATGGATATTTGCTTTTCAAAAGGCTGTTGTTTCACCATTCTGTGTACCATCTCATCTGATGCTTACTTCTTTACAGTGGTTTCAGGCCATAGACTGTGTATACTCTATATACCATATACACTCTATGTTTCAGACATTATGATTAACGATACATGGTCAGTTTTGTTGTAGATGGTCTTACTTTCTTTGGTAAGTCATGTAGAGATTTCAATGTTGATTTTATCTAATTAATGACAAGAAAAAAAACTCAGGGGCTTGAAGAGTAATGAATAAAAAAGGGACAACTTTTGTTTGTATGATACTTGAGTTCATCCAACTATGTGTCATAGTTTTTGTATCTTTGACTTTTACTCATGGCAGTTTGTGGCAGTTTTGTCAATCACTGTGGAATTAATACATGTTATGTGTAACAGGTAATAATGCCATCTTCAAATAATTAAACAAGATTCCTCAATCATGCAAGACTGAATAATATACACATACATATTATGTATGGTGAGCAAGTGGTTATGGGAATTAAAATCCACCCTAACACACAGCAAGCCACATAAAATATGAATCTGTGGATGATTTCATCCATTTCAAATACTGATTTATGTAAACAGCTTTATTAAAACATCTAGAGCATTTGTAAGGCAATGGATTCTAATTAGCCCCCGAATGAGCATTAGAGTTATTTTGACATCTGTGAAACAGGCTGAAATTCATACTGATGCATTTTCATATCCAAAAGTAATCAAGACCACTTTGGACAGGACTGACATTTTTTTACGTAATAATTTTTGATGTCTTGAGAGGGTAGGTGTCAGCTGAGCAGCTGAAGAAACATCCCTGTTTTTGGAATGTCCACCTGAAATACTTAAAATTAAAGACACATCTGACCGTGAAATGTCAGCAGGATGAAATTTTTGGTCAAAGGTGTTTACTTATGTACACAGAGGACGAGATAAGCAGAGACTGATATAACCCTAGCCTGGCTGGGCCATCCTGTTGCGTGAATCACTTGCCGTTCCTTCCCACAAGAGTCTGGACTTCGGCCCATTGGGAGCGTGTATTCCCGGTCAGAAAATAACCGGGCCAATCAGAGACCGTGTTTCCACTGTTTCAAAGCACTGTTCATTCAGAACGCCATTGATTCTGCAGTTGACTTTGCAAAGTCGACAGAAATCCTTTATATTCTGCCAACTTTGCAAAGTCAACTGCAGAATTAACGGCGTTCTGAATGAACGGCGCTTTGAAAAGTCCCGCAGCATGTGTTAGACGTCACCATCTACACATGGACCAATCAGGGGCTGCCTTTCCCTGTTGTCTGGGTAACAGTGGAAACACAGTCAGTGATTGGCCCGGTTATTTTCTGATCGGGAATACACGCTCCCAATGGGCCGAAGTCCAGACTGTTGTGGGAAGGAACGGCAAGTGATTCATGCAACAGGATGGCCCAGCCAGGCTAATATAGCCCCAGCGGTCACCAAAGTTAACAACAACGAAAAGTTCCTCACAGAAGCTTTAAACAGAAGATTACTCATTGAAATATACTCTGGATTTTTCCTCTCATTCAGCTCCGAGATTCCCTAAACTTGGTGTGACACATCTTTCCACATAAATGAAGGAAAAGCCACAACTCTTAACACCATAGCTGGTATTAATCTGTGGTTTAAGTAGCATTGTTGTGATCTGACTGTGAAACTAAGAGATGCACTCACTAGCTCTGCCACTGTTCTTATGTTAATGTTACATTGGAATTGAAGTTTTCAATGATTCCCTATTTTTAATGAAAGTTTGAGCCTTTTTATGATAAAAAAGGAACTGATTTTATCTGCTAATTATACACATTAACAAACACTAGCATCAAGTGAGGAGGTATTTAAACTAAAGTGTGTCACCTGCTTTGTTTATAACCTGGGGGGAGATCATGTAGACAGTGTGATTAAACATTAAAGTGAGGTGTTGTGCTGCCCTTTTGCTTTCTGTCCTTCCCTAAAACATGAGTTTGTGTCTATTCCTGGTGTCAGAGGAGATTAATGATGTAACATGTTTGTCTTCCTGGAACTACAGTTACCGTTAACTGTGAATACAGTCCATTACTGCGGCTGATGTACATACAGTATGACTAAACTGCGTCAACGTCATTGAAGCCAATGAAGCACTTGGATTATTCAAGTTAGTACAGGGTCACAACATGGAAGAAGTGTGTTGAAATATCAGAATAAAGCTGCCTATTGAGACATCCAGCTGAATTTAACGTAGTACTGTCAGCCCCCTGCTTAGTCATTCAGCTGTTTGTGGGGGGATGCCTGCTGCAGTCAGTACCCACCAAAATGGATTCTTCCTCTCCGTGAGAGTCGTATCTATAAATACCTCTGACTTACACAGTGACAGACAGCCTTGGACAGCTGCAGCCTCCAGCCAGCCAACCAGTGAAGACCATCCCCGGCCATCTGAGCCTCTCTGTGAGCTCTGACAGACCTGCGCTGTAGTGGGGAGTAGTAAGAAGGGAGCCCACAAAACCCAACCAGGACCAGGCGACAGAACAAAATGGCTGCCCTTACAATAGACCCAGTGGAGCAGCCTCGGATGTACCAACAGACTCTGCTCCAGGACGGACTGTGTGACCTCTTGGAAAATGAAAAGTTTGTGGACTGTGTGCTCAAAATCCAGGATAAGGAGTTCCCCTGTCATCGCCTGGTTCTGGCAGCCAGCAGCCCGTTCTTCAAGGCTATGTTCCTGTCTGATCTGGAGGAGAGCAAGAAGAAGGAGATCACCCTCAAAGATGTAGAACCAGGAGTGATGGGGATGATCTTGCGTTACTTATACACCTCTGACATTAATCTAACAGAGCAGAACGTGCAGGACATCTTTATGGTTGCTAACATGTACCAGATCCCATCCATCTTTTCTGTGTGTGTAACCTACCTCCAGGAGAAGCTGGTTCTGGGGAACTGCTTGGCAATCTTCAGACTGGGACTTCTCCTGGATTGTCCCCGTCTTGCTTTGGCTGCTCGGGACTTCATCTGTGAACGCTTCCAGGTTGTTGTCAGGGACCAGGACTTCCTCCAGCTGGGCCCAAGTGAGCTGGCCATCATCATCACCTCAGATGCCCTCAATGTAGAGCAAGAGGAGCAGGTGTTTGAGTCCCTGATGGAGTGGATCAAACACGATGAGACAAACCGAGTCAAGGACCTGCCAGAGCTGCTGCACTGTGTCCGCTTCAGACTCATACCTCCTGATTACTTCAAAGAGAAAGTGGAACGGCATCAATACATTCGCTTCAGCCAGGAGCTCAAGAAGGATCTGGATCTTGTCAAGGATGCTCACAAAGGGCGTCTCCCAAAACCCAAGAAGCCCAGCAAAGATGAGGCTAAAGGTGGAGAGGAAGAGGATGATGAGGAGGAGGAGGGGTACCTGCCGGGGATTCTCAACAACAACCCTCGCTTTGGGATGTTTGAAATAGACCTGATACTGATGATCAGTGACACAGGGACTGTGGCCTATGACCCAGTAGGGAATGAATGCTTTGTGGCGTCACAGTCAACAGAGATTCCCAAGACCCACTGCAGCCTGGTGACCCAGCAGAACCAGGTGTTTGTGGTTGGAGGTCTTATCTACAATGAGGAGAACAAAGATGAACCCTTCAGCTCATACTTCCTACAGGTACAATCAAAGAAAACCATGACACTGCTGAATTTATTCTCAGTCCTGGGATAAAGAGTTCAAAGTGTTAAAATGTGATTGTTTCCTTCCTTCCTCAGTTTGACCCTGTGACCTCAGAGTGGCTGGGGATGCCTTCACAGCCAAGCCCGCGCTGTCTGTTTGGTCTCGCTGAAGCCGAAAACTCCATCTTTATTGTTGGAGGAAAGGAGCTGAAAGAAGGAGAGCACGTCCTGGACTCTGTCATGATCTACGACAGACAGTAAGAACAAAATGAGAAACAAAATACACCAACTATTATTCAGGATCATTACCTGAGTGATAGATAGGAATAGGAATATGAAAAAGGAAGTTTGTTCTGCTCATAAATTCTTTCGACTTCTCATCAAATCATCTTTTTAAAGACTCAAAGTGTCAGCAATTTTTCCATTCAGTTATTTGAGTGTAAAACCATCTCTTGTTGTCTTGTCACATGAAAGTGTAGATAACAAAACATATCAAAATGTGATGGAAATCAAACTCATGTTTGGTTTTGCAACAATACTGCCAATGGACTGTACTCTTACATCAGCCATCTTCTTCTGTTGCACATGATGTTTTTGTTTCAGGTCATACTCAATTTTTCCAATTCACTGTGGGTATCTCAAAACTCCCGATAGCTAGCCAGCACAATCTAGTTGCTTTTATGTTTAGTCTTTGTTTTTAATATTTGGGAATTAGTTTGTCACTTGTTGAATTATTTGAATGAAATTGCTGCTTCACAAGTAAGACCTTAGTATGAGGCTTAGTATGGTGAAGGTCCTGGTTCAAAGAGTGACCCTGTTTACAGGCAACTTTGTTAGAATGGTCAATTAACTGTGTTCCCAAATTATCATTTTTTAAATGATTTAATTTACCCAATTCTGAACATCTGTTCTTTTTAAGTAAATAACTATTATCACTAAAATTGCAGGACTTCGTTTTGCCTATAACTTGGCTTGTCTTGATCTTCCCAAAACCAAAACGGGTCTAAGTTTCATGAGTCTCTATAATGACCCTCTGAACCTATAGGGTTAAGTTGTGATTGTATTCCCTCTTTTTTTCCACGCAGGTCGTTTAAATGGGGAGAGTCAGACCCTTTGCCGTATGAAGTTTATGGACATGGAACAGTTTCACACAAAGGCCTCGTCTATGTGATTGGAGGAAAGTCTAAAAGCAAGTATGTTTCCTTCTCTGTGTTGTTTACAACCTGTCTGTCATTTTACCACTTGACTCTTCAGGAAGGCATTTCAATAATGTTTCTTAGTTAGACTATTTGTCATGCACTACAGCAACCAAAACCTTTAAGTTACTTTTGTAGGTCTGAGTTTGCTTCATTACTCATGTTAGGGTCTACATTAAACTCTGTGTTCTCTCTGTGATCATTCAAGTTCATTTGTGTTTCAAACAGGAAATGCATGAGGAGAGTGTGTGTCTACAACCCCACTAAGTTTGAGTGGACGGACCTGGCTCCTCTGAAGACAGCCCGCTCTCTGTTTGGTATCACAGTCCATGAAGATCAGATTTTTGTGGTGGCAGGTGTCACAGACTCAGGCCTCACTTGCTCTGCGGAGGTCTATGACATTGCCACCAACAAGTGAGTCAACAGTTTTTATATGACCCACTTTACGTTGGTGTAATGAGGTGAAGCATCTGTCCACAGTAGTCAAATGACTCACGGAGAGTGAAAATCAGATCATCAGGTCATAAAACGACTCTCACTGTTCCACTGTCATTGCTTTTGGATGTGTGTGTGTTCGTGTCTGTGTGTGTGTGTGTGTGTGTGTGTGTGTGTGTGTGTGTGTGTGTGTGTGTGTGTGTGTGTGTGTGTCTGTGTGTCTGTGTGTCTGTGTGTCTTTGTGTGTGTGGTTATTGTTCCGTTGTACTCCAGGTGGTCAGAGTTCACAGAGTTCCCTCAGGAGCGCAGCTCTCTCAGTGTGATTTCTATGGGAGGTTTCCTGTTCGCTCTCGGGGGCTTTGCCATGATGCCCACTGAGACCAGCGAGGAGCCCGTCCCCACAGAGATGACTGACATCTGGAGGTACAACCACCCTCATTCACTCAAGAAACATCTTTTGGGCAATATATGATCAAAGTAGCTGAATTAAGTGTTGTTTTTTCTTGGTGAGATTTTATCAAACAGTTTTGATAACTCTTCCCCCATGATTGCACCGGTGACACATTTTGGAGTAAATATTTTAAAGCTTCTTTGAATGAAGCAGTCTTTGCTTATCTTGTCCTCTAAATGCTTAAAATATGTCCTCTGAAAGAAAAAAAAAACTCATCACACTGACTATTAACAGTCAGGTGTCCAAATATTTGATGTGGAAATTGTAAAAAAAAGTCAGTTTCTGTAGCTACCCATTCATACCAATTTCAGGCGCTAAAAAGAACTATAGAAAAACTGTTAATCTTGTTTGCTTTTATATGACATAAAAAGGAATTAAAATGAATTTTAGTCAGTCTACAAATTAAAAAAAAAAAAACTCAAACGAGATAATCTCAAACCAAACTTACATCCCAGTAAACAAAATAAAATGCCCACACAATTTTCTCCCTATCTTCAAGAGCACTTTTTTTTTTTTTAAAGTTTTGTTTTAGTTACAGATCTGTAAATGTTGACCAGTGTTTCCTACATCAACCACAGTCTAAAATAGGAAGTCCCTCTGTGTCATAGGGCTCCATAGGTGCTCCTTTCATGCTCACTTGAACACCAAATGTGTGTGAACCAGCTGCTGAAACTGAAAGACCCACATACATGTTCATGTTTGAGATTATTCTTAGAAACCACTGTGATCAAATATCAGAGGAAATGAGAAAGCATCCTTGAACTTTAAGATAAGATAAACTCTATTCATCCCACTGTGGGAAATTTGCAATGTTAACAGCAGCACAGGATCAGCACAGCAACCATAAAAGTATAACCCTAATTTTTTTAGTGATTGTTTTCCTGTTTTGAATATTTAGTGCGTAATTGGGAACAAATGATCAAGTATAAACACTGAGTTTGTTATTTTATGCATTCATGTGCAATGTTAGTTATGCCTTTTGTGAGTTTGTTGTCAATAAAAAATACAGCTGAACACAGGACTAATAATGTTTTACAGTAACGGCAGCCATCAAGTTAAAGGTGCAGTGTGTAATTTTTAGCTGCATTTAACAGAAGAGACTCTGTAGAAATGAAACATAATATTTGTAAATTATCTTGAATTAGAGAAGAACTACTTGAGTATATCATTCTCTGTGTTTGTTGAATAAGTCTTTTATATCTACATTGAAAAAAACTGGGTGAAATACATGTTTGGAAGGTGAGGAAGATGAGAGCAGTTGTTGTGTGTAAAAGGACTTGTGCTGATAATTACTTTTAATAGGAAAAACATAACAAATGGAGGATCATATTATGTTTTATGGAGGCTTCATGTCCTTTAAGGCCACCATAGCCTCACAGATGTGAGGGTTGAGCAAGGGAGCTGACCACTAGATATTTTAAAATAATCCCACCTCTACACACGGTACCTTTTACATGTCGTGTTTTAGGATGATAGTTTGCACATGGTTACTTGTTATACATTACAGCAGGATTTAACTGCTATAAAAGTCAAACCTGCCCTGCTATAAAAACTCTTTCGATATGTAGTGACTAATTCTCTAGTTGTTCAAAGTCAGACTAGTAAACTAATCTGCCATGTCAACTTTTGTTTGCCAAGTGTGTAAAATTGCATGGCTAGCAGCACCACCATTAGGGTTTTTACAAATATCCACGTGTATGTCCTGGTTATACGTTGTCCTGGTTGAGGGTACACACATCTTTATCTCCATTACCTTGATCAAAATACTACCAAACTACACCACACTACAGTATGCTAGCTGTCATTTGTGCTTGTTTACATCTTTCTAGTAGAACATTTAGCATAACAGCAGTACTCTATAACCAGTGGCTGCAGCTAAGACACAACATATGACTTTCATGCCAAATGGTGATTCTAATGCAGACTCACAGAGGTGACAACATTTAGTTTATTTAACGTGCACATCTCTGTTATGTATACAAAAATAATTTGCTGTTTAAGCCCTTATAATGAAAAATAATCCCATTGAAAAGCAATGAGATTGTTTTTACTGTATTCAACCACATGGACCACTAAAAACTAAAACGTAGTTTTCTTTCAGGTACGATGAATCAGAAATGAGCTGGAACGGGATTTTGCGAGAGATAAGCTACGCTGAGGGATCCACTGTTCTTCCAGTGCGACTCAACACTCTGCGTCTCACCAAGTTATAACTGAACTGACACTGTGAAGTATTTGATGATACATGAGAAAGAAATGAATGAGAATGGAGAAATCTGTTACGGTGATTGGGCCAAAATATTGGCTGATGTAGCGAATCAATTCAGAGTGCGAGCTGGATTTGGACTGTGGAGATATAGAAAGAGTTGGGAAACAAGATTTAAATTGTTGTATCTTTACATCTCAGCAGAGGGAGACATGTTTGTGCTGAGTTGTGAGAGCAGAGCTGAATGATGAGTAAAAATTTCACTCCAAATGTATTTAATGAAAAGCTAAGCTGTTCATTTGTAAATTTGTCTTTTCTTATAATGTTTCATAATTATTCTTTAATGCTGCATTTCTTTATTTATTGCAGAAATAAAGACAAGGTTTGAATTTAATCCTTTTGAGTGACGAGTTTCTCTTTAAGTCAGAAATAGAGAAAAACTGTTCACAGTGCAGAGTTTTATTAATCATCATTAGACATTTTGTTCAATAACATCTTTACAGCTGATTCCACATTGAGGACAATAAAACATATTTACAAAAAAAATTTACAGAACAAATAAAGGAACTTGATTGACATTATGCAAAAAGCACGAGTGAAAGATGTACAGTTTTACATGTAAACATCCATTTTCCACTTGAAACCTGAGCACGATAAGTCAACGCCACAAAAGGACATCATATTTACAGTTATCGACCATTTACAAAGGCCGAGCGCAATCGTGAGTCTGAGGTACTTTCACTTTTCACATCAGGTTTACACAAACTGGAACTACAAAGAAGGAAATGACATAAACATCAAACTTGAACATTTTAAAATTACAATTCTGAGTAGGGGAGTAAAAATAAGTGCTTTAAATGTAATACCAGGCAAGACACAACCATCATAAGTGACTAAGTGAATAAATGAGAAATGCTCTGGCGTATGGACAGGAGCTCAGGAATAAAATGTATTGTGGCATCTTAACTTGTACAATAGCAGACCTCCCCAGCTCATGGCATGATGCATACAGATGAAATTAGCAGGTTTTCTAAGTGGTAAAAGAGAAAGAAAAATCCTACTAAAAAGACTGTTGGTGTCAGTAAAACATGTTTGTCAAATGTCGTTGGATTCTATTAATGATGGAATTGCGAACATAGATAACACAGCTTGGACAATAAACACATGATTGATGAAGTCACACATTATAGAGAAGTTGTGCATTTCTAGGGTGACAATATGTCTCTGTTTGAAAGGTTTTTGTCCTGATTTCAAGCTCCAGGTCCAGAGCAATCCAAATCCCAGTTTTACTGAAAAACTAAAGCAATGCACCATGTTTGCAAGACTGATGATGTCAATCAACGCCATTGCTAACATGTTGCCTTTTAAACCATTAAACAACAAACATTAAACTGCTAATTAAAGTTCAAGACTGATTTGTCTGTACATGTGTCAGTCAACCTTGGCGTGGAGCTTATCCCGACAGACCCTACCATGTTACTTCAGGTTAGACTGGCTGTCATTTCTGGGTTGAAGTCAGCATTCTCCAAGAGAATCACAGCTTCCTTAAAGACATACAAAGCCAATAGATAAACAATCTGAGAGCCTCTGGACTATGACATAACCATGCTGTTACAGTATTTGCAGATTCCCTTTTTGCAGCTGTTGACGCAGCATCCAAGATTTCCAGAAAAAAAGTCTAATTTGATGCTTCAGGCCACAAAACAACTTTGTCCCAGTCCATCTTAAATGGACTCATCCCACAGAAAGAAATCGCTTGTCCAGATTCTGTTTGTTGATAATATTCCAGTAAATAAATAAATTAAGATTGATTGATTGTTAGATATGGGGTTGGCTCTTATCATGGTACAGTTTTAATTTGTATCAGTGTATGCAACAGTGAACTATGCTCATGAGTAATGTGTTTTGTGATTGAGCTTATGCGGCAATTTTTGTAGAGAGCCATGTTTGTAATGCAGTGCTGCCTGAGGGACAGGATACCACAGCCATCCAGTCCTGGTTTTGGGCCTTGTGTCTTTTGTGAAGAGATTTCTCCAGATTCTCTGAATCTTGAAATGATATGCTGTACTGTGTATGATGATACCCCTAAATTATTTAATCTGAAATAGTTGAAGTATTTGCTCACAAAGGCTTCAATAGAGTGGGAGACCCTCCTCCGTTTTTACCACTGAAAGGTTCAGCCTCTCTGGACTGCTTTTGTTTTATACCCAGTCATGTTACTAACCAGCCTGCTGCTGCAAATTCAATTTAACTGGGATGTGTTCTAAAAGATTTTCCGTTTGCTGGGCCTCTTGGCATCATGTTAAAAAGTGCATGGATAAAAAGAATAGTTGTACCATGAGCGCATACATTGGTGATTATGGCCAAGTTAAATTGTGCATATTTGGAGGTTTGGAAATACAGCTACTTTAAGCTAACCTCAGTAACTTCTACTTTAAAGAAGTAAGGTTCTACAGGCAGGCTGGTGTCCATGTCAGGCAGTGCTTTGAGTTTAATACTTGCATGCTGGAGTGCTAACAATGGCATTACTAACGCATTGACGGTTTGAAAATGTAAGTTGTTCATATTAGCAATGTTGGACATGCATGTTAGCATGAATTCAAAACAAAGTGAAGTAGATCAGCTAAGGCTGAGGGGAGTGTCACCAGTTCTGCATTAAGTTAGTTATAACTCGAAGGAAAAAAATGAAATTTTAAAAGTGAGGACATTATAATAATGATTCCAAGTCGAGAAAATAACATCTGTCTGGTAGTTGTAGGGGGTTTCACTCAAAACCTCAAATGCCACTGCTGAGGCAGCATTAGAGGAAAAGTCAGGGGAGTCATAAGGTGATGAGGCCTCATCTACTGGGAATAATAAACTTCTTTAAAAAAGTCCCATCAGTTTGTAAATAATGACATGTTTGAGTGGAAAATTTGACCTACTGCTTGAGGAAAAGGAAAAGTCAAGGGGTCAGTAAGATTAATCCTCTGGGGTCTATATATGCCTCCAAAAACTGATGGTGATCCATCAGAGGATTTTTGAGATATTTCAGTCTTAAGTGAAGTGGTGTGGTCTGTTCAGGGGCAACAACTGCTATCATGGCTCACAACCAGCATGGTTCAATCATACATGAAACTGTTCTCTGAATGTAGAAAAAGGATATAACGAAGAAAACAAACATTGCAATTAAATGAATCGTGCATGCAATCCAGTTCATCGAAAATAATCTCTGTTGACACATTTATTCACACGTTGTGTGCTACAGACAAACAAAGAAACAAATCTGCTCTATTAGCTGCAGGAGTAGCAAAGAAAAACATCTGCACAAGACAAAACTAAAAGCTTCTGTAATCTGAGATAAATTTCACAAGCAGGAGCTTTAGTGTCTCCTCTGGAATGTGATCCTTCAGTAATTCAGCTGAGTGTTTGCTCCGTATAAAACCGTCACGGTCAGGGGAGGAACATCCAGTGTGTGGGTTATACTATAGATCCCTCCTCAGTGGCTTTACTGATCATGAAAGCATGACAGTGTCATTAATGCTGCTCCTGCCGGTCCCCTCAGCAACGTGAGCCATTAGGTTAAGTGCTCTGGGTTCTCTTGTGTAACACACCTTTTTGATAAACATCTTCCCCTTATAGGGCACAGCTCGCCTCTCATTCTATCCATCTACAGCTCCACATCAGATGGCAAACACCGGCTCAAGCTCCATTTCCAGGGCGGTCATGAAGGTCTTTCTCTCAGCTGTTTTCAGAAGGCTAATTTCCAACACAGCAGCTGCTTCAGGTCCCTCATCATGTGATCCAAACAAAGCTTTACAAACTGCTCACTTATGTATCAGCACTGAATGTTCAACACAGAACAAGAACAGTCTTTTCTGATGACTAGTTTTTGAGTTTCTTTAGCATTAACTATTGGTATTAACTTAAATATGAACCCAGTTTCTGATCAGGTCCTGCATTTTGAAAGTGGTTTCTGATGCCTTTCCACCCTGGCAAGAAAACCTTGAAGAGTCAAATTGACTTTCAGTAACCAGAATTAACTTCAGTCAAGCAGAAGGTTTGAGCCATGCTTTCAGTAAATTATAATAAAAATAAAAATTTGAGTCAACTTTTCAGATGGTTTCAGATGGCAGAGAGGTGCTCCTGACACTCAGACGACCGCTGTGTTGTTGGGCTGCATTTTGTCAACATGGTGATCTGGGTGCTGAAGTTGTTGCCGTTGCTGCCGATAGAGGGCTGTTGGTACTTTGGACCAGCACCCAAGAACCTCTGTAGCATCCATCGGCGCCACTTTCGCTTGATCTCTGCCTGTACCTGAAGGAGGGAACAAGAAATGTGGTAAACAGGATTAGGGGGGGGAGCGTTAGGAAAGGAAATGACACAGAAACAGGGGCAGAAAATTAGATTTCATAGCATAAAAGGGTGGTAAACATCTTAAATAGATACACTCACCTCTCCGTTTAGAAAGCAGTACAAGACTGCAACAAAAAAACCCTGAAAAGAGAAAGAAAGTCGATAAAATATCTGTCCCTGCTGAACAGAAATACCACTATGATGTGATCGTGCTGCTGGGGAAACACTCAAAATGCTTGAGTCTGAGTAATGATGGTAAGATTATGACCAACTTCAGACTCAGACAGGAGGTTCATCATGTAGATCTCTGGGAAATTTTCCCAGAAGGAATCATACAGAGTTAAGATGGTTATAAATTAAAAAAGTACTTTCCATCTCCAGAATTCAGCCATTACATTAGGCTCTTAGTGCTCACATCCAATTTCATAGTCAGTAAATCAGCAACATGTTGGATAAACAAACAATTATTTTATTTTTTCAGGAGGAACTGTCTTAACTTGCCGAGCTGTAACTTTCTGACTGAACCGAGTCAAAGAGCTGCTTTCTATCTTGTCCTATAGTCAGCTAATCAGGAGTGCTAAATCATTTCATTCAAGATGTTGTGATTCTTCTGTCAAGTATTTGGAAGCTTTTAAAGTTGTTGGCAAGCTGCTTAACACTTCAGGGTTTATAAACCCAAAGTGTTTTGCCTGTGTAAATAGCAAATGACCTTGCACCCACGTTTAATAAGACAGAATGAAGCATGCTTTTCTTTGCTCTCTACACACAAGCAGAGATGCACGGCCATGCTCACGCTCATAATACAGCATCTGCATTTTGCTGTTGCAGTGAAATTGTGTGTTTTACTAGGTCAGAGGGCTTGTAGATACAAGTCATTTCCCCTTGTCACCATACATTATGATACGGCAGCAGTGTTATCTCCTCATATCATCAGGCCTGTGTGGCTGAAAGTACGACCTAAGATTTCACTGAGCTTCATTGTGCAAACTCTTTCAATTACATGCAGAAACCAACACAAACTCACACACATACATTCACATACGACGAAAAGGTATTCTTTTTACGTTCCTCAAACATAAGTCTCATTGCTCTCACTGACCAGTGTGCTCTCAGATACTGATAAATGATGGATAGGCACATCCATGACACATGCAACAGCAATGTGATCCAGCAGCAAATCAAGTCAATAAAAGCCTACTTTTCTTTGATGGTAAGTGTACAGGATATAAATCATCATCCATTAATACATGACTCAACATAACTCATACAACCTGTGAGCATTTTCTGCATTTTGAGGGGTGCAGTAGAAATAGTGGAGTTAGACATGCCAACTGGTCCATCAAAGTAAAAAGGCTGGAATTCATGGAATCAAATACAGATTGTTCTGATTCATGTTATGCCTGAAACATTACCATGAATAATCCAGAGACTTAAAGACCCACTCTAATGAAAATCATGTTTTTCTTGTTGTCTGCATGTTTATATGCCATTTTTTCTGATTCTAGAGGAAATAGAAGAGAAAAAGAACAATTTCTACATCCAAATTGCTGTGAATCTCTGGCAGACCCAAACTGCGGGTTCAGACCATAGACTGTATATACGATGGACAACTTGGTTCTGCCTTCCGCCTGTATACGGATTTGAAGCCAAAAAGCTCTCGGTATTTCCGTGATTTTTCTTCATTTCCTGAAACCAGCGCTGCGCAGTAGCGATGCACGCATTCGGCCGCGCAGTCGCCGAGAGTCACTGTGATGACGCTCAGCTCAAACAGCGTATCCCCCCGGGTGAGCTACGCAATCCCTGAACGCCCATAGGCTGTATCAAGTGTCAATCATAGACAACATGAACCCCTAATAACTTTTAAAAACAGAGCTGTACAGAAAAAAGTGGACTTGAGCACAAACTAGTCTTACAGTAACTACATGTCAACATCACAGGCAGGGGGGAGAAAAATTTATGTTCTGTGTAATAAATTTCTAAAGTTTGTCCACAGCTCCATAAGCTTTGCTGGCGGAAGCGGGATTTATGACCTATACTGCAGCCCGTCAACAGAGGGTGCTGTTCTCGGAGTGGCTTCACCCAGCGAGAAGGCAGACTCTGTCCATTCTTTATACAGTCTATGGTTCAGACACAGTGAGATTTTCTACACCACATGTCCGTGCTCTACCCCCTGGAGCCCCGCTGTGCAGGCCAGACTTCAAGAAGTATAGAGGACGATCGCTGAACAAGCGCGTGCGTTAGCGGATTGCAGTGCTTATAAGAAAGCTAAATATGATATTAACTTTCATCATGTCCCTAAAGACATTAGTGTCCAAGAGCTGAATAGCTCCTAGGTTATCTGCCACTTCTACTACACCGACAATTTTAGACTGCAAGCTAACATGAAGAGAAGTGTGCAGAGCAGCGCTGTCTCTGCCAACGACTCAGAGGCAAACCGCTAGTGAACTACTAGAGCTCTGCAGAAGAAAAGCCCTTGTAAATGATACATGTAATGTGATTTTAGCGAAAAACTTTATAATCACAATTTAAAGACCACTGATAACACCTCAAGTAGTAAAAACAAAAACGATCAGAGTGGGACTGTAATAGATCTTTTTTTGCACTTCATGTCTCTGTGTCTATTAAGAACCCAGATTGTGCGCCACAGATTCATCCCAATTCAGTCTGCACCATACACTACAGAACATACACATTAGACTGTTTACACAGGGCTCCGTTTAAACACTTGTGCTGTTTAGCTATGTTACCTGAAATGACCCCAGAATAAGATCGAACACCATCCTCACGTGCGGGTGAATGTGGTCAGGGATGAAGGCAAAGATGATGTAGTTTATCCCAAAAAGAGGTATCAACAACAGAGTGGATTTAGCCAGTCTCCTGAGAAAGTGTCATGAGAAAAAAAAAAGAAAAAAACTCGTGTCAATCATTACAAAAAAATGCTTTTCTCAAGGTTGTTTTTTTCCACTGAGTTCAGATTTTTCTTCACTGTTGTAATACCACGAATAAAGTCATCAATGTGACACTCTTCTCTGATAACCTACGAGTACTGATTGGATTCCTTTCTCCCGATGTCGGGGCAATTCATCTTCTGTCGCAAAATCCGGATTATGCAGGTGAAGAGGATGAAGTTAACCTGCCAGGGTGCAGAGGATTAAAATCCTTGTTTATGTAATTACATTATGCAGATATGTTTATAGAATAAGGCTCATAAAACGGTGTCGTGACTCACGAGTATGGTGAATAAAATGGGTGTTTTGATGATCCACCATGGCTTGTCATCAATTATTTCCCAGCAGCTGTCAGAAGAGATTAGAGTGTGAATACAACAAATTCTTTAGAAATCAATTCAACATTTAAGCTGGAAAACCTTTTGCTACAAACACATAGAGCATCAACTACAAGAACATTAAAGGTGAAAAAAAGGTTAGAAATGAAGAGGCTGATTTGCCAAGACATGTAAAAGATAAGTTATCTTATCAAAAGCTCTCCTGTCTATGTAGACTCATGAGCAAAATACACTGTACAGTTTAGTAACTAAAACATGGTAGCTTTATAATCATCAAGTTTATCTTCTTCTCTAAGGGAAGATCAGATGAGTTGATTGATAAATTGGATGTTGAAAAGAAAAGGCGAATGAGGTGAGGGGACTAGGACTCAGGCAACCTGGTGTAGAGGTAACACAGGGACATATGAATAAAAATTTAGAGAGTATAGTGGCAAAGACAAAGGAGCTGAGGAAACAGAGTGCAAAGAAAACAAAAGTGACCAAACCAAGGACTCAGGAAATATGGCAAGGGAACATAGGAGCTGCAGGAACACAAAGCTGAGGGAACAAAATGTGAGGGAACAAGGACTAAGGCTACAAAATTACAATGGAACATAAAGGGAGGGTGTGTAGAAACTTATAGGACTTTGATAACATAAGCATAAGCATAACATGCACATTTTGGTATTTTGGTGAGCGGCACAGCCCGGCGTAAGTATCCCCCCTCCCTAACCTGTTTTCGCCAATCAGATGAGCTCCTCTCCTCACCTTTAAATCCGCCACCAGCGAGGCATATTACAATTTTAGTGAAGTAGTTAAAGAGATCAAGAGATGTCTGAAGACAGTTATGCCACACGATGGCAACAGAAGGCAGCCCCTCAACAAGTGTCGCTGTAAGCGCTGCAGAGGGCGTCCTTCACACGGTCTCATATAAGCACAGATGGATCTGGTGTGTTTAATGTAAAATACCACTACGTGGGTCCGCCATCCTCCGCCGTGCCGTCGGCAGGCACGAAAATAGAGCCCCATGTTTTAATGTCTATTAAATTATACAGTACACTTATTTTCCTTGCATCTCTCTTCTCTGGTGGGAGGGACTAAGAAGCAAGTGAACAATGCAAGTAGGGGTTACAGAGATGAAATTTAAAGGCTTTGGTAGGTGCAAACAGAGTGAAGAAACATGGCACTTAAAGAACATAGGACAAGGTGTGAGGAACACGGGGATCTAGTAATAAGAGGCTGAGGCGATAAAGAAATCTAATTATACAGGGTGAGGGAACATAGGAAAGAGGAGGGAAAGGACAGTGGGAACATAAAGCTGAGATAACATGAGTTGAGGGGACTAATGGGGAAATGTCTGACTACCAATCAATACAGTTGTGACTTTAACATACTAAAATGTATATGTTTTTTTAGATTAGTTTTTTTTTTTGGTTCTATTAAAACAAAAAGAGTGTTCAGATTACCAGTTTGGCTCTGTGGTTAAATAAATAAAAGCTGTCAACCTCACTGTCTAGAAGGCCAAAAGAATATCTTTGGAAGTTTAAAAGAAATACAAACATTTAACTACTGCAGTTTCGGTCTTTTATGACAATCAAGCAACCAACAACAACAAGTGATTGGTTTGTTGCAGATGATGAGATCATTACAGACATCTGAAGAGTAAAGCTAACCATGATACTAAATTTAGAGTTATTTTCTCTGTGTAAAGCAGTTTAAATCAGTTATTCTGAAAAGTGACAAAACACAATGATTGACTGACCCAGGATCCTTTAAATACGCCTTTGTGATCACCCACGCTGAGATGAAGATGGTTGGAGCCCCTGAAATAAAGAAAGACAAAGAGAATTATTAGAGAAAATAATTTTGACATTTACATGGACCTCCACGTTCACTGTATTCAATGACCTGTACATAAACTCAGAAAGGAAGGTGACCATTGAGTTTTGTACCCAGATAAATGTTTGTGTGACTCTCTGGCTAAAGTGCTAGTGCATTTTTGGTATGCTTATCATCTTTGACTGTGTGCTCTGTGCCAATATTTGCTCCTTCTGGGCCCTGCAGGAAAGTCACAGGGTTGTTTCCATTTTCCTGCTGGCAGACACGACATTTCACGTCTATTTATAAAGTGGCTTTATTGCTGTGATGGAAATAAGGACATTCAAAATTTGGAGAATGTCTGCTGAATGTAAATCTCAAGACAAGTCAGACTGATAAGTGAGCTCTAAAAGACCCCGGTGAGTGTTTGATTGATGAAAATAGCAAAAATAAGTTAAGATGAGAGCTCTTAGGGGGAAAACCGATACTTTTGGAAGGGTTTTTTTTTGTATTTGGGCTTTTAAAAGGCATGTTTTATGAAGTCCCACTCTGTTTTTCTTTTACTATTTGAAGTGTCGTCAGTGGTCTGTAAATTGTGATTTTAAAATAAGTTTTTAGCTAAAATCACGTTACCTGTGTCATTTTCAAGGGCTTTTCCTCTGCAGAGCTCCAGTAGCTCATTAGCAATTCACACCTGAGTCGTGGGTGGAGACAGCGCTGCTCTGCACACTCCTCATCATGCTAGCTTGTAGCCTAACATTGTTTGTGCAGCAGAAGTGGCAGGTAACATAGGTAACATATTCAGCTTTCGGAAACTAATGTCTTTGAGGACATGATGAAAGTTGATATCATAATTAGCTTTCTTACGAGCATTGTAATCCGCTAACACACACGCTTGTTCTGCGATTGTTCTCTGTACTTCATAGCAGGGCTCCAGGGGTGGAGCTTGGAGTTGTTACATAGGAAATCTCACTGTGTCTGAACCTGTCATTTGGGTCTGCCAGAGGTTCACAGCGATTTGAATGCAGAAATACTCATAAATGCAATTTTGCACTTATTTTTCTCATGATATGTCCTGTAGCATCAGAAAAATGCCCTATGAACATGCAGACAACAAGAAAAACATGATTTTCATCAGAGTGGGTCTGTAGGGAATGAATCTCTGCATTATAGAAAAAAAAATTAGGCCTGAGCTGTCAGATCTTCTTGAGAGGCACTATTATATGTACGTTAGACTGTTTATGAATGATTTCTTTTCTTTTCCTTTTTATAAAGTGAAACAGTTCCTTATTAAAAGCATGACAAACATGGCAGGACCCTTTGGATGAAATGAAATTAGAAGAGCAGAGTGCCAGCTGCTGCTCATCTGAAGCTGGCAGAAAGACTCATTCATATGCAGATGAAAAGGATGGTCATTTTCCTGTGAATGCATAAAACCTCTCTTTTAAACTCATTTACATGCGATCACATGTTTTGTGGCTGTCGCTGTAAAGTCAAAACAGACATTAAGGTTGTCTAGTGATTATGACTTGATGGGAATCTGAAGATTTCATGCAGCTTTTTGTGACATAGAGATCTATGATGGATCAGATCTCCTTGAGAATGATCTAATGTTAATATTCATCAACATATGGTATAGATGTTGGCACGTACCCCAGCCAATTAGAATGTACCACCAGAAGTACTTTCTCTCCGAGAAGAAGGACACGGCTAACAGGGTGTGGAGGTAGAAGCCCTCCACTAGCAGCCAGAAGTGGCTCGCCATGATCCCATACTGGAAGAAGACCACCACCGCCTTGCAGCCCACCTGCATGACAATCAAGATGTTAATGGCTTATTTCATTGACAGAGGATGCAGATAAATGAAGATTCATTACAGTGAAGTGATGGAGACAAATCGTGTTGCATTACAGATACAGCTTTTAGTAAATTACTCCGAGATTAGTATTGATGTCTTTTTTTATGAAAACGATCCATCAGACTTGGCAGTCATCAAGAGCAGCCATGAGGAGGCATTCATTACCATAATAAACACGAGACTATTACCACAATTAGAGAAAAACCTGCAGGGGTTACCTGAAAAAGGATCTGGTTATACAAATAATTACCACAGCACTGAACCAATCTGGGATCACACTGTTTGTGAAATTCATGTTTATTTATATGGTATGTCCTGATCCACTCAAAGAACCATCCAGTGACGGTGTTATCAGAGGCTCATCAGGTGTTACATTTAAAATACATGGTGAGAAACACACCAATGCACTCAACACCTGCTCTGTTCTCCACATCATGAGGCAGTTCATAAAGAAGAGTAATAAAGTCATAAAAATGACTCATAACTGATTATCATTTAGGAACTGAAGTTTTGTACGATGAGAAAAGTCTGTTTGGTCAAGAGCTCACCCCTTATCCTGGTTTGGGCTGTATGCACTATCTAACTATCTAACTTCAACTCCTCATGAGGAGAGAGAGAGAGAGGCAGAGAAAGAGAGAGAGAGAGAGAGAGAGAGAGAGAGAGAGGAAGCAGGGGTGTTTGAAAAAACAAGCAGACAGACCTGACTTGACTTTGCAGCAAACCTCTGTTTTATTGCATCCCACATCCTTAAAATCCTTACAATTCTTTACCAACCAAAGAGAGTATCTACTAAACTAAAGCATACGCACTTGGTGATGCTAAATCATCTCAGATGACGATCAGATCCAGGATACTTTATCTCGGGGGGGTTATTTAGTTAATGTCAAACATTTTGTTGACGTAAAGAAAAAAATTCAAGGCCGCATGTGTTCCCACTTATTCTGAATCTACCAAAGTTAATTTTGAACTATTGTAGCTGCAATAGCGGAAATCAGTTTATCAGCAGTGTTCACTCCAAAAATGACATGGAGAAAATCTGTTTTTCAGTAGATCCTGGGAAACTTTTTAAAGGTCTCACAAATGTTTTCCAGGCTGATATTGTCCCATCAAAGGTAAAAGCAAGTATGTTAAAAGTATGTGTAAAAGTTCTGTAATGTCATAAAACCACAGGAGGACCATTCCGAAATAAATACATCCATTTGCAATAGGTTAGTAATGTGACTGGCTTTGAAAAAGATTTTTAAAAAATACAAAAAGGAAACCACATAAAAAAGATCCAGAAATGCTGGGGACTTCTCTAGACCTGTGCCGCTTAAAGACTGAGGTGAAGTGGAAAACTGTCCTTTAGCCTGACAAACCAAAATCTGACTTTCTTCTTGGAAATCATGGATACCAAATCCTTCACTTTCTGACCATCAGCCCATGACTCAAAAGACAGTATCTGTGATGGTGTGGGGAAGCCCATGATAAGTACCCATGGCATGGCTTGTTTACATATGTAAGAGAGCATCACTGATACCAAACGCTGTACATAGATCTATGAGCAACATATGCTGCCATCCAGACATTTTACGCAGCATCCAAACTCTTATTGAGCTGGGTTTGTGCATGGACGGTTTCAAACTGTATATTACAATAGTACAGAACAAAGATAGCTAAACAAATACTTAATCGCTTTATCCTCTAATGCTGAATGAATACAATACACTTTGATAGTCCTGCTTGGTTGAACTACAGCCTTCAAAGAACAATTTTCATGGCCCCTTGTGGCAATAATGGTTATTGGACATCTAACAAACTAAATCATCAAATAACAATGACATTGTATTGTGCTCAAAACCAGCTAATCTCTTTACAAAACCAAGCGACAGAAAGACACAGGTTTTATGTCCTTAACTAAGTTCTACTTTTTCAGCTCTAAATGTGGTTTTCTGGATTGTAAACATTTTCTTTTTCTGCCAGGAAAAAGGTCTGCACTTATTCATTAATCATTCATTCATTTATCCTTTGTCATCATTCATTCACACCAATTCTTCCCTCAGTATCTCTGTCTTTCTTGTGATGAGTGGGTGTTAACTCTTTCAGTACAATACTATTCAGCCTCTACATTTATTGACCAATCATCTTGCTGCTATCTTGCCCCCAAGCCTCTCTACTCCTTTGAGTACATGAAGACAATATGATGGAGTCTAGTAAAAGAAATTGCACATTTCTTATGTTTTCTGGACTTTTAAACTAAGTTTTAACATGTTTTCTGCATGTAAATATAATTGTTGTGGGCTGAGAAATTCTATGCATGACAAGTAAACTTCATTGTGATGTGTAATTTGTTAGTGTGCTCTTTGTCTTTGTGCTTTTTGTCAGTGTTTTTCTTATTCACTGATAATTTTAGACCAGATGAGAGAGTGAGCAGCTGTGTTTGGGACAGGACAGTATGTGCATTGTGCAGAGGACATCTCACAATCCAGCCATTAACAAGCAGCACTTAGAGACAGTAAAACAGGTGATTTACGGTGCACTGATCTAATCCTCTGTGGTAATAAAGTCGTGGATTCAGCTGGAGTGAGATCTGAGAAAACACTAGTGACGTCGGAAACTTGATTGATCAAATGAAAATAAAATAGCCCAAGTATATCAAATCTTATCAGTCAAATGCTGACCTCCTAAATAGGCAGGTATGGTGTTTTCATACTGTTGCTATGGTAATGTTTTCCAAGTAAGGTGAATAAACGCTTAATTTCAAATGTGATTTATTGACTAAGCCCTCTGTAGTTCGGCCTTAATGTTCAGCAAACAGGAACTCTCACAACATCCTGCTGGACAGCTGAACGAGGAAACGACATCTCAGGAGTGGAAGGACTCGGCAAACACTGCTACACCCAGAAGCACTTGAGTGCTCACACGTTAAGTAAACTCTGAGACAAAGCATCAAAGTCAGTAAAGTCTGAGTCAGAAATTAAATGGATTCAGTTTTCCTTTGCTGAGGACAGAAACTGCTCTGCCATCATATAGACAGGTTTACTCCATCTAGAAATTCAGATCATGGTCAGAAGGAAATTGATGAAACTCATGGCTCTGCTAATAAAGCGTATGTGTTGGTGAATGAGACCGGAGCTGTCAGAGCATGCGGTGTACTCACAGTTGGCTGGCAATTATCTGTCTCCCCAACATCATACAGAACCACATCCTTGATGAAAACAGCCACAGCTTTCAGAATAAAAGCCACGAAAAGGTTCATGTGGATGTAGTTTCTTGTGCAGTGAAGCTTCCTGTTAAAAAGTGAAAACATTGAAGTAACAGGCCACAGAAGAACTTATATGACATCAGATTTGTCCATTTTGGTCACATGTGCATCTGTAATTGAATCTCAAAATATGTTTAGGAGCATTTAATGCTGACAGTAAATTGGTTGTGTCTGGAGGACTTCAGTTTCTTCCTCTTCAAACACAGTCTTACTTTAGATTGGACAAAGTTTAGACTTTGTCTTTGAGAAGAAGAGTCAAAGAATAAGAGGAGCTAAAGCAGGCAAGCAGTGGCGAATAAAAGCCTGGTTCCTGCCAGATTTTTTATATGTTTAATTTAGTTTTGACCTGGCATTATGACTGTTCAAAACACTTCAGTTAAGAATAAAAGAAATGAGAAAGAAAGAAACGGATTAATTTACAGCACAAGGAGGTGGAAATATGTTTCATAATTATTTAGATGCTAATAATAATTAATCAATTTGATGCTTCAAAGGTATAATTGCATGTCCAGAATTGACATGGCTTCTTCTTATCTGACGTCCATTTACAATTTGATTACATTTATGCTCATCTTTTATAATTATGGTTGCTAGAAAGCTATAAAAACACGTTTAGTATAAGCCACACTCACTTCCAACTTTCTATCATTATACAGATCCCCACACACCACATTTTCATGATGAACTTGACCCTTACTTCTAAGATTCAAGATGTTATTTCTTCTTTAATTGGACCAATCTTAGCTTGTGCAATCCCTATATTATCAGTTCTGTGTATCCATCCTGAGCTAAGAGTTATAGTGGCTACAAATGAACTCAAGCCTCAACTCTGAAACAAGCAATATTTGTGTTTTTGTGAAACTCCCTTGACTTAATACACATCTGCAAAAAAAGCTATAGGCACAGTGCATACATTATTATAGGGTATTTAAAATATAAGTTCTGCTATTTTTTGACATCAGGTTATATATAAACACAAAAACATCAATTTAAATTGCTTTATACTTGCAATGAAACACCAACTATCATCAAATGAGAGCGAATCCAGGAATCAGGAGGTAAACAGAATGAATCAGGGGGTTCCAGAGAAAATGTCACTAATGTAAATTCTCCTTTCTGAGTGTTTACAGACAAATGCCTTTTCAGTTAGCTTATCATTGTGGGTTAAATTGTGTAAACCCATCAGTATGGGTGCAGTGACACACAGTATCAAACAGCTGCCCTAATGCAGTGCCTGCAGGCAAACGTAAACAGCAGACGCTCCTCACATCCTGTGTCTCTGCTCCAGAGTCCAAATCATTGGTATTTCATGAGCAAGCGGAGTAAACACATTGCTTGTTGTTTAGCTGTAATGCACAAATACTCCAAATGCAGCTACTCCCAGATGAGCACACTGGGTTGTTTATTAGAAGCCATAAAAAACAATCATTTAGATCTATCCTTATGATCTGTGCTATGTCATGCCAGCATGCAGAAAAACACTTTTCTCTCACACCAGGGGCTGAAAGTCAAAAGGGGGACAAGCTGTGAACAGCAGCAGCATGTTTAAGTGGTCTGACCTTACGGCTGCTCGCAGTCAGATGCTTTGTTTGAGAAGTGTTGCAACAGCAGATAATGTCAATTTTTGACGTCTTAGCCCACAAAGTCCACTTGTGTTACATTACGGTTTGAAAAACACTGTAAAGTCTCCATAAAAAGCAGGAAATGTGAGGCGAAATGAGAGATGAACAGGGTTTTATCACTCTGAATCATGGGGAGGGTGTTTGATTGTCTTTGCACAGGGACTTTAAGTAGCATTTTGATGGAACTGCTTACCGAAAGAGACACAGTATGATGATGGCAATCGTCAGAGAAATGAGCGACACACTGTGACCGATGGTGTAACCCACTTTGATAGCGTCAAAGAACTCTTCCTGCAAAACAAACTCAGTTACACACTCTGAATCCATTTCAGCAGGATGCAGTGAAAAGCCTGAATATAAGCAGCAACATAAAGGAAGAGGAGCTTTGATTCATGCCTGCTGCACTGACCGCATTATCATCCATGGTGTTGTTAGGATCGTACCCACAGTCCATTATATAGGAGTCCACGCTGATTGGGGTCCAGCCACCTTCAGTGCAAGTCTTGGACAGGTTACCTGATAACAAGAGTGGTATGAAAAAAATGTTCAGAGCAGCTAGTTTTTAAAATACATTTGATTTACAAACCAGATGAAGAGAAGAACTTTAATTATCCCCAAAGGGAAATTCAATAATTCATTCATTCAATTGAAATTCAATTCAGTTCATTCAGTGTCAGTGAAAAAGCCATGTTTTCTAACACTGAGTGCAAGTCTCTGTGTTGTGGAAGGTTGGGGAGGAGTTGGATTGAGCTGCAAGGCAAAACTTTTCCTACATTTACTCACAATAAATGATGTCACACTGAGATGTATATGTCTCGCTGGAATACTTCATGAAACTTAAAGAAATGAAAGAAGTGACTAAAGGGGATCAAACGTCCCAGTGGCTCAGAGATACCAGGACTGTTCCCATGTGTGTTTGCCTCCATCTGTGTCATAATTACCCTCAGTCTGCAAACACACACTTATACATACAGTCACACACACACACGCACGCACGCAAACACACACAAGCATACAGACATACATACTCACACACACACACACACTCACATACACACATACATATTCATACGCACACACACACACACACACACACACACACACACACACACACACACACACACACACACACACACAGGAGGCCAGATGTCAGGGAGAAAGATATTTTTAGTTAGTCCAGTCCTGTCTATGGGGTCAGGGGTCAAAGGCTAAAGTGCATTACACTGACCATTAAACAAGGAAGAGCTTTAATCTCCAAGACGACTAAATAGTAAAGCAGGGCTCTCTATATAAGAGTTCGGCAGACTACAGCTCACTTCAGCGCAGTAATGTGTCGAAGATTTTTTTATAAGAAGTAGAGCCATGTATAATAAAGCTCAGTAGCGTAGCACTCACTAGAATACAACACAATACAGTCCACTTCATTAGAGTTTATTATCTGCTTTTTTAGTAACCACCCTGCTGTGGTAAATGCCTTATCCTGATTAGTCAAAACACTTGATCACAGTTAATAGTCCTTTTTGGCAAAGGCAGCACCAGGGGAAACCCAAGGACACAAATCGCACTTATCAAACAATTTGCAAAAAGAAGTTACAGCATATCGAGAAGTGGTGAACCACTGCAGGAACTAGCAACACAGTCTGGGCTTTGTAGAGCAAAGTTGAGCAGACTAACCTAGACAGGACTGGGGTAGAGAAGAGTTGAGCAGAGAAGAGCACAGCAGAGCAGAGCAGAATAGAGCAGAGTAGTGTAGAGTACAGTAAAGCAGAGCAAAGCGGGGCAGAGTAGTTTAGGGTAGTGTAGAGTAGAGTAGAGTAACGTAGAGTTGAATAGAGTAGAGTACATAATTTTAGGGTAGAGCAGAGAAGAGGAGTGTAGAGTAGAGCAGAGTAGAGTAGAGGAGATAAGAGCAGAGTAGATTAGAATAGAGCAGAGTAGAGTAGTGCAGAATAGAGCAGAGTAGATTAGAGTAGAGTCGAGTAGAGTAGAGTAGAGTAGAGTAGAGCAGAAAAGAGCAGAGTAGATTAGAGTCGAGTCGAGTCGAGTCGAGTAGAGTAGAGTAGAGAAGAGTAGAGCAGATAAGAGCAGAGTAGATTAGATTAGAGTAGAGTAGAGCAGAAGAAAGTAGAGTAGAGTACAGTACAGTGGTGTAGAGTAGAGCAGAGTAGAGTAGAGTAGAGTAGAGTAGAGTAGCGTAGAGTAGAGTACAGTAGTGTAGAGTAGTGCAGAATAGAGCAGGGTAGAGAAGAGTACAGTAGTGTAGAGTAAAGCAGAGTAGAGTAGAGTACAGTAGAGTAGAGCAGATAAGAGCAGAGTAGATTAGAGTAGACTACATCATTGTAGGGTAGAGTAGAGTAGAGTATAGTACAGTACAGTACAGTACAGTACAGTACAGTACAGTAGAGTAAAGTAGAGTACATTATTGTAGGGTAGAGCAGAGTAGAGTAGACTCTTCTTTAACTCTTCTTTTACTGTCTCTCTCTTCTTAATACTATTTGGATTGATTTGTGAGTAAATGTTAGCAGCATTATGTAACCTTTCAAAGAAAAACAATATGACACTCTTACTAACACAACAATAAAATCAGATCAGTACTCCAATTGGTACTATGTGCCAAACTTTCTAAGGAATTGCCCACAGCCAGAATAATGAAAGGTACTTTAGTAAATGTGAAAAAAAAAAATCAATGAAACTAAAAAAAAATGGAGAGTGAAATGCAAAACACTCAGGTTACCAAGAATTTCTTTGAATCACTGCATATTATGTTATTAAAATAGATTTTTACCACTGAAGCACTTCATCACAAGTCTTAACACTTTCTTTCAAAGTGCTGCATATGCAGATATGTTGATGATAGATTGATGGTTGGCCTTTTGAAACAGAACAGGAAGGACATGTGGTGAGTTTTAGATAATACACTTATCATTAATAAACAACTTACAACACCCATGAGGGATATCTAATCCTGTAATCATCAAGAAGCACACATAAGCTCTTCTGTGATTCTGCACAGACTCTTATTTTGTAATATTTATCTGTAGCATTTCCTCACCTTCTCAGCTGTCAGCAAAGAAAGGGAAACTGCGTGAGTTGGCATTAAATTAATCCCTGCCCTGAATAGTGCTGTAGAAATCAAAATCTAGGACATTCCTCACATTTCCCAACTGTATGAGCTGCTATCAAATCAAGACTGAGTTGAGAAATGAGCAACAATGCCGAGTCTTAGAGTGTGTTTGGCATTGAAATATGGTCGCCTCACAAATACCTGAGCGGCATACTGCAGAGAAGACGGAGGCTTAGCTTCCTCAAACAACATGACAAGACACAAAGGCGCTGATAAGCCCCTGCTGTTTCAGCCCATGCCACGGCTGGATCTGGCTTGTTTGAGGGATTGCCAGAAGAATGCTTTCATCATCCACCAAAACATGTTGGCAAGGATTTTCAGTGACATGCACAACAAGGAGGAGAGCTCAAATGAGTTAATCACCCTGTTTTTAATTTCTAGGAATTTTTAGATCTTGACTTTTCTGGACACAATAAGTAGTCAGATTCTTGATCCTCCCCAGAAACATCTTGGAGGAAGATCCATATCAGCCTATGATGGTTGGCCCCGGCTTCAGCCATTGACGTCCTGCCCTCAGTCACTCTGAGCCTGCGCTCCCTGGCTGGGACCCAGTGTCACTGAAGGAGATAAATGACTTTGTGTTTGTGTTAGACCTACTAGGTAAAGAGTTCATGAGAATAGTAAACTCTGCCTCAACTAAATTTATGACTTGGCCTTCAATCTCTGTGGCGCCATGTTTCGTAATGCCTGTTTTTGTGTGTGTGTGCATGTGAGGCTTATAAAATTGAATGGCTCTGGACATGTCAATAAATGGAGTCTTTTGCAACTGGTGGAAAGTAGGCACATTTAAAAAGAGGTTAAATCGACTTGTTTGATACTTAAGCACATTCACTAAAGGGCAACTTATTGAAAATTAAATATCATACCACTCTGTCATCTCAGGGTTCTGCAACCTTTTAAAATAAAGGGGGAAAAAACAGAAAAAGCTGCTTTTCTTAGTTCTTATGAGACCACAAGGTTCTCACTTGACAGCAGAGTAATACAATAAACAAAATCCAAGACCCTTCATCATCCCTTAATGAAGTCCTCCTTACATGACCTGAGAGCAGGGCAGGTTTAACCGGCTGAGACCTCCACTGATTTCTTGATTTACTGCATAATTGATACCATCCTCTTCAGTTTACAGGTCACGTACAATCCTGTCTCTTCGCTTATTTAATTTTGGCCCGTTGATTCTAGAAACCTTTGACATGTCAGTAAAACCTCCTCTCCCTATCAAACCTCCGAATCCTGTGATTCTTTATCTCTTCTCCTGTTTTTTCCCTAGAGTTTTCTCATCTCTTAAGCTCCACCATCTCCCATCTGGGTCACATCACAACTTCCCAGAACACCATCCTACACCAAGATAAATCACAGACCAGAATCCCTCTCATGTCCCGAATGTGATGGGCAAACACAGTCTGGATTTCAGGGGCAGGACCCCCTCATCACATTTGTGCAGATACTTGGATGTGCAAAAACACAACAATCACTCACAACAGAAATCTGTGCTCAAATTCCAGAGAGGTGATGAAATATTTACAGGAAGAGTTTCTGAGGTTGTTCAGTTCTGTGAAAACCTCCTCAGCGTATCAGGTATCATGCACACAACAAGAAAGGGGCACATCATGACAAAACTAAAAGAGTTTTCAACCACACTCCGCTTTGAATTCAATTAGAAATGACATTGAGATGATAAGTCTAAGCTCCATTTGATTCCCCAGCTCCTGTGTGGGGAACCAAACAGAGCACCTAATACACCTTTGATTAACAAGCCCGTCCTCTGATTATGATTAATCAAGGAGACTCTTAAAGATCTCTAATCTTCTCAGCAATGATGTACAATGTGTGTTCCTCAGTATCTGCATGTTGAGGTCAACCACCCATATCTCATATCTGACCAATGTTATGCTCCTTGTGACTTCTGTCCTTAAATTTGCAGGAAGGTCATTTTCCCTGACTTCACTTTATATCTACGTAGTTCTGACTGAATCTTACACCAATTCATCTGCTTTTAAAATTTCCAAATTCAAAAATAGTCTTCATTAATTTCTTAGGGTTCTTTCATGCCTACAGCTTTCTTGGTGTGTTCTGATCTAGAGATGCACCAATTCATTTTTTCCAATCCAATCCGATACCGATATCTGGGCTGAGCGTATCAGCCGATACTGATCCAATACGACTATTGAATGAATGAATGAACTGTATACCTTGCCCTGTGAGTGAAGGTATCAGGCTTGACAATAGCCTTGTTAAAAAAAGGTAACAAATTAACACAGATATAAATGTACTTAATATTATTTATTAAAGGGGACCTGCCATCAAAATTTCATACCCATTTTTATCATTTTTTCATAATCCTTGATGTCCTCTGATCATGTTTGCAACATAATTTTAGCTGAAAAGTTATTTGATGGTTTGTTTTAGTATGCCTAAAAAACCTTACAGGAAAACCTACTGATTTTGGCTCATTAACATTTATGGTAATGTGCTTTGCTCTGATTGGATCCTGCTGTGAAGCCTGCTGTGCTCTGATTGGCAGGTGCTGGGGCTGCAGGGACTGTGTGATCACAGACAAAATCTCGGTACTATTTAGCAGCGCATGCCCCTTGTAATAACCCCCGTAAGAACTGTTGTTCAGGACTGCTTACTTGTGCCTCCTACCCATTCGGCTACTGTAATAAACGTTGTTCGAGCCCACATGCAACATTTTTGCTCTCATTCATGAAACGCTTAAATCTGGGACATTTTCGGGGACAGCTTTTGCCAGGGACAGGTCATCCAATACGGGGACTGTCCCCGGAAATCGGGGATGTCTGGTCACCTTATGCTAAAGGCTAAAAATGGCAGGTATTAAACCATATATTTTAGACCCCGAGTCCGAAGAGGAGGTAGAAGTTGAAGAAGAAGCCAGAGATCTCCAGCGGTGTTTTCTCATTCATTCTGCCCAGCTTTAAGTTCATTTTCCCGGAAAATGAACCCATGAACCCAAGGAAACACCGGTCGTTTGGAAGAGACCCATAGCGGATACAGTAGGTAGTATGGTAGCTGGGTCTCGCTCTAGCTGGAGAGTGATGTTGACTGTGAATAGGAGTACGAGTACGAGAACGAGAGAGTGGGCGCGGCTCTCCGAGGACGCGCTCATGAATAATAATGAGCAAGGTCAGCGCGACGTCAGAGGGACCTGCTTTTTCAATTGGCCTGGTTTATCCGTTTCTTTATTTTAAACCTTTACAGAATGCAAACGACGTAACGGTTTGTTTTCACATTTACAACATAAGACGAACATAATATGGACCTTATCTGACACCAAAAACACACAAAATTACATTTGGATGGCAGGTCCCCTTTAACAAATAACAAATTGCGCATAAGCACAGAGCAAAAAGAAGTAAGACTTCCATGTAAACATTTAGTGCAAAAGGATAGACAGACATAGAATATAGAGCGAACAGAATCGCTGTGTTGCTGTGTATGATATTAATTAAAAGAAAAAAAAGACTGGATCGGAACGCTGGATCGGCGTCATTTATCAGATATCGAATCCAGTTAATTTGTCAGTATCAGAGACGATATCTGATCCTAATATTGGATCGGTGCATCCCTATTCTGATCCAGGTGATATAATGGCACAGCAGGTTTTTTGTTTGTTTGTTTTTTTTCCTCGGTCTTTCTGTGTTCACACTGCAGGCCATAACATACAGCATTACGTCATTACATCACAGGCTGACTTTACCACCACAAAGGTGAGGTGACCAATGCTATTCATACTAGTCGGAAAGTTCGCATTAAGAAAAGCAAACTAGCCAACTAACGGAAGCCAGTTAACCAACCAACAGAATGAGTCGTGGGTTGAGTTAGATCAGGAAAGATGTTGAATGTCTCAGCTATACAAGTGCAGATGAGCACATTTGTCAAACGCTGGACACCACTAACACAAATAAAGAAGTTTACAATCTTGAGACAGGACATGAACAAAAGGGGCTTTCACTGCTCTACAAAGCAGTGTTACTATTCTTACTACAGGTAAGAAACTTTGATAATAAAACACAGAGGTAAGAGACCAACTTGGAAAAAGTGGGAGTCCAACTGGTCTGTCACATCTGTGCCAAATGCTACACCAGCTGTGGTAGCTCTGCAGGCTCAACCTGTTTTTTGTGTAGTGGCTAAGACGGTTTGGCTCCCTCTCATCCTCATCCTCTCGCGTCTTCATCAAAGCCTTTAGCGTTCCTCAATGGGCTTTCCCCTCACACCAATGTAAACCACTCTACTGCAGAATTAGACATTCAGAATAAGTAGAAAGTCTAGTGCAACTTGAACTACGAATGCAACTATGAATTTAGTTATGATTTTGACCCAACCCATGATGCTTCATTCTCTAAACTCACCACAACTAACACACTAACCAAACTGACCTCTTAATGTGGCCTGTGTGTTTTAATCTTTCTTTAATCCAAAAAGTGTAAAAATAAGAGTGGGTATCTGAAAATCTGACATGTTTACTTAGTTTACCAGAAGTTTTCAAATAAAGAAAGATACCAGCAGCATATTAAGACTATAAGATGACAGTTTATGAAAAAGGAAAAGAAAACAACATGCTTAAAGGGCTAAAATGCTTGGAATCTCAGAGAACTTTCAAAACTGCCTTAGTCAATTTATCACTGCAATCACACAGGACACACACACACACACACACACACACACACACACACACACACACACACACACACACACACACACACACACACACACACACACACACGCATGCACGCAGGCACGCACACACCATAGCTTAAGAACTGGTACATTTTATGAGGAACTTTTCTGTCCTCATAACAAACTAAATTAAATTCAGAAGAACTCCAACAAACAAATATTTCTGGAGGCTGGGAGTTGGAAATGAGGCCTCACTGCAAGTTCAACACAAATAAACAAGTGGATTCGCTCAGTGTGGTCATTAATGACAAATGAAGATACAAGGGGAATTCAGAGGGGAATAATCTCAGGGACTACAAACACCATCCAGCCTACCGAGTCTCAGGAGAGAGGTTTCCCTTTTCGTTTAATCAGTATCACATCCTGTGAGGCTCTCATAGAAAGGCTGACAAATACACATGATGTGTCTTTCACGGTGCCAGGAAAGAAGTTATTCATCTCTTTGAGACGCAGCTGTGTTTGGGTTTTTCTTTAGTCTATTTGACATGAGATATGTTTCAGGAAAGACAGAAAAACAGGTAACATGGGCCAAAGTGACATCATGAGTTTGGGTCGCTCTCGAACTGAGTGCACTCACTAACAACTAGATCTGGTCTCAAATATAAGGCATGATATCTCATTTTTAAGACAACTGGAATGTCTGCAACATCAGAAAAAAAGGAAGCTTAGGGATAAATCAAGATGAGAAAAAATCTCAAAATCATTTTTTTTTTTGTAATCCCACATATACGTCCATCCTCCATGAAAGAGATTTAAACATTAAGCATTACAGGACTGGTAGGATGTGTTCATCTAGCACCACCCTTCAGTGTTAAAAAATGAAGTCAATATGGAAGTGCAAAAATTCCTCTGGTGTATATTTGGTGCTGCTGCCTTTCAGCCTACTCCAGCTCTTATGAAAAATAACAGTCACAGAAAAAATCAATGGAAAAGCATCTTGTTTACAGGATGACTGACCTGTCTTAAAATATGAGCGTACTCTATGATTACATACTACTACTCCCTCAGTGTGCTGCCAATGCTTCATTTGCCTGATAAGCCCTTTATGAATTCATTTAATAGCTCTCCCTTCAACCTACAGCATGTGTCAGACATCAACTTTAAGCTGTCAATGCTGTCCAGTCCTGTAACAGAGGGCATTTCTGTCCAAGTCTGTAATTATGCTGCTTTATGATGCAGGTTTTGGATACAGACCAATACGTCAATGTCAAAAGCTTCTCTTTAGCTGCTACAACCTGTGCCTATTTCTTCATTTATCAACAAGGAAGAGCATTTATGATGACTACTTGATCATTTCCTTGAAGTAATAATCATCATAGTAATCAATTTGCTGTAGACGCGGTAGTTCTTCTGCCTTAGCGTCTCGGTCTGATTGCATTTCCATGAAGAAATGTTTATAAATGTTCTTCTTTGAGCTGCGTCACCCTGCTGCATTTGGTGATGGACTTGCCCAAGGTCTCTGTACAAATAAATGGCTGCTCTCTTTGCTAAAGAAATCAGGCAAAGTTAAAAAGATGTTTGGTGGCTAGTGCTGTGGCTGGGACCCTATATGTACTGTCATTACTAAAGTTGGTTTAACTAGAGATGCAAGCAGTCAGCAACATTCATCTCTCAAAGGGGTATCTAACTCAGTGTTACGATGTGTTTGATCCTAACTTAATTTTACGCCGGAATATCCCTTTAAAGAACAAACTGAGAGGTGCGGTCCTACGCTACTACCTGTCTCACAAGTACTGAGAGTCCTTCTCCACCAAGGCTCCACCAAGACATTCTGGACTCTCTGTGAGTTACAATCCTTCTCGTTCATAGGAGAGACAGGGAAACACAAAGGTGGGGGGATTTTCCTCTTTATTAGTATCAGCTAGTAAAGTCAATATACACAACGCCAGTCTGTTTTAGTTTGAGACCTGTGTGTCTGCCCAGAGAGTTTGGGAACATAATTTTCCTCACTGTGTATGTTCCACCTATAGAGTGTATTATCACTGAGTGTAGTGTTGCTGTCATCACCAATGGCAGAGTTTTGAAGCCAATCGTGGTGGTCACCATGTCGGAAATGCTGACTCAGCCTAACGCTTAGTCAGCCTACCTCAAACCTAGCTTGTATCCTCCTCACAAATGGTTACAGTGGTCCGCATGTCAGTCTAGTCAGCCATGTCGCTTGTTTGCCAATTGTGCATTCTTAATAACTTAGAAACAAACGTATTACAAAAAGATTCACTCCCACTACTGTGGGTGCCATGACAACCCAAAGTTAATCAGACAAAAGGTGTTTTTTGAACCAGAATGGCAACGTGTTTATCTTTGCTCTAAATACAGGCTTTTCTTTTTGTCTCAGTGTGTTTGTGGTTTCCTGTGGTTCTGCAGCAAGTGGACACTTAAGAACTGCAGTTTTTTGCACTTCCACATCTGCTTTATTACTTAGGACCAAAGGTTGCTGGATAGTTCTGCCTTGCGGGAATGCAACCAAAACCGCTCCTTACAATCACAGACTGTATTCAACAAAAGCTTCTCCAAGTCTTAATCTTTGGGGCCTTTCATCAGTGCAAGTTAGAGCTGACATTACCAGGACTGAAGGAGTTCAATGTGGGACAAGAGGTGATGTAATCCTGGATGAAGTGAGTAGAACCAAACCGTCTCTGGCAAACTTGGACCACAACATCATACACCTCATTACCACTTACAGAACCGCCCTTAAATGTTACAAACCACAAGCCGAGACTGTGAGGATCTAAACCAGTGAAAGCACAGAGTCCTGAGAAGGATGTTTTCTTTTGACTGATTAAAGTATATTTCATGAGGCAGTTGTGGATAGTTACTGAATATTAATATTTGTGTGGAAATGATAGTACCTAGGAAAGTAATACTCGTGTACCCTAGCAATAAAAAAAAAAAAAGTACCACAAAGCAGGTAAATTTAAAAAATTTAAAATGTCCTGACAATCTAAAGCTTATGCTGCTTGCTCATCTTTGAACACTTGCAGCCACACTTGCTTAAAAAGAAAATGAAGTTGATGGATGTTACTCCTTTCATCTCAAAGCAGTCCCAACAGGTCAGGGTCAACAGGGCCCTGTCAGAACCTGAGTCAATCAGCACTGGTGCCCGACACAAGGATGTGTCAGCTCCCTGGTCCTCTTTATGTTGTACTTTAATGACTGTAAAAGAACTCACAGTGAAAACGTCATTATCAAGTCCTCTGATGATACAGCCATGCTACACTTGCTGCATGGTGACAGCAGCCCACTGAACTACTTCTGTGAAAGAGAAGTTTGTGCAGTGGTGTCATGAGAACCATCTGGTGCTCAATTTGAGGAAGGCAGAGGACCCAGAAGTAGTAGGTGACCACATGCCTGCCTCTTATCAAAAAGAAGCATATCACTCAGGTTTGCTCATACAGATATTTAGAAGTAGCAGCGTATGTACTTCCTGTGCAGACTCAGGCTCTATGGTGTGGAACAGATGACACTTTTTTACAGAGCAGGGTTTGAAAGTATCGTAAGATATGGCGTTACCTGGTATGGTAATGTAAGTGTGCAGCTGGGGTCACAGATCACCCGGCTGGGGCAGAGTGCGATTCCTGGTAAAGACCATCAGACTGCTGAATGACTGAATGTGTGTGTGTGTGTGTGTGTGTGTGTGTGTGTGTGTGTGTGTGTGTGTGTGTGTGTGTGTGTGTGTGTGTGTGTGTGTGTGTGGTTGCTGGTGAATTGTTTGTCAAACAATTGTTGTCTGCTTTGTATTTTTTCTTCCTGTCTTGTTTTTACCTACAGTTGGACAGGGACCAGAATAAATTTCCCCATGGGGATAATAAAGTATATCTAATGTTATTCAAGGAGGACTTTACACCTTCCCAGAGCTAGCAAATGGGCAGTCAGCAGTCTTAAAATTTATCCTCTCTTTTGTTCTCGCAGATGTATGACTTGATACAAACAGGGGATAAGGTTTAAGAGACTACAGACCAATGAAAGTCCAGAAAACTTACATTACTGATAATCGCCATTCAAAATCCCACTGTAACTTGTTTAACTCTCCAACCCACGTCTTTCCTCACACATTATCAAACAGATCCTTACGTGTTGTGGCAACTCTAGAAAAGTAGAAGAGATATTTTGGGCAGGGGATGGTGACCACCTCTCCAACATCTGCGCTGGGCCAACAGGTGATCTTATCCCACATCCCGCTGCAACCTGTCGGCCAGAGAGAGGAAAAGAAAACATAAGTGATGAATAGCACCAGGAGAAAGCTGCAAACAAGCAACAGGAAAACAGTTTCTTGAACATTTTGAACAGATTTTTTATTTTTTGTCTGAAACTGTGCAGTTGACTCCTCTCATTGACAAACAGAAACCTGCTCCTGGTGAAGGTCGAGCTCTGGAGTTCCCATGGCAGCAGAGACATAGCAGCTCATCTCTGTTGTCACTGAAGCCATACCAGTGAATGACCTGAGTTAACACGCTGACACTGTGACTTATACAAAAGCACCCTGTTCCTCATTACAAGCTGTTTTATAAATTCATCAGACCACTGTGGTCACTGTTAGGCTCTGTCCTGCTCGCTCACACTGAGTATTCAGTTCATATTGGCATCACCACCCTAAGGATTTATTACATTTGAATCTATCTGAAACTTAAGGCAGCAAAGTGATGTCTCCATTTAAACAATAATGAGTGAGAGATTTTTTCTACATCATGAGGAGCTAGTCAGAAGAGTCTCATGATAACTGCAGTGAGGTGTAATGGGGTTTCAGTTTCACCCAGAGGTAATAGAGGTTCAATAAAGCACAATTATCCATTAGTGGATTATAATTACAGTCGGCTATATGCTGCTTACTGCTGTGAGTGTGCGACATCCCAATTAGCATGATGTAACTCTAGCCTAATCATCAAAAACCTGACTAAACAAATCATATTAGTCAGTCTGAGCTCTCATTCTTTGTTTGCGTTGCTTTAGTTAGTGCAGTTTTTAAACAAACACTGTCATTCATAAGGTTGTTGTTGCAAATATTGTACATATTTCTGCAATCTTTGTTAAAGCCCCAGTAAGGGCTTTAACAAAGATGCTGCTTCCCTGTGTCATTCAACAAAGTTAGCGTGCTACAATATCAGACAGTAGAAACCAGCCAGAAAGTACAGAATATTGTCAGAATCCTCCTTTGGCCACGACTGCCAACACAAGCAGGAAAATGAAGTAAATACCAGCAACTCTGGTGGAATAACGGTGCTTAAAAAGTAGGTAGACCGGACAAGAGCTAAAAAGCTGGGTCATAATCAATTAAGCATAAACGATTGGGATGCTTCGGGATCTTACAGACCCTGTAACCTTTCTGCTGGACAGGTAAACCGCTTTAACAAAGTAAGCCAAGTGTCTGTAACAGAAGTGTTTCTTGTCAAACGGGACCTGCTGCGTGTTGCATCCCCGCTACACTGTTGACCTCAGGTCCTGGAGTCAACACTTTATCCTAGCTGTAGAAGTCCTGCAAACATTGTGTTTGCTGGTAGTCTGTTGGCATCTAAAGTAGCACCAATGCTTTTTACTTTCACGTTTACTGGGCCCCATTTGTAATTATCTAAAGTATTTATCTGCATTATATCTGATTTTAATTGGAATGATACAAGCGTGGATGAGCGTCTGTTTGTGGGCGGGGCTTGCTGGAGCAGAGAGGGAGGGGAGAGGAGGAGCTGAGGGGAAATCTGGTTGGGAGGGGTAGTGTTTACATTCAAGATTTCTCCTAAGAACTGGAACTTCCTCAGATCCTGCCTACTCCACCTTTAAGCTAGTTATTGTTGTTTAAAGTGAATGTGAACTTGACTCTAAGCTGGTCAGCTTGCAGTTTCTACTGGCAGGAGTCTGAGATGCATTTCACGTAGTCTGACCAGAGGTGGAGATGGGATGTAACCTCACTCTGAATACATTTTGAAAAGCCACCTAGTGGCTCTTAACATGAGCTTTAATGTAATGTAGTAAGAGCCTGTGTCAATTAATGCTCTATTTGTCTGGCAGCGCCCTCAACCTCGATATCAGAGTACTTCTCACCAGTGCTTACTGTTGCTTGGTTACCCAGGTTGTCCCTTGGTACTTTCACTTCCCTTACTAGTGATTGTCAACTCTTTTGGTATAATCTTTGCTTTATACTCTCTTTCATTCATCAGAATATCACAGAGGTACAGTACATCCTTTGACATTGTAGTTAAGTGGCTGGACCATGTAGAGATGCTGTGGTCCTCAGCTGGGAGATTCTAACCTGCTGTCCTCTTTCTGTATGTCCCAACCAGCTTCTACTCACAGTTCTTCTGCTCTACCTCCTGTTCTGTTCTCTCTGAATAAAGGCATTTAAAACAGCTCAAAAACATTGCTGTGGCATTAGCAGTGGCTCTAAACCTGATTTTGTACTTTGACAAACACAGACTTTCCCTACTGTTGCTGAAAAATTGTTATTAGAAGTCCCACTTCTTGATTTTGATTGGTCAGTAATAGAGAAGTGACCCTAAAGAGTGCTGCTGAGCTCTTTCTAGTGGTAGATTCATGTCTGGTAGCTGTAAATAATATCACTAAATATATCGAGTCTTGACTATAGTATGGGATGGTAACCAGTTCCAATGTTTAAAAAAGTCATGGTTTCAAATCTGATAATATTTTTATCTTACCACTCCCACAGTATGAGCTAGGCTTTGTGTAAGCCCTTCTCTTACTTGTTACCTAAGGTGATGAATCAGTTAACCCACTTGCTGCTAGTCTTCTAGCTGCAGTAGGCTTGGACACAATGATAGGGCATTTAGTTTTTTATAGAGCCATGTCCAAGGAGAACAAAACGAGATAAAGAATGTTTGAGTGCACAGAGAGAAACCACTAAACCCAGGGTCTTTTTCAGGGTGCACAGACTTTTTTCTTCAGCGTCTCATTGGCTGCACCAGCAGCTAGCCTGAAGGTTCGCTTTTCAGCAGGATGGGTGCCTGTGTTGCTGTTTCAAACAATCAGCCTTAAACAAGATGGGTTGGAATTGGTCACCCAGGTAACCAGAAGCAGAAGTGCTTGTCAGATGACCCTCACAAGAACTGAGAAGCCCATTTTTGGACAGTTATTTGTGCATATTCAAATCTATACAGTATTTTATGATTAATCTTAGTAATAGAGTAAACATTTTTTGGGAAAAGTCTACTGATTAATAGCTTATTTTCTTATTTATTCACATACATTACATGTTCACTAATGTTCCAAATGTTCTATGTTTAATGGAAATGTTTTTTTTTTTTCATAGAGTCCCAGACATTTAAAATAACACATTTCAGAACAGTAATCTTCATACCACAGTGACTGCATGAAACTGCAATTTTTTTTGCTCAAGGTTATCATACTGTCAGAATCTTATGCCAGTTCACATCTGGCCTGCTCTATTTTTAAAGTGGTTTTCATTTACTTATTTAATTCTTTTTTTTTTTTTAAACTGAGGCTACAAATTAAAAAAAAAAAAAACATTGACAGATGATTTTCTGATGCTGAAAATTCTTTCTTGCAGTTGGTGGAGCAGTGTCAGCAGTATTACAGATGCCCTTTCCCAGATGTGGAGATACTTTTCAGGCTGCAGGAGAGTTTATGTTGCTTGTCAAGTTCATTAAAATTTGATTACAGATAAACTAAGCAACAGTTTGATGTCAAGCTCCTCTCAGAGGAACTCAAACAAATTGAGTGGTATTACACATGCCTAAAGCAGACTGAAAAATTGTGGGTGGATTCTGGAGCCATTTACTGATCATTTATAGAATTTACAAATATCAGGAGTAAAATAAATCTCAAGTGACTTAAACAGCAGCAGACTTATAAAGGCAGCTGTCACCGGGGGAAAACAGTGTTCAACCATGCAGTTGTAATGAATGGGGAGCCTGAGGGCAGGTTTGAGCAGCTTCTGTTGTCTTTAGAGCTCAAAGTGTCACTTCCATCAGAGCATATGTGTGCATGTAAAAAATAATACAAAAAAAAGAAAAGCTTATCAAACACACAGCCAGCTCCATACCTGTGGTTTTATTCTCCATCCGAGCCAGGCACATGTCCCTCTCCTTGTCGAGCTCCTTCACCATGTCACACATCTGATTCTGCACTGAGACCACCTGCAGAGGGAACAGTACACATGTTTTCTTTACATCATGGATAATTTGTTTATTAGTGACGCGTGGGTGATGCAGGATTTATAAATGCAACACATCTACTGTCTTCTCCAGGGTCCTTCTGAGATGATGCTGTCATCAATCTCTTCGCCTGGCCCACACTGCAGAGACACAATCAATCTTTTGATCGTGACTCCAGCATTATATCCTGCAGATTTGCATGTGCATGATTCAGACATGTGGAGTGAATCTTCAGGCATATATTGGCTGACATTGAAGCTGAATCCAGAGGGGTTTGCCAACAGAGGATACGCTGACTCTGAGCAAGAGCAGAAGATTTATGGCTCTTACTTAGGTGGATGAGTCTCCTCTCTGTGGGCATTAATCAGACCGGTAGTATGTGTCTATTGTTTGCCAAGAAATAAGCAGATATGACTGTGACCCCTCCACCATGCAGGGTGAGCCCTCAGTTTTGGTTATGAAAAATCTGGCCCCTCAGGCTAAGCAGTGTAACTTCCTCTGAACTGGAGATAATGTCAGTGATGGATCAGCGCTGCCTTGAGCAGGGCCAGTTGAAATATCAGAGGAAACTTCCTGCTCTCTATCATCGTCACTCTGATCATCACTCTCACCATTCCTGCCAGCAAAAACAGCACCCCTCGTCTTTTCCTACACCTCATTCTCAAACCCAGCTGATGAAAAAGTGTGTTTGAGTGAGTACGAATGCAGATATAAAAGCCAGCATGCTTTTCTAAAGGCTCTGACCTCCAGTTGAATTCCTGCATGATTTATAACTGGCATGCTTCTCAGCTGGAGACAGTGGTGAGAGACAGACAAAAGAGACCATGGCCATGAAATTTTCTGAAAGCAGGAACAAGCACCTGATGTCTCTTCTCCTGGTGATTTACCTTCACCTTAGCCATGGAAGTATAGGTCAAGTAGGACATAAAGACATATGAGTGTCACTGGAAACGAATCAAAGCCTGAAACAGTGATGTGTGTTTGAGTGGAAATTCAATTTAAAGGGCTTAAGTTTTGCCTTCAAGGCCGGTGGTAATAAGGGATTGACTCTTCAAGGAGAGAAGGGAGATGAGGAGAGGTGATGAGATGATAATTGAAAATTCACTACACTTCAAAACCTCAAGAAATGTGCCAAAGTTACAGCATGATATAGCATATTCTGAATGTCCTAAAACACAACACACGCACATTGTTAACAATCGTCCGAAAATAAAGCCAGATATTTCAACATTTGGTCATCCTTGCACCGATTAAACTCTCCCCTTGATTTCTATCGTGCACACCTCTGCGCGCTGCATTCAACACGAGTCACGCCTCTCTTTAAGCTTTGAAATAATACCAAGTAGAGCCTACAACAAATCGACGTATACCTTCACATTGCAGAATTAGCAGACCAATAATTGGAAACGAGCCCACACTCAGCTCATGAGAAAAGTCTCAAGCGTCCGAAATACTCACCGGTTGCAGCAACAGGCAGCAGAGCAGGATGAAGACATTTTTGGAGACTTGCACCATCATGTCCAGCGCAGAAGTTTATCAGTCAAAGAAAAAAGATTTTAAAATATCAAAAAGTGTGGTAAAAGAAGCGTCAATAGGGTAATAATCCTCCGCAGCTGTAAGACGCTCCTCTCTCTAACTCCGTGCGTTATTGCGCGCTGACTGACTGACTGAGTGACTGAGTGAAGTGAATTTCTGCGCTCCTGAGATCCCCCTCCTTCTGCTTCTCCTCCTCCCACTCAGACTTTACCTTGAACAACTAACAAGTAACCAATGAAAGATGTTCAGAGGACGTCATTATTCGAGGGCGTCAACGCGGAGTTAGACAGAAAGAAGGAAACTACTGAGTGAGTGTGTGTCCGTATATCCACACCAGGACACGACTGAGCCTTTGTTTCAATCTTACAGTCTGTTCCTGATAAGAAACCATGTTATCATGCCACTGTCATTGAGTGTATTCATCACACAGTGTAGCTGCATTGTTTTTTTTTATTTATCATAACTTCATCTTGTTGCTATTTATATCAGTTTAACCCTAAAAGCCTTTAAAAAATTCTGAAAATTAAGTGTGGATGGCCCCTCATTTTTTAGCTGTAAAAAGTGACAAGAATGGATTTATTTTAAAGCTTCTGTAAGGATTTTTTTATATATATCTATGAAATGGACTAAAATTCATATTGATGCCTTTTTTATGGTACCTTGAAGTAAACGATAATACACTGAGGATTTATTTGAAACGGCAAAATGTCAGCAAGCAGCCAAAGAACAGTTTTTTTTAATTTACACACAAAATATCAACAATAAATATCACATTGACCGTCAAAAGTCAGCAGAATCTGTCTTTTTACCATTTAGGTGCCAACCATTTAGGGGGAAAACTGTCATTAGGTCCTACCGTTGTTATTTTTGGCAGTTTGAATAATAACTTAATAATAATAATAACGTATTGTTTTGCACTAATTGGGTTGCTTTGCTTCTTTTTTGGCTTGTTGTTAAAGGTCTTGTGAGGTGCTTTCCATCTGTGTGACTTTTGGCACCTCCTGTTGGTAAAGCGTATTTTTTTTACTTCTGACAGGCAAAAATCTTTTGAGAATATTTATTGTGGACAATGTAAGAACACGCTGTTTTTCAGCAGCTCCACTGACACCTACCTCCTGGCACCAGTTTCAGGCATTAAAAATCACTGTATAATATTTGTCAGTGTAACACTAAAGAGGTTCATTTGGCCTGTTGATGATATCTTTATAAGAGGGTTCATCTATAAGGGCCAGAAAGGCACAAAAAAAAAAAAAAAAAAACGTTTTGTACCTGACAAGTTTCGGCTGCTTTGCCTCTGCAGCCTTCATCAGAGGTGTCAGGTGATGTTGGTGTGGCATTGTCTGTGATGAATTATACTTGAGACGTTGGGTTGGTGGTGTCCCCTGGCATGGGCTGCTGATGAAGGCTGTAGAGGCAAAGTAGCCAAAACTTGTCAGGAGCCTTTTTAGCTTGAGTACATCTCAAAAAGGCCTCAATAACATTCTTTCAGTCTGTTACATAAATGTTAAAAAAAACTCCTTAGTTTTAAGTCTAGCCTGCTTTATCTCAGGTACCTGAAACAGTGTTGTCCTTGGTCTTCAATCCTCTGCTGAACAAGAAAAGAGTTCCCTTAAGTTGCTTCCCATGTTCACCTCTTTTTTCTGAGTCTTCAGCCGAGGTCAGACTACATGACCTTTCTGTCTGTCACAACTGTCCCTATGTCAGGCTTGGGGATCACAGAGCTATACAATAATGCCCTAACTTGACTGACAGACATGACAGACTAAACGGTGGTACACCATCACTCATCATGACCCACACAATGCTGTTCCAGGGATGAGGGGCTCAGCCAGGCAACACCTATAAAAGCTAAATGTACTTTCTCACTGCATTGCAGTGCTTCTGATATTTCTGGCCAGCATTTCTCTTTCTCAATCCTAAAAGGCAGAGGGTTTCCAGACCTGAACAAAATTTTCTTTTGTCACACAGTTCCATCTCGCACCAGCTTCATCAGTCTTCCTTCACTTTGTCATTTAGTTTGTTTTATTGCTGTGGCTTTTGCATGTGCAGAGCACTCGGTGCTCTTATTAGTCAGCGTCCCTAAATTCACTGAAGAAATTGCAGCGGGCAGAGAGAGAAATCTATCATTTTAGACTGTAGGGAGGTTGTGAGACATTGCAGGTGTGTCCTTGATTATTGTTCATAGTGGCACACTTTAGGAAATAAAACCATTGACCATGGATTCTGGAACTATAATTGTGTTTAGATCCTGCAGTCTGGAGGGACACAAAGAAATGAAGTAAGGGAGATATGATGGAGAGGTAGTTTTCTGAAAAGACACAAGGGGCTCTATTTTCGTGTACGCCGGTGAGGCAGCGGAGGGTGGCAGACCCCGCGCAGTTGCATTTTCATCTGGCGGAGCCCAGCGTACAGCCAGTTTGGTATTTTTGTGGACATGTCTCCGTGTCCTCTCTCCGTCCTGCTGTAGCTGAACAGATGATTTGTTTCAGCTCTCAGATGAGTTATTTACTTTACTCCGACATACAGATATTATAATATTCAGTTTTGTGAGTCAAATTTATTTTATATGCCAACATCTATTAAAGAAAGAGCCAGGCCACGGAGCGCGATGTGTCATTTACACACAGATGGTTCCGATTTTAATGCCATTTTTGGAGTTTATGTTGTGATCTGTGCGCTAAACCCACCTTTGTCACGTGAGGTTTGAATATGTGCAACTTTATGTGAGTGTCTTTATTTGTGGAAAGGGTGTTTGTCTTACCAGTGGGTCCAACATTACAAACACCAAATCCATCTGTGCTCATATGAGAGAGTGTGGAGGACGCTTTGTGATGATAGAAAAAAACAGCATTATCGCTCAGTTAGCAAAAAAACAGAGCCCATGCAGTTTGGATAACCAAAGCAATTGTCTACTTGTGCCTGGTGGTCAAGTTCATCACTGCATGTCAGACAGGATAGAACTGCACAAGAAATGAAGAAACTGCTTGTTTTCTTAACAACAAAAAAGGAAATGGAAGAGTGATGCCTTTTTTTCATTTTCTTGTTAGTTTTGAAAGAAAAATACATCATATTCACTTTTCGTTTTTTAAATGGTTATACATTGTCTCTGTCTTTTTCATGCATTTAATTTACTTTTGGAAGTGAAATAAGGCAGAATGATGGTCATATGACTTTAAAGTCAAAGCAAACATTTCAAAGTAAAAGGCCAGAGAGAAAACTGGTACTCGATTGTTGACATAGATTAATTTACTGAGGCTAGATTCATACTCTGACTCTTTTCCTTGACAAAGAAGGCTACTTTACAGGCATAGAAAATACATCTAAATCATAATCCATAGTTGGAGTTATTCATGTGGTTTCAAACCTTCGAGCTCATCGTGTTTCACAAGTGAGTTATCGGACATTCAACCAAAGACCCATTTGCCCTTTAAACTCCTCATATGGTTTCGTTTTTAAAACAGCTGGTGGCCCAAATAGTTCAATTAATCTGATACCTTACGGAAAGAGATTGAAGTCAAAAGTAATGAGAATATATTTTGTAGCACAACTTGTTTTTCCCTTGGCTCAATTAATCATTTTATGACTCCTCAGATTTATCCTTAGAGCCTTCAGAGCAGCAGGATTAGTAAAGTGATACTTTTAAAGATATCTGAGTAAAATGATATGACATGATGCACAGCTATCAATAATCTTATGTAATGTAGGAAAAGCAAACATTCTCATGTAGTGACAGTATTTGCATTTTTCCTTCTGCTCTAAATGTGATGTTAAAACTTCTCTGAGGAACTTCTGGTTTATGTTTACTTTGATGCCCCTGGTGGACAGAGCAATACCTAATGCAACTGAATCCCAACCATCTCTAGAGGGGGAAAGTGAAACAACATCTTGTCCTGCAATCCAGGCAACAGCATTAGAGCTGGTGAGAGCACCTTTACTGTTTTTGGTCACTCTTAATAAGCTTAAACTATATGTGTTAGTAGAGATAATAGCAACAGTGACCAAAGTTCACCTGATTTGTAATCACAGCTTTGTCAAGTGCCTCAATCTGGAAAAAAAAGTGAACTGAATGAGGACAAAAATGTCAACATGAATGCTCCTGCAGAAGTCCAGTTCACCCTCTCGATTATTATCTTTGGATGAAAAAGTTGAGTTTGATGTTCATATTTCCTGCAGGGAGGCTGTTGAAGTGTTTCACGTACCTCTGAGGTCTGATGTTAATATAACACTTCCACTTGACTTATTTCAAGATCCTTGTTGGAAAGTTGTTTTGCTCATTAGCTCTTGATGTTGTTTGCATTGTTAGCCGATACTAGGCAATAAAACACACTACGTGATAGTTTGTGAGTAAAATCACACTAACAACATGTCCACAGTTGTAACCTGTTCTACATTATGTATGTGATGAACTTTATTACACAGAACAAGGCCATATTGCTAATAAACACTGTCAAGGATACAGCTATTTTACTGTTCATAAAGGGAGCAATTATCTTAAGTTTCTCAAAGTTTCTGAGTTGAAATGGGGATTTCAGGAGGCATTTCAACTGATGTATTCAACAGGTAATTTTAAACTTTCAAGATCAACTGGAATGCAAACAAAGGAACAGTTTCTTATAGCCGTACAAATTAATCATTTTTATATCAAGAAAATCTTGTTACCTTGTGTCACTCTTTTTCTAGCATCTGTTGGTATCTGGGTATAAGCAGGATAATGTGAAGTGAAGTACAAGAAGAAAAACAACTTAATTGTTCTCCAAAGGGAAATTAAATTATGTTTCTAAATATATATGGTTATTCAAACTACACCTCGATATAAAGAAAGACTCCTCTGTTTTGCATTTGGTATTTGCTCACCCTATTGTTTGCTCATCCTACTGGAATACTTATTTTCATAACTGTGGGGGCTTTACTTAATCCCCCACAGAGTCAATCTGGATGGTCTTACTTGCAGTTGCAGTGCTAATAATGAAGCAGCAGTATCAATTTCAGCCTGTTTCATAAGCAGTTTATTACCCATCAGAGGCTTGCAGAGTGATTACTCTTTGCTGAAATGCTATCAGACTTATCTTTATGCAACAATGTGACATTTCAAATTAATTCAT